AATCATCTCTGGCAACATGTTGTTGTTTTAAAAGATATTAATTAATAAAAATGTAAGTATCTTTTTGATATGATGTTGAAGACTTAAGCATCAAAGCTAATTATTTTGTAGATAATTTGTAACATTAGGAGCCACTGCAGAAGGCAGGGATCACGAAAAGTCGTTAGCCCCAATGATATTGCCAGTTAAAGTCACAGAATTGATGCCTATGATGTAGTTTCCTATCTCTGATATAAATGTCTCAGAGGCTTAATGGTAGGGACAATGTCCCTTTAATACATGCAAAAGTTGCTGAAAATTCCCCAAAGTTGCCTAGATGAGCTTTATGTGTGAAAAGAAACAGCTGAGTTTGATTACCCAGACTTCACCCATAATGTTTCCTACAAGACCCCGGTATCATTTCAGAGTTTAAAGCTCCTGTAAGGAATCTTTTTATACATTCATGAAGAGGCGAACAATTTGGTGCCTAAAAGTGGTTGTAGGGGGTCAGTGTCTGCCAAGCAGATACAGAAATTGCTTTTTTTCAAATGTTCTAAACATGACCTATTAACAGTGAATGATACATTTGATTGACAGAAGTTAGCAGGAAGAGTTTATTTATCAGAAGATGCTACTTGAGTATGTTGAAAAGAAAATAAGCAAAAACCATTTCATCCACAGGGGGTGCCAATTTTGACACAAAATGTAAGTTCCTCACAGGAGCTTCAAGTCTAATTGAGATCCATTATTTCTGGGTCAGAACCCCTGAAATTTCCAGAAATTTTCTGGTTCATGTCTGAAATGGCTGAAGGCATCCCACCCTTTGCCAGCATCCAACCCTCCAAGCAGGCTGGGAAATCAGTGATGTGCGTAAGTGACACGCCCAGCTGTTGGCACTGCCAACAGCGAAGCTCCACAAGACAAATCAAGATTGTTGAGAGCTGTTAAAATGTGTTATTAAGCCATATTCCACCATTGTTTATCATCAAAAGCATGTCCTCAGATAATTCTTGTTGCTAACTCCGTGTAAAGCAAAAGTGTTACTTCTTCTAATTGTTTCTACTTCAAATGTTAAATTAATTCACTGTGTCTACATATGCAGATTGCAGGTTCTGTCTCTACACGCAAGACTGATGGCAACATAAGCAGAGTAACCCACTGCCCCATATGTAGCTCTGCCTCTCGCCCACACACACAAGACAGAAGGAACGAATTAACAATGACCCATTTCCTCCTCTTAGATGAAACAGTCAGTCAGTCAGCTGCGTGATGGCCACAGCAACAACAGTGGAAACATCAACTTCCTGCTTCAAAGTCAGCAGATTTTGGTGCAGTTCAGTTGAAATCAAGTCTGGTTGTTTACAAAGAAAATTCAGCTGCAATCAGATTATTAAATAGATTGTGATCAGATGTCCTCTTTTAGAAATGTAGATCCAGATAATGAAAAAACATGTAATCTGGGTGGTTAGTTTTTAAAACAGGGAACGCTAAGCCTTTAAATTTGTTGGTTACTGCATTTAAATAGAAAAAGCAATTTTGTCATCTAGATTTTTTTGAGTATTTTAGTTACGAAGAAGAAGAATTGTACTTAAGCATACGTTTTTATCTGAAAGGCTCAAGTATCTTCATTTTTTTTACCTTCTATTGTGCGTCAAGAGGTAAAACGAAAAGTTCAAGGCACTCTAGTCTCCACATTACAATGTTAAACACATTACATGCATATAATATTGACAACCCATAAACAAAAAGCCTGCTGTAATTTGTCCACTGAGGCAGACTCATCATTAGACTCTAAGCGCCCAGGGGGTCTTCAGGGAGGTAAACAGCAGCATCAAGCATTAGTAGGTCAGAGCTGAAAGTGCTGGATCCCTATGCATTATTAATAGTGTCTGTGCTAATTGAAAGTCATAAGTCGGCAAATGAAGCATCTGGGGCAGACATCACGCCCTGCCACCCTGCAGCCACAGGATTCCCATAGACTTAGATGCAGCTAAATTTAGAGTTACTCTTTGCTCAAAAGAGAAGGTGGGCTTTGTTAGATTTGCGTGCTCTACATTGTGAGATGACAAGCTCAACAATGGAAGTCTTGCTGTTGTGTAGCTGCAGTAAAAAGCATTTAGTTACATAACATATACAGTGAGCTTTGACTATGATATGAGCTTAATCTCCAAAGCTTTCTCTCTGTCTGTGTGCCTCTTATTTATCTGTTTCAAAATGCTTAATAATAGTAATTTTTCTGTCTATTGTTTATTGACTCTTTACTCTCCTTTCATTAGACATCACAAGCAAACAGCCTTTATTTTGTTATCTTTTATATGTAATAGTTTAGGCTGAACAAAACATTCGATCAATACACAGAAACCTTGAGATGAGTTTCACAGACGCTGCTTTGGTTCATTTGGTTGAATTAAATTTCTTTGTGTTAATGAAATTTTTTGATAATCAAACATTTTTGTTTCAATTAATTATAAAAGAACTTCAGTTACCATGTTATTAAAGCTCATTTGTAATGGTTACACCAACTGAGAAAAAAGAGGCTGTAAAGAAGCTTAGCCAATACCAATTTATTTTCCTAAACATTGTCAACAACAGACGACAAGAGCTCTTTAGTTCTTTTTTAACATAGAACAATAATCTATGAGCTTGGAGCGTTCACTCGACTTTATAGCCACATTACCACAGTGAGGATACACACCAGTTGAAGGATATTTGTAACATGCCAACCTAAATGTTAAGGTTAAACTCTGACTTAAAGCTCCTGTGAGGAACTTCAGGTTTGTGTCAGTTTTGCCCCTTTGATGGAATGAACTTTAGTGTCTTTTCAGTCAATGTTTGTAATATAAGTCTCTCGCATCTAATGCTGTTTATTCAATGAGTTACAGCTGATAAATAAGGCATAAATAAAAACATCTACCTCCTTAGAGCAGCTGTTAGTTACTCTGTTTAAAAAAGTACATAACTGGTACCAGAGAGTATACTGACAGGGTTACTGCAGGCTTACTGCTGAGAGCGGATATATGTTGTTGTTGTTGTGGAAATAAGCAGCTGGCATTCAGAGTATGTGAAATGTCCCGGCCTTAATATACTCAGAGTGAGCATATATACAGTATACTGTTACAGAAACTAAGTATAGCATAATGTACACATACATGACTAAGCTCTGATGATTACACTGTAGAGTGAGGCCTTTATAACATGCAGTAAATGATGCACCGTATCAAAATACAGTTTGGGGAGTACTTAAATCTTACTTACTTAGGCTAAATTTAAACTCATGGTATATTAAAAAAAACATATAGAACGTAAGTATGTAAATATGTCTTTACTGTAGTTACATCCAGGCCTCATCCACTGCACATTGGGATTCTAACATGACTCTACGTAGGCCCAGATTTTGAATATGAATGCCACTTTATTTGATCGAATGTTTTATGGATTCCCTGCATTACGGTAATTATTTATTAGACAGTTCATTTAAAGATATTATAATGTGGCACATATCAACAAATGATAAAACAATGTTCACTGATTTGACATTTAATTGAAAAAAAACTTTTTAGAGTTGTAAACTTAAAGCTCCAGTGAGAAACTTTTGGTTTGTGTCATTTTGGCACCCCCTATGGACCAAGCAATCTTTGCTTATATTGTCCTCTACATGTGTCCTGACAACTACATCATCCTGATGACTTTTGACAGTCAAATGTTGGTTTTTGAGAATATTTTATGAGAAAATTGTAAAGACAGGATTGTCTCTTCAGCCGCTCAGCTGACTCCTACCCCCTGGCACCAATTTCAGGTATTGAAGATGATGATATGGGAGTCAACAATTATGTCTCTGATGATCTTCTTCACTTTTGGAAATCCTCAAAAGGCGAAAACATATATTTCAGTCTATTTCATGGATGTCAAGAAACTCTTTGCAGGAGCTTTAACTCACAAACCGTGTATTGCAACCAAAGATATAAAATTAAGTCGAATCACTTCATCATGTGTTAAGCATTGGGAGATATCTGAGAGGTCATCCAGGGGGTCATGCTCACTTTTTATTTACCTAAATGACACCTGCAAATTTACTTCCACTAAAAGTGAGACATTTTGCAGTGTTTTATCCACTTCAAATGCATCTAATGGGGTACCTCTGGGTGGTGGCCCCTTTGCCTCCCCCACGGGTACACCACTGGATTACTTTCTTTAAAACCAGGCCTGATAAATTCAAAACTTCTTTTATCCTTCCTCCTGTGTTAGCTTTTACTACACCCCACCAAGTTAAGGGTTGGTTTTGACCCGTGTCTTAAATCAGCTCTGAATTACACTAAAAACAATGCTCTAACATCCAGTTTGGTTCTCATCTCTAGGTTTCTCTGTTCGGCTTCATTATCCATAAAAATATTGCTTGTATTATTTTATGGTGTGGGCCTCTGGGCCTTTCGTTGTCAGTATACCCCTCATACAGACATCTATACTGAATTGATCTCACATGTCTGGACATGCCCGACGGTTTTTGTGCAGAGAAAAACATGACAAAATGAGAAATGATTGAAAGAGGATCTGACACTTGTGATTTCAGTTTTTGCTCTGATTATTAGATATTGATCTAACCAGGTCAACAGCGACCATAACACGATGAGTGCCATAATTTTAAAAAGAATATTTTAAAATTTAGTCAATTTAATTTTTTATTATTTTTTATTTTGTTGAAATAGAATTTCCTGACAAAGTCAAGAAGTCTTGATTCAAAAAAGGCTAATTTAAGTGATTCTTTTAAGCATTTAAAAACAAAAATGGGTCGGTGCAGACCCTAACATAGGAGGAGGGGTAAAAGTGTGGTATTTAATGACCCTAAGGTTTTTAATTATACCGAAAAACAAACTGTTATAGACTTTATCGTGTCTTTGTGTTTTTGGACTTCTTTCCTGTGTCCTAACTTGAGAGTCTTGAATCTGCTGAAGTGGTGATAGTCGTTTCAGTGCAGTACTCGCACACCAGCAGAGATGAAAAAGCCCCCCGTGCGCATGCGCAGTGTAGTCATCTGACGGGTTGAGCGCTCTGTGGACGTTACCGCTACATGAAGGGCCACCACTATCACCACAGAGCGGGACACAGACAACCTCCATGAAGGACCGTCTCCTGCGACGATAAGAAGACTCAAACAACCGAGGAGCGACCAGAAACACCGCCCGTGCGTTTGACGTTTCGCACGTGAGGACAAATTTGTACTGAAATGTAGCCAGCAGCAGCGCGAGCGTGTGTTGCTGTATCCGCGCGGTCGCTGCATGGCTCTTCACAGGGATGCCATGAAAATCAGAAGAGCCGACTGAGAGACCGCTGCTCCTCGCTATCACAGCAGACACGGCAGTGGCGGCGGCAGCGGCGGGAGTGGAGGTGAACGATGGATTGTGGTAAAAAGATCCACATTAGGTAGCGATCACAAAGATCCACGGAGAGCTGAACGTCTCTGTTGCACAGCGAGGAAGGACGCCGCCGGAGCCGTGTGAAGATGGATTTCAGCCTGCTCCGGAATATCATCAGCAGATACGTAAGGGCCCCCATCTGTCAACACTGTCACAACTGTAGCTCTGTGACCTGCAAGTGCAACCAGATATATCATGCATTTTCACTCATTTCTATGGGGCAGCATCTTTTATTGATAATGTGTGAGAATTTACTGCACAACACACCATTCAGAGCGTGGATGAGAAACACTTGTGAAACGATCAACATTGCACTCGAGCTGCTTTGGCAGGCCATCCACTGTGGGCTTTACAATTTTGTTTTGTGGGGCAGAATGGGGAATGTGCCAGAGCTACAGATGCAGTGATGGCTGGTGAATGTGTGGAATAGAAATGAACTTGGCTGGCCCAGTTTAGTTGCTTTCATAGTGAGTTACTACAAGCATGCATACTAAACCGTGCTCATGGCTTGCACTTGTCCTGGTCTGCAGTGGAGATAAATCCTAACAAGGATCAGAGAGGCCTTGAGGGGACTTTTTCCTGCATCACAAGTTTGTAGAGTTAGATGTGTCCAGCTGTATTGATGATAAGTTTTAGAGGTTTACCCTTTTACTTTGTAACTTGTTGCCTCATTGTCAGGGTTGTGACTTGACTTGCGAACTTTTCGAAAGGAAGACTGTGCTGAGCTTTTTTTATTTGATTAAATTCACAAATGAATAATATGCATGAATTCTTACAAGGCTAAGATATAGGGGTGCACCGATCTTTAAGAAGCTTGACCCGCTGATACCGATTTTGCCCCATACCTTTTTTTTATGACTGACTTGGACTGGGTGATTATATGATCGTGATCATATTTACTCGATCAAACATAGCGGAAATGTGCGTCACAACAGCCAATCAGAGTCAAGCTTTTCCCGCTCACTTCTGTAAGTTGTTGGAAAAGTAAACAGAATGACCGAACGTGGAGCTAAACACGGAGCTAAGGGCAGCAAAATAGATGTCAGCCATGACTTTGAGTTATTCTCTGAAGATGTTATTGCTGAGAAGTTATTCTATCTCAAGTGACGTCGAGCAATAAGCCGATGTGCAAGGTATGTCGGCGAATTTGTTTCGTTATTTACTTTGTATGTTAGTAAAATGTTGAACTAACTAAACTAGTTTCTTTAGTTTTTAGTACAGATGCTTTCAAACAGGCAGTTAAAAAAATCATGATAATAATCGAGATTGGACGATATGACAAAATATATCGTGATCTTTTTTTTTGCCAAATCGCCCAGGCCTATGACTGACAACATACACCTTCGATGCTCCAATCTTATTTTACTAAAAACATTAAAAACCTTTTTTGTATTTGTTTTAACTGCACATTAGGTAGTTCTTTCAAATGAAAAGTTTAGAATATTGCTGTCCAAACTACTAAATTATATCAGTTTCTTTATTCTTTTATTTTCCACATTTTAAAAACTAACAATACTTGCGCAACAGGTCACACTGCAGGCCTGTTTTGAGCCTCTTACCAAAATTAAGTGTACAGCAGTATTTTGCTTTCACAAATAAAGGAAATCACAAAGTTTGAGGAAGTTGGTAAAATAATAATCTACAGGACAAACTAAACTGATGGACGGGACTGTCATTCTGGCAAAAGCAAAAAGCTTCAACGGCTGATTTTCAGACTTCTGCTGAGGTAGATAAAATCGCTTTTATGTGTAAGGATCAGCCGATCACTGATCCCCCAAAATTGAGCAAACCAACGCCGATCGATCGGCCGGTCTATTTATCGGTGCATGTTTACAATGATAGTTTAAAAGTAAAAAGATCAAGTCTTTCACTAAATATTAAACAGTTTTAAAGGAAACACTTTTTGAGTAAGAACTAAAAAGTTCCCTACAAGAATGCATACTAAATTGTCCTCATGTCGCCCTGGTCTGCAGAGAAATAAATCCCAGTCAGGTCTTGAGGGGCCATGCAGGGACTCACTGTGCTTTCCTGGGTTGTAAATTTTACTTTGACACCCCCAGCCTGATAGAGTGGCACTTTCTGCAGGTTTAACCAGAGTAAAACATCACTTAAAAAGAAGTCCTGCAAGGCTTTATCATTATCGGTAATCAGTTGTCAGGAAATGTGCACTTGAAAACAATAAGGAGATACAGCTTTAACTGTATTACCGCTGGGTCTGTTCTGAACCAGTCGCTGCCATCATCAGCACTCTCTGCTTATCAGCCAGAGCAGGAAGCAGCTGGTTGGTGGGTGGCTGAATTAGAGGGAAAAAGAGTCTAGTGGGAACTGAGTCTGACAGGTTTGGTGATGTTCATCAGACTGGGCACCTCTGGAGCATTGTGACATCTGCAACGCACAGTCTGCAACCCTTTCACCTGACCTTAAACCGGCTCAGGTGCTGCCACGATAACTATCAGCTCGAGCGTGTGCGTTCTTGCCGTTGTGTTAGCGTGCGTTTACGAGTGTGTTTGTGTGTGCAGAAGGCGAGTGACAGTGTGTAGTGAGCTTGACGGATGCTCCAGCAGGGCTAATATCAGGGGAAATCAGATCCACAAGTGAGGCGGCAAAGAAGAGTCACTGAACACGCCCCTCATCCCTCACCCTTCTCCCCTCTGCCTTCTCACCCTGTAACATAGTGAAGTAGACAAGGGATTAATCATTAATTCAATTATCCACATATTGATTGGGAATCTGAGGAATGTTTGATGTATATGCAGTCCCCTATTACTCGAGTACCACCCTTCATTAACCCTGCCATACTCCGAACAGCTGCTCCCGTAATGAGGCTACATAGAAGAACAAACCTTACATCATGCAAGGTGATTAACATGTGATCAGTAAGGCGCCTCGGCCCTTTATCCGGACACGGAGAGCAGCAGAGTCTCACCAAGGTCACAGCCTAAATGTTGTCGCCTGCCTCCAGTGCTGTCAGATTTTAGCTTTTTAAAAAACTGCTGTATTAGTATATTAAAGTATACTAATAGCTTATCCAGCCATGAAATTATGTGCTTAGATTTAGGCCACTTCGAAAAGCTAATGAGCCTTATCACTTCATAGCTTGTTGCATTTTATCTGCCTTGTGACTTGTCCTTGAGGTATTTTTGTGTAAAAGAAAATTAGTGTTCACTTATGATGTAAAGTCAAGCTAGTCTGCTTGTTTTGATATTGACACCACTGTAGTAGTTCCACTATGTTTACACTGTCTGACTAGGCTCAAGAAGAGAGGGAAAAATTCTGCATTTGATGCTGGAAAATAGGAGCCCAGCTTAAAGAGTTCATGAAAGAACAACACAGCTGAAGTTTGTTGAGCTGGAATAAAATGAGACTATTTCCCACTGAGTTATCTGTCAATTTTAAAGTTACGTACACAAAGAAAATTATTAAGATTTTCTCAAACTGCTTTATTTAAGAAAACATACATTTGCATTATAGAATATCCTGGCACAGACAACCATGACTTTAACTTGTTTTATCTTTTGCATAAAGTTTCAGTCTTGCCTTATATAGGAAAAAAAAACACCAAAATATACATTTGTAATAACCCCAGATCAAGCCATAATATCAGCTGACCAATGTTTCAGTTGGGTTCCGTCAAAAACATGAAAAAGGAATCTGATGGGTCAGTATTTCAGAAATATTGTGTATGTGCCATAGTTGAAAAAGTGGTAACTTTGTTGATACAGCACCTTTAATAGTAGACTTTTTCAACAGGTGAAAAGAAGGTTCCAGAAAAACAAAACTGCTTGTGTTGTTGTATTATAGATCAAATAATGTGTTTGTCATCTCAAAATCTTTGGAACCAGTACATCTTAAGTGTTCACAAAGACAAAACTTTCCAAAAATTCAAATCAGTTTTTTATTTTATTTTTTTATTTCACACAGTTTAAATATATGACATGTAAAAATGTATAATTCTTCAGAGATTTTGAAAGTTGAATTTATCCTGAAAAAAGGGGCAAAAGATTTCACCCAATAGACACTTTTTGACACATTTACAGCTAAAAAAAAGAATAATGACCAGGCAGACTGTTAATACTACAGACTTTAAAGGGTTAAAAACAAAAGTCTACAATGTGCTTTGACAGACAAAGCAAGTGTAAACTAATGGTTTGAACAAGAGCATTAATATGTAAAAGAAAGATTTTTTTGTTTATTTTTTAAATAAGATAAATAGAAAAGAGTTCAGAAAAGGTGAAATCACTTAAAATCAAGTCTGCCAAAGTGAGTTTTAAGAAGTGATGTAAAACATGTCATTGATTCTGCAGCCCAGATCTCCTCAGGGGGTTGTTCCAGAGTAAAGAGGCCCTGAGGTAAAAAAAAAACAAAAAACTAACTTTTCTTTAGACTTGAGCCTTGACTGTGTTAAAACAAAATCTCACACCGCTATCTGGGATAAGTTTTTGATTTGACTCATTCCTTCATCTCAGCCGTCACATCAAAGCTATTGAAAACAGTCACTTAGAAATGACACATTATGTTTGTGCGGTCGCAAAGTTCGGCTGTCACTACGCCTTATTTTTACACTCTTAAGTTTCCAGCAGCAGAATATTTGTGTCCCAGTGTTTGATTTCCTAATGTGTGGCATTGTGGGAGCAGGAGAGGTATGATGTGTTCAAACACAGTGGGAGCTCCACACACAGATCCACTGAAACTCACTCACACAGACATGCTGTGGTTCAGCCCTGCTGGCTCTGACACTCCACATCACCGCTGTTTACAGCTCTGCTACTACCTCTGATGGCAGATCAGAGGCAGATCAACTTCACCCCACCATCCCCCCTCTGTCTGTCTGGGGTGTAATGGGTGCATAGTTACCCTGCCTTTAAATGGTAATGTGTGGTAACACTTCATAAGCTGTTGACAGGCGTATAGATCTATACAGAGGAGTGCTTTATGGAGGGAAAAAAGGAAATAACATTTTTTGACGGCTGGGCGTTCAGTCCTGCTTATGAGCCTGTTTTTCTGAGTACAGAAAACTGCTGATGAGTTGAGTCTGTGCCGTACAGTTGGTAGTTATTGTGAAAAAAAAAAAAAGTCCTGGTGCTCTGCAGAGCGTGAAGTTTAAATGGGATCTTTTATTGCATATTAAGCCAACTCTTTGCTACTTTTTTCACCCTGTTGGCAAAGAGAGGAAGCGAGCCTGTGTGTAATAAGATATGGAGTATAACAGAAGTATGTGAGCGCAGTTTTGTGTCCAGCAGACTCTGGGTCAGAATGAGAAATCTTCTTATTTATCATGAGATATATCTGTCAGCCCCTGAAGTTTGAACAGATCCTGTGTTGGTGTGTTATATCTGCTCTCTCTCTCTCTCTCTTTGGTGCCTTTTTGTCATCTGGTAATAATAGCGATGGCGTGATGTCTCAGAGTGGTGCAAAGTGTGAGGGCTGCGTGAGGTCATGATCTGGATCAGACGGGGGCTGGCATGTGTGAGTGGGGGTCTTATTTGAGATGCAGATGCCTTATAGGGGCTTAAAAATGCTTCGCTCAAACACGTGAGTTAACATTTAGATTTTCATCAGCAAGTTAACCACCACATCCTCTTGTCTTGAACTTCGCACACTGAGATCTCTTCCTCTTCACCCTTGATTTACATCCATCTTCAAAAGTGTGACTATGATTCTTGCAGAGGCCTCTCACCACATCAGCAGATGAAAGAGAAAGACCTCTCTTTCATCTAAAGGGTGCCAGCAGGTCCCTGAGTGCCGAGGGGCTTTAGAATGGTTTCTCACAACTTTACAGCTATTTGAGTCGCCCGGCTGGTGTTGAAAGGGCAGAAAGCAACCTGCTAGATTACCCTTAGCAACATTAGCTGCCACAAACGTTAAGGGCAGTCTATTCCTGTCTGCTGCCTCCACATAGAAATGGAGTTCCTTGTGGAGAGACAGAGGCTGTAGGTGACAAAACTACACAGGATTTGTGTTTCGGTAAAGCTCCGCCAGCTGGCTTGTGTGCTTATATCAGAGGAAACAGCCATGGAGCAGCATGCTCCCTCATAAGAATGATTAAGTTTCACACCGCACAGCATACCCCGGACACAAAGGTCTCAGACGCAGCTTCAAGTCTGTATCAGGATGTTGTCAGGTTTTAAATGCAGACAAAATGAGAAAGAGGGTTTATTCTTTTTTTGGGATTCAGATTACGGCGGTGAGAGAAAAAAAGAGAGACGAGAGGGAGGAGAGAGTAGAAGTAGCACAGCTGGATTAAAGACTTATGTAACAGCTGGATCACAGCGAGTCAGGGGGGAGAGGGGGAAGCTGAGGCAACAACAGGGCACACTATTTTGTCATATTAAAGTGTCTCCTCAAAGTATTTGTCTGCTTTATTTTGTTGCAGGTGCATTCGGGTTTGCGTCATCGGGGTGTCGTGTGGCTGTTGTCGTCAGTGTCAGCTGTTAAAACCTGTTTGTGAGCAGAAAGTCACTATTTTTGTGTTTTTAGCCTGCACCTGTGTGACAGCCTCTTCAAATATTCCTCTCTGTAAACTAAATAGTGCTGTCTTTCTCTTCGAGGTACTGTCTCTCCCCACTTTTGTTATTAATGATCTGCCTGTTCTGGTACTTTTGATGTTTACTCTCTTTTCTATAAAGGAGTGCCCAGAGAATACAGTCCAAGGAGGCTTGTACCAAATTAAAACACCAAGTTAATAATAAGAAAACCAGCTGGATAGGTTATGTTTCCTTCTTTTGAAAGATCTTTATTATCCCTTGTCATATCCAGTTTCACAGCATTATTTTAATGATTAAATTCTTCAGATTTGATCTACAGTCTTCACATAATGAAGCATCTATTTGCTGGCTCTGTTTTTCTTTGCATCGCATTACGAACTTGTGGACTTGTTGCTATGGTAATTAATGGCGATGGGGTAGCCGTGGAGTGCATGTTGAGCAGATACCCTTCTTCCTTTTCATCCGATCAAGGTCTCAAGGTTTCTTTTATCTCGGTTCAAAGCTACGTCAACATTTAAAGCTTCTTTTTGAAAGAGTACTGAGCGTGTTTAAAGTCTCAACCTTAGATGAACCCAGAGTGATTTTCTCAGAGTCTCTTATTCTCACTCTCAGATATTGTGTCAAAGAAATAATGTGAATAATAAATTAGCTCATTCTCTTTTTAAGCAATATTTTCCGGCTTTATATTTTGAGAGGATAGGACAGGTTGGAAACAAACCCGGGTTGACTATTTCATGACCATAGTCTCTGTATGACTCACAGACCAAAGTGGCGCCCCAAAACCAGCAGTTCTGAAATAATTTTGTCTCTAACAAGTAACCTAGAATATTAGAGTTAGTCAATAATGCAGGATTAATATTCTAGCTATTTATTTCTCTAAAAGCAAATAAGTATGAAGGAAGGAATCTCCTGTGGAATCACAAGCTGTACAAAAAAAATGAACAGTTCTCACTTTGGTTTGTTAAAGTTTATTGACTGTTCTGTGTAAAATATGTAGGATTATTTTAAATTAGCATATGCATATATTTTACAGATGGTAATAGTGGTCTCTGTTCATCTGTTAACACAGTGGACCTGTTAAAATGAGTGGAAAAATCTTGCTAACCTAGCAGACGCTGGTTATAGCTAGCTTGTCTTTATTAGCATTCTATTTTGTTTTTTGATGAGTGCGAATGGTCTGAAGTATTTTTTTGAAAATATCCCAACAATTTTTTTTTAATGCTAAGCCAGATATGTAGCTTACCATTAAATTTAAAGGAACAGTCCGTAAAATGAGGCTATTTAGAGACGTCTAGCTGTAAGATTCGAGAATGGAATGCTTTCTTGCCAACCTTTCCTGTCACTATGACAACAGTGGCTGTCAAGGACCAAACGAAATGTACGCAATATAGACGGCATCATCCACAGCAGTAAATCAGCTGTTTGGAACGTAAAATTGTGATGTTTTTTATATTTTATTTTAATAAAGATAGTTTTTAACTCCTCAAGATCTTCAGTTCTTCACTTTTTTGGTAACACAGGCTGACCTTAGCAAAGTTACTTACAATCTTTCTTAAAAAAAGTCGGTGTAAAACAATTTTCCCAGTAAGGTTTGTTGCAAAGTTATGATGTTACAAGAATTAAGTCTTGATAAAGTCAAAGTTTTGGTTTGCGAGCAGCCAGCTGCCTGTGCTATGAGAAACATGGAGCATCTTGTTCAATTGTTCCTAATGTTTTGGCACCTCAGCACCACATTGTTATATGTAAATATATTTATATGATCAAAAACTACTATCAAAACAAGTTTATTTATGTTTTTAAATTTATTTAAATAACTACTGATCTCACCCTATCTTCTCTGTTTTCCCTCTGGCCTGTCATATGTAACCTCTCAATAATTAACACAATGTGTTTCGTTCCTGCTAGTTTGTCCATTCTGAGCTACTGTAGAAAACATTGCGGATTGACATGACACCTTTAAGAGTGAGGAGCTGCTGCTTTTATGATATGAAAGAGTTTTTCTAAGACAGCAGGAATGAAACAATTAAGATTTTCCAAACTAACTTAAACATACCTCTTTATACTTTTGGGAACATGCAGGTAAATTCTACCCACTGCATCTTTAATGACACTACCTTTAAAATGAAGGGGGCTATATATCAAGCCCATTAGCTACATAACAGTACCACTTGGCAGTCAGAAGTTAGAAATATTTACTGCAATGCTTTAAATATGTTCATGTTTACTTTACGGAGGATAAAGTGTACACCCTCTGATCTTTAGAGATGGATCATCATGTTGTGTGTGTGCGTGCGTCCTCTCTCCATTTAACATGAGCAGTCCATTAAGGCTGAGCCTAGTCAGACGAATTTGATCTGTGAGTTAATTAGTGCTACCTGCTCAACATGCTGAGCGCTTCTGCTGCACAGCATGGTGGGACGGTGGGGGAGGGGCGAGACACGACCATTTAATCAGAGCAGTTAATGGTGTATACCTTTTATTACATCTCTGGGGTTTAAAGGAGTTACATCACGAGGATAGCGTGGCGAGAGTATTACCCTCTTAGGGTCAGGGGTCGCTTTTCAAATGAAAATAAACACATCTCCTGTCCTGTTAGGCACTAGAGTAGAAAACCATTGTTATCTCAATTTAGATCCAAAGTTTTAACAGTTTAAAACTCATCGTCCCAAGAGAGTCAAGTATACTGAACAATTTCAAACATGTGAGGAAAGGTTACAGTGGCGGGATCATCGCTCTTATCAAATCCATCACGCCGCTATTAATGATTGACGGTGATGTAAGAGCAGCCTCAGAGCTCAAGGGCTGTTTTACTGTTGTTAATAAAGACAAAGCCTCCATGTCCAGCATCCAACCAGCCGGCCACTTTGTCTGATGGTGCAGCAGAGTGAGGAGGGAACAGTGGGCCGGGGGTTGATACGGATCAGTGAGGATTAATGATCAGATAACTACAAACCACAATGCAATCTCTCTGTGTCTTTCTCCATCCCTTTGCCTCAGTCACACTGTCAGGAGTGTGACACAAACTGTGACATGGAGGGAAGGGGAGAAAATGTGCGGAGAGAAATATGAAGGGATGAATGCTGAAGGAGTGTGAAGTAAAGAGTGAAATATTTGAACAAAGTTGATGTAAAACTGCTGAATTTGAGGCACCCAGGCTATGTGATGTTAATGATTGTTGTTTTTCCACTAACAAGTCACTGCTGCTGCTGGGGGCTTACTCGTAATTTGCAAGCACTCTGGCTAGTGTCTGGGAATTAAAATCAGAAATGCAAGAATATCAAAGCATCTTTCAGTTTATGGACATTTTATGAGCTAAATTAAACATAACTGACAGATCAAACCGTGACTTTAATGATTTCTTCCTATTCTTACATTTCTCCTTTTAATATATTGATGTGGAAAATAATCACATTAAATAAAACCATCAAAAAATGGGTCAAAAAAACTATAACTAATGTTTCACTGTGATGCATATATCGTGATATAACTCACTTGTGATCAAATGGTTCCTTCATATTCTCTTACCGCTGTAATAGACTGCATGCTGAATGGACATCCTGATTTTATTGGATGTTTCTCTCCATTGAATTATGAAGGATTCAGTGTCAGACTAAAATAGATAATTTCTTGGAAAGAGAATCTTCTTGCTGGTTTCTCCTGCAACTCTGGAAGTTTCAAGAGCAACCAGGAAGGTCTCGAAATATGAAGTCATCCTCAAACAGCAAAGAAGGAAAATGTGTTCTTGTTTAATTTGAGGAGATTGTTGATGTATCATCATGATGTGTAAGATAAGATAAGATATACCTTTATTAGTCCCACGGGGGGAAATTCCAAAAATCACAGTAGCATAGATACAAATACAAAAGACAAATTAAAGGATAGGAAAATTATATACATGTGTACAGCATATACATATCTAATAGGTCTGTCTCACGTTTGCACCAATAGCTCACTTACATCATGTGAGCCAGGATTATTTAATAATGATAATATTATTACACCTTTACAAAGTGCTTTGATAATTTGCGTCAATAATACAAAGCATAAGAACAGAACAAAAAGCAAAAACCCTAACAGCGAAAAAAAGGACACCCTTGAAAAATTCAGTCGACATCAAAACCCAGAAAACACATAAAGAATTCTAGAGCATCATATGAAGCTAATAAACACATCATAAAAAACTAGAATAATCTAAATGAACCCTAGATGAACCCCGGCAACACAGGAATACAACCGCATAAATAACATAAATAACTAAACAGAGCCCCCAGTTTTACCCTAATTCAGTGAAACGGTTTTGACTCTAAAACATTTTGATGCTCTGTAAAATACACTGACTGTTTGCGTATCTTTATCTTGGTCAGTCATATCTTCTCTTTCCTAAGGTAAGCGATTCACTCAACCACAACGTCTACAAACTCTCCTCTTCCTTTTTGTCAGGATGTCTTTGTTCCTGTCAGTTTTCCATCGTCTGATTGTTCTGTATACAGTCTTTTTAACTCGTCTTTGTTCCTTCCTCTGTCTCTCCTGCTCCAGCTGCTCACTTCTCTCCGATCTGCTACTCCTCTTACACCACACTTTCCGTTTCACTGTATCTATCTGGGCCATGCTGCCACCCCCCTACCCCTCTTCATGTTTTGGAGGGGTCTCAAGTCGGCTAACACTGTTGGCTCAGTGTCTATTTTTATCTCACTGCCAAGCGCCTGTTGATTGCTGTGGATGAGTTCAGATCTGTGACTCTGAGATTTTTGCAAGTTGCGATTATGAAAAAGTTAAACGCTAGTTTTTGAATTTTTTCCCACGTCAGGAGTAAAAGTTGCATCGCCCTTCGTTTGATCTTTACTCCAAAGTTAACAAGGGATGTGAGTTTATAGTAGTGCTCAAGCTGAAACTTTTTTTTAAAGTTATAGTTTTTAGATCTACAAGGTTACGGAGGGGACGTGCGAACATTAAAAGATTTGTTCATTGGCAGCGATTAACTCCGCCTCTGCCAAAAAGTTGAGGACATTTTAAGCAGTGGAGCGCTGCTTCCACTGAAGTGCTTGTTCCAGAACTTTTCTGCTAATGGTCAACACTTCTGTTTGAGCTGTGTCAGGCGGGCCGCTCTGCCAAAGGCTGCGCTCACACACTGCCCACTCAGAGAATGAAGCTGTGGGGCCACGTAGGAAGCCAGATGGAAACAAACAGCTGAATGCTGTGGTCTCTTGACTCGTATTTTTTCTTGGAAAGCTTTCTTCCCACAATACTGTGTAAAGAAGGACACCTTGGGAAAATATGTGCTGCGCTAAACTCCCAGAATGCACTCTGTTGGTCCCCTCGGGAGCCACTTAGATCTAATATAGATCAGACAGAACTGAGGTAGAGATTTCATACACTCGATCCAGTGTGCTCCCTTTGTTTTGTATCAAAGCATCGATAGGTTATAGTAAAAAAGAGAACTTTTTATCTGTGTGGGAAAAAAGTTATCAAAGGACAGCAGACTAAAGTAAGCTCCAGCAGAAAGAAGTGTAAAGATAGATGGCAAATTCGCACTTGTGTGATTCAGATGATCCCGCCTACACACAATAACACACACATCCCTCTGTGTTGTCTGTGAGCTGGTTAAACAAATTGGCTAAAGTTGTGAGAAAATCTTTTGTAATATTCCTTTTTGATAAAACTCTGGACAGATATGAGACTTTATTTATAACTCAATCAAACGTACCTGTTTTTAGGACTGCAACTTTGATAAATTGAAAAAAAAGTGTCGCTTGTTGTGATTCCATTGCAGAAAAATCAAAACGTCCCACAGAGAACAATTTTGGTGTCCTCAAACAAACCGCTCGGTTTGACGATCATGGTACAAGAGACATTTGAGATGCTATGATAAAGATGATTTTCTCACTTCAGAGGCTAAAAAATTGGAATGATTGAAATCTCATTTAAAAACCTTCTTGATTACTTGATAAAAAAAACATACAAGATGTTTCTTTTTCTGGCCATCAGTTAATTGGAACAGCATTTAGCAAGTGTTGAAAAAATAGAAATTATGGATATAACAGATGGTGGAAGAGTATTTGGATTTACACTGAACAATGCATATCTTGAGAACAGTACGGTTATAGAGAGATGTAGGGCTGGTTTTAAGGTGTTAGAGCGTGTGAATGAAGAGTGTCATCTCTAATTGAGTCATTGAAGCGATGAAGATATAAACCTAATGGCTGTTGAGGCTGAACATCATGATTTAACCCCATTTCCCCTCTCTACCTGTATTGCTATTTATATCTCTCCATATATCTCTCTCCTTGTCAGTGCGTGGGGGAGGAGATCTGGGTGGACAGTCGGACGGTGTACATTGGGCATAAAGAACCCCCTCCGGGAGCTGAGGCCTACATCCCTCAGCGTTACCCCGACAACCGCATCGTCTCCTCCAAGGTGAGCGAACCATACTTCCTTTGTGAGTCAGTGCCAAAGCATTGTTCATCATCACACTGTACTTTTGTTTCATATTTAGACAGCCATGTAATCTCCTTTGTAGACATGTTTTTAAGGATGACACATTTCACTTTCCTTGTGTTCGTCAAGCGGTGCGTCACCAGCTTTCCTGCCAGAGGGGCTGGAGGATGATGTGCCTTTGTTTCCCCTTCTCCTTCAGTGTGTGTGTATGTGTGTGTGATAGTAATTCAGCTGTCTCTGTGTCTCACAGTACACCTTCTGGAACTTTGTGCCCAAGAATTTGTTTGAGCAGTTCAGAAGGATCGCTAACTTCTACTTCTTGGTCATCTTCCTGGTCCAGGTAAAGAGTTTTTCCTTTTCACGCAACAATAGAGAGTGCAAACTTACAAACATTCAACTTGTCACAAGTAGCTATTGGCAACAAAAGATCACTGCATCTCTGGGTCTGTTTTAAGTATTTTTTGGATTGAAAAATGGATGCAACACAAAACGATATAATATCATATTATACTATATAATATGAAACATTTAAAAAGACAGACAGACAACACAGAGGGATTAAAAAAACAATTCCAATCCTTGTTAATAAAAATCAGCCTTCTTTTGATATAGTGTTAAATGATAGAATAAAAAATGATACAATGAAATATAATGTGTTAAATAGATTTTGCTTTCCTGAAGTAATCTTTTATATGAAATGATCTGATACAATGTGACACAAATTCAATATGATACAATATGATAGGATACAGTACAATCTGATACAATGTGATAAAATACTATAGGATAGGATAGGATAGGATACGATACAATACAATACGATACAATATGATAAAATATAATATGATAGGATACAATACGATATGATAAATTATGATAGGAAACAATATGAAATGATACAATATGATAGGAAACAATACAATTAGATACAGTATTATAAAAAAACGATATGAAAGGATACAATATGATAGGATACAATACAATCTGATACAATATGATAAAATATGTTATAATAGGATACAGTGTGATAGGATACAATACGATATGATACATTATGATAGGAAACAATACAATTTGATACAGTATTATAGAATAGGATATGATACGATACAATATGATATGACACAATATGATAGGATACAATACAATCTGATACAATATGATAAAATATCATATGATATGATTCAATATATTATGATACAGTATGATGCAATATTATTTGATTTAGTATGATACGATACTGTACAATCTAGTTGATACATTTTGATATGATACAGTGTTATGCAATACAATACAATATATGAATACAATGGTCAGTTTTGTCACCATGGAAAGTTTGTCTTCCTATGCTAGCCTTTGATACAACACTTTATGGTATGATTTGAAATTACACTGTACAGTAAGATATGATGCAATTTAATACAATGCAGAGCAGTTCTGTATGATAAAATAAGATCTGATATGATATGATGAATATATATGAAGAATAATGTTTGTTTTTGCCTGTGTAGATCTCCCTGAATCTGACAGCCGAAAATAAACTCATTGATAAAAATACGTACTGTCCCTTTAAGTCGTTCTGCACAGTAGTCAATCAAACAAACAAACAATCAAAGTGCTTGAAATCCTTATTGTTCACAGATTTCATAATAAGATATTATGATTATCCGAGATCAACGGTCAAATCCTGCATGAGGGTGATTAGGATAATTTGAATTTTCTAACGTCGTGTAATCGCATTATATCTTGAAGTGAGGAGTGCTGGACTGCTCAGTGTCTGTCTGTCTGAATCAGAATCAAAGAGCAACAACTTTTTCCTTGAGCCACTGTAGTGCACCCACTGCTGAGTAATCACGCAAGGGCAAACTCATCATAGAGGAGGGGAAGGAGGAGGACACAACAATATCTTTACTTGCAGTCGGCTAAGTCGACAAGAATGCAACTTTGTCTGCTTTGTGTTGTATCAGTAGCGTGTGAAATACGGCACCTGCTTAACAGGTCGAACTGGGCAATGAACATGTTTGTTGTCCTCTTTTATTTTGTTAACCCTAAAATTCTCTTCCCAACTATGACTGCTCTGCACATCTGCTCTAAGAATATAAACAACCATAAAAGGAAAAAGCTCACTGCTGGAGGATACTTCCTGTGAGTGCAGATGGAGGAAATCAAAGTAGATTCAATTACATGGATACTTGAACTTGATTCCTTATTACAGGAGCTTCCCTTTGCAGCACTTCCTTACTCAGCGTTGCATTTATTGGCTGCCTCTCTCTTCTTTTTTATCTTGCCCCCCCCTCCTGCATCTTCCTCCTTCTGTTCCTCTCTCTTGCAGCTTATCATCGACACCCCCACCAGCCCAGTCACCAGCGGCCTGCCTCTCTTTTTTGTTATCACTGTCACCGCCATAAAACAGGTAGGACACACACAAACGTGCTCACATTTCCAGGAAATATTGTCCCCTGCCTTACACACTCACTCCCGGCCTCAATTACACACACTCGCTCCACTATTTGGCTGCTCTCTTCTCTGTATACACACATTCCTCTCTCAGCGAAAGGACATGCTATTGAATATGTCTGGTGATGTGAGAAATATGATAATGAATGGTCTCCTCTGTTAATCACTCTAGCTGAGGATCCCAGGCCCCAGGGAGATGCATCCTCTCTGCCGCGTCCTCGTGCAGAGGGATGGGGTAGTATCGGTGATAGATGGAGCTGCTCTAGCTAAGGAAGCCAGAGCTTTACTGGGACATAAATCTAAAACATGACATGTTGGCTAGAAATTCAGGAAACAGGTCACTAAGCTGGGAGAGCACAGTGCTAATTAATTACCGAGTATGACTTTCACCTCTCCCCTTCCTGGTTTCGCACTCTGCTCTGGCCCCGATCCTCTCTACACAATAATCTATACCCCCCCGCGCCAACAAACACTTTGGCTTTCTCTTCCTTTTCCTCGCTCACAGCTTTGTACTCTATCCCCTCTCTCTGCGTCTCTCTCAGGGCTACGAGGACTGGCTCAGGCACAAGGCTGACTGCTCTATAAATGAGTGTCCGGTGGACGTGGTGCAGCGGGGGAAGGTGGTGAGGACGCAGAGTCACAAGCTACGGGTAAGAATGGCCTCATTAGAGCAGCACAGCACCTGAGGCTACGATGTGTCTCTACAGTACTGCTGCAAAGCTCCATTTTTCTATAACTGCCTCCACAGTCCCTCTTTCTCTTCCTCTCCAACTTTGTTGCTTCCTGTCTCGGTCTCTCTTGACTTTCCAACCAATTAATTCCCCTAAACTGCAGTAGAGGAGCGATGACGATGTCCCTCGAGGCGCCCTGCACGAGTTCCTCTGAAAGTAAACAGGACGGATGTATTTCAAAAGTTCAGACATTCTTGTCATCATCTTTGGATGCTCTCTTGCATCATTCTGATACAGCAGCGAATAACTAGCTTGACTGAGGAGCTCAGTTTAGATCTATTGTGAAACATTATGAAACATTATGAAAAGACATATTATGAAACAAAATCCACCTTTAAACTGTTTCGTCACCAAAAATAATCAACTGGGCATTTTTGCTGGGTTTTATGTTGGCAGAGATGTCAGTAAGTAATCTTAAACATGTATTTTTCTGTGAGGTCGAGATGAACAACATGTGTTTTCACATTTAGCTATCAGCTCTGAGTTTTGAGTTTTGGACAGAGGAGACAGTTCAGTTTTGAAAGTTAGCAATGCACAACAGACACGGCTAATGACGCAGACATGGAGGTTGACTGCTTTTGACCAGATTTGACCTCTCCACTGGATTTAAAGCTGACAGACTGATGGAAAGTCAGTGCAGAGAGATAGCTCAGACTGGCAGAGCTGGCATACCAGTAAGTCTGCATACCAGCAACATCAGTGTCTCCTGAGCCTGTGTTTGCTGCTACCAGGCTGACTGTGACCTGGATGTGCTTCAGACTGACGTATGACCCTGCGAACGTGTATATTTTCTCAAAAATAAGAGTACACTTTGAATTTGTTTCCCGATTACACAGACATTCGATCATCTTGATCACTGATCTATGTATCACACCAAATGTTTCCCTCTGTAAAAACAAGCGCTTGTAATTCAGGGTTAAAAAGTTGTATAAAAATAGGAAGGACTGTCTTAAAGGATACGTTTTATGTATTTCCATTTATAGTTTGAGTTTCCATAGGGGTGAAGATATATATAGCAAAAGCTCATTATTTAGTCAAACACACACACACACATTCAGTCTTTTTTCTCTGTCCCCCTTTCTCTCTCACACACACACACAACAGCCTGCATTTTTATCGTGCCACATTCTGGGCACGCACTTCAGACACATGTCAAATAGTGCTATCTGTTGTTACATACCACAGCCAACTGTCTTTGCTTTTTTTTTTATGTGGACACATAAAGTTGAACCAGAGGGGACAACAATTGTTTAAGTACAAAAGCTTTAGCCTTGTTAAAGTAGAAAATAAACGCCGTTCCTTTCCCACTGTGGAGATGAAGTAGACAGGCAGGCAGTAGTTATGATCCCAGAGCCCCTGAGTCTGAAGTCAAATGTCCTTTCTTTATTCAGGCCTGGACAAGGTCGTATTTGTCGATAAATGGTCCATTTAGGTCCACACAGAACACAGCAGTAAGCCGGTTCCTGGTCGCACAGTTAGTGTTGTCACATTTTGCTTCTTTTAACATGTGAGTAATAGTATCCTCCGTTACAAAAAGCATATTTTAATTTTCATATTAATGTTTGTAATGTAAATGTCAAACCACAGTCCTATGGTTGTACGCCTATCATGGAAATTCAGACTCCTCCTCATGGTAGCTGAGCTTTCATTGACTCACATACATCTCAAACCTTGTCTCTCAACAAGTAATGCACAAGTTTGCTTCTTTCTTCTGTCCTCCTAAACTTTAAGAAATGTATCAATGATTTGAAAAAAAAGATGGAAAATTAGCGTTTTATAAGGATTGTATATTAAAAAAAAATGGAAATATTGCATTTATTATATAATCGTAGGTCAGTCAGCTGGTCTTGAAAAGCTTTAAGAACAGTGAATTTGATTAACAGCTTTCAACACAATGCCTGAAGGGGTATAAAGTCTAAGATTTAATTTATAGGATCTTGGATATTTCCTTATGCCAATTTGGCTCTGAAACATAGACTATAATCTTATTTGCATCATGGGCTCTCAGGAGACTCTACTTATCTATACGCCATGACTACTTTGAGGGAAGTGGACTGTTCGGGGAGGAGACTGTCAGATTATTTTTACAGCTTTACTGTATCTGTAACAAACAAGGCTGCAAAAGGTGGGACTCTAATTGGTTTTGAGAGAGAGGGTAAATGGCCTCTTGGGCTGTCTGGAAAAAAAAGAGTAGCTCCAATCATGACACCTCACAGGACAGACTGAGGGGTGCTGAAAACATTAAAGAAAGACTGAGTTCATGAGGCCATAAGACAATCATTTATACATTTCTACTTTGTTTTAGTAGTCCTATTTCTGGTAACAGATATAGGGGGTAGCTTCACTGTGCCGACACGTTACTCTGCAGAAATCCTATATCATCCTCGTGTGAATGAAAACAGATGTGCTGAGTTCAGCAGCTCACGTGTAGCCGCACAGATATGGTCTATTTCAGGCTTGTTTTACTGCTCTGTCTGAGGGTGTATAAGGAGTGCAGGTTTATTTATTTTCTCCTGTGTCTATCAAGTGTGTTGAGACTGTGTTGAGGACCAGCTCAGACACGGTCCTCAAGTTTGCCACTTAGACTAAAATGCTCAATAGTCTGGAAGTTTGATAGGTTTAGTAAGATTTTTTTTTGGTACTAAATGCATTAAACAAACTCCACACTTTCCCCCCATCTGTCGTTTTCTCTTCCTCCATCTCCGTCTGTCTTCCAGCAGTTTTGTACCAAGGTTTCTCACAGCCTTAGATCAAACACAGAGGATTAGAGTGTGAATTGGGAGCAGGAATAATGATGAATATATTAATCATGCAAAATCAGAGAGCGTGTGTCATGTGTATGGTCACCATGGAGATGGGATTTATCAAAGCTTAAGCTGCTCCGCTCACATAATCCATTACGCAACTTCTCAATCCTTTGGGGAAAAAAAAAAAAGGAATGGTAAAGGATGAGCAGACGATTACCCGCAGGTCTGTTTCTTTGTCTGGTACTCTGCGTGTTTATGTGAGCCTCTCGTCAAAACAGTCCCCATCTATTATTGATAACGTCTCTGTCTCTGTCAGGTGGGGGACATCGTCGTGGTGAGGGAGGATGAGACTTTTCCCTGCGACCTCATCCTGCTCTCGTCCAGCCGCTCTGACGGGACCTGCTATGTCACCACCACCAGCCTGGACGGGGAGTCCAGTCACAAGGTGCCAGACAGAGAGCATGATTTTCACTGGACATGTTTAAATAAACTTAAAATCAATGACGACCAAACATGAAGGATTAATGATTCAGGAGAACTTTAGAGGCTTAGTTTGGGGCATTTATAGTGTTAAAACACACTATCCTGTGTTTTTTAATCAACAAACCTTCATGAAACGAAGCTTCGTGTAACAATTTTTAATTTGTAAAAGCCTCCTGACTATCTTTTGGTTTATTTATTAATCTATTGAAAGCCTCAGAAAATCTTTGCTTGTGTTTACATGGTTTTGTGCATGTAGTTTTTCCTTTAATCAAGGTCCATATTGAAAAAAGTGAACAAAGCTCGATGATTAATTTGCTGAACAGCGTGAATTGACTAATTATTAACTTGATTAGTTTGTTACATTTATTTTGAGCTGCTGTACAGAATCGCTTTTTTTATTCATTTGCCAATTCTTCCTTCATTTGTCAAAGAAATGTTTTTGAATTATTTTTGATATAATTTTTTTCTAGTATTTTTGATATCTCAAGTTTGGATCTAAATTATATTCAAGTTTTCTATCATGTAAAGTGAGAAAACAAACAAATTCTGCTTTAAAAGGTCAAAATAAGATATTTTTTGTTGTATTTTTATTATAAAAGTCTAATCGACTGTCATATCAGGTACAGATTTTCTGTTGATTTTCCAAACTAAGATTGACTGAGAATTTTGACACACAAAAAAACCTTTATTGAGTCGTCAAATCAGTCAGTTTGATGCTTTTCTTTGTCATTTGTAAATATTTTCAGTTATTCAGACAGTAGAGCATTCATGTTTTGAAGTTTCTGAATAAAACTGGAGGGTTTATCAAGGAAAATAAAGAGACAGAAGAAGAATGATGAGGAAAAATGCCAAAATGATATGAGCATTAAGTCCTTATTTTACTAGAATTGAGTTGTGAGAGTAATAGTTGTATGTTTTTGAGAAAATAGTCGAATTAAAGAGGACGTTTTAATGTGGCTCCAATACTCAGCCACAGTAAGATGTAGATTTATCAAAACTAAAGCGCCATTGTTCGGTCCATACATTAAAAAAGGACAGATGAGTCATGAAGTGATCACAGACTCATGAATGTTTAATGCTGCAGGTGCCACTCCCCCTCTGATGTTCACCGCTGTCACTCATGCAGCCGTATGCATGGCCAAGCACATACATCACACACACACGTCCCACAGTCTAGCATAGTGACCTCAGACATGCCTCTGTGGCCACCCCCCTGATGGGCTCCCCATCCCAGCATGCCCATCCTGTCCTGACCTGGGGGAGCAGCTCACCTGTCACTTAGAGAATCTGCTGGAGGCCGTCTGGAGGAGTCAGATGAACCCTGCTCTCATTAGTAGCTGTGGGTGACATTTTCCTCTGTTGTCTTCTTCTTCTTCTTCTTCTTCCCCTTTTCCTTCACCTTTCTCTGTCAGACCTATTATGCTGTACCTGATACCATGGCCTTTAGAACGGAGCAGGAGGTGGACTCACTACACGCCACTATTGAATGTGAACAACCGCAGCCTGACCTCTACAAGTGAGTGTGACACATGCTCACTGATGAATCTCTGCACACAAACTATCAGCCTCTCAAAGACTGACCCTCCCTCGTTGCCTCCGCCTTCATATTTTGCTTTGACATATTTGCAGATTTGTGGGACGCATCAATATTTACAAGGACAAAGAAGAGCCTGTGGCGAGGTGAGTGTGCTTTTATGAATCACACAGGTACTTTTTCATGTTTGGTATTTCAAGGCCAACTCCAATCTCTCTCTGTTAGTCAAATATCTTGAATGAGTCGATCTGTTTTATTCTTGCAGACCACTCGGGGCTGAAAACTTGCTCCTTAGAGGAGCGACACTGAAGAACACGCAACATATTTATGGTAAAACTAACAAACGAACTTAAAGCTGTGTCTCCTGGATGTTTTCATAGCGAAGACAGACGGATCAGTCATTGTTGTCTTATTTTCTCTCCCTTCAGCTGTTGCAGTCTACACTGGTATGGAGACCAAAATGGCGTTAAATTACCAGTCTAAATCTCAGAAGCGCTCAGCTGTAGAAAAGTAAGATAACCTTTCGATGTCTTAAGCTCAGTTTCTCGTCACTTTCCCTGTTTCCTCTTCCTGATCTCTACTCTGCCTCTTCACAGGTCAATGAACGCCTTTCTCATCGTGTATCTTTGCATCCTGATCAGCAAAGCCGTGATCAACACTGTCCTAAAATACGCTTGGCAGTGGTCGCCCGACAGAGACGAGCCCTGGTACAACCACAGGACGGAGAACGAGCGGCAGCGTCACGTGGTCAGTTCATCAACCGTGAACTTCAAAACACAAACCTAACACCTGAACCCTCCCCTAAAACTTCTTTGTGCGCCTCTGATCCAGGTGATCCGAGCATTCACGGACTTCCTGGCCTTCATGGTCTTATTTAATTACATCATCCCGGTGTCCATGTACGTGACGGTGGAGATGCAGAAATTCCTCGGCTCATATTTCATCACATGGGATGAGGAAATGTTCGATGAGGAGCTTGGAGAGGGCGCTCAGGTTAACACCTCTGACCTGAATGAGGAGCTGGGACAGGTACGGGATTACACACACACACACTTCCACGCTGCGTTTAAGCCCTTCGCAGATTTGCCCTCACCTCACTCTTTTCTTTTCTCTCTTTTTCTCGCAGGTGGAGTATGTGTTCACTGATAAGACCGGCACTCTGACAGAGAACAACATGGAGTTTATTGAGTGCTGTGTCGATGGGAACGTCTACATCCCACATGCCATCTGCAACGGCCAAATCCTCAGCGCTGCCTCCAGTATAGACATGATTGATTCTTCACCTGGAGGATACAGGAGAGTAAGTGTGTGTGTGTGTGTGTGTGTGTGTGTGTGTCTGTGTGTGTTTGAAAAAGTAAACAGGCTTCTAAATCCAGCCTGAATAGACTCTTGGCTGTACTAACTGCTGCAAATAGAGACAGAGCCAACAAAAAAGAAACTTATGAACCATACCTACAGATTAGCATGTCACATTTTCAGACAGGTGGCTTGTTAAAGCAATTACCTTTGACATTTCGATCGCAACAAATGTCTGTTTTGCCCGTTCTCAAGGCTGATAAACACAGTCGGGTTACAGCGTGTGGAAGTTAATGAAAACTTTGACATTTTCTTTTTAACACTAAAATGTTTGCAGTTATTTGAAATAGGGGAAAAAGTGGTTCCGGTACAAAGAGAAGTGATGAGCAGCATAATTATGGCAACATTGCTGGTCATTATTTATATTTAATTGAGGCGAAACTGATGGTACCACAAATGACCAGTGAGAGAGAACAAGAGGAGCAATCTTTACCAAACTTGTGAGGATAACTTTTCTAAAAAGATTTTTTTTTAATCATTATTTTTTATTTTTTTTAACACAGGAGAAATTTTAAGGAATTAAACAAAAATAAATAAAATAAAATAAAATCATTTTGTATTGAGTTGAGATTCTTAGAAGTCTAATTCAGAAATATCAAACAGACTTGAAGCGTCAAACATGTCCTGAAACGACCCTAAACTACAGATTTGTTTCAGAAAAACGAACATTACTCATGAAATCTACTGACCTTCCAAAGATGTAGATGAAACTGCAAAACGCCAAGGATGATTAAGGTGTGTCCTTGTCTCTGCAGGAACATGAGGATCTGTTTTTCCGGGCGCTCTGCCTGTGTCACACGGTGCAGGTGAAGGAGGAGGAGACAGTGGATGGCATCAAGAGGGGCATCCACCAGGGCCGGCCCACCTCCTTCTACATCTCCTCCTCGCCGGATGAGGTGGCGCTGGTGGAAGGAATGAAAAGGTAAAACACTGAACCACACAGAGGGTACAGTCTCTGTATGTTTTATTGGCTTCACTCTGAATTTATGCTAATAAATCAAGCCTTTTCCATCTTTAATGAATATCTTCAGGGATTACTTTCACTTTAAGAATATGTTGTGAGTCCTTTGTTGTAAATAAGTCTTTGAGGTCTAACACACAAACAATAAAAATTTTAATGTCCTCCCTGCTAATGTTCTGGCGCTGTGCCAGCCGTTATGTTGGCAAGGCAGTTTGTTGTTGTGATGGAGTTCTGCCAAAATGTGAGCTCTGCAAACAAAGCACTCAAACCAGAGTTAACCAAACCGCCCTGCAACGCCACGAAACATCACTGCGTCACTGCAACACAGTCAATCAAATATTCACATTTATACTTGGACTAGTTGCAAACTTTGACAGATGACATGAAAACTTATTGAGTTTTCACGCAGCAGCCAATTTGTGGGTGCTGCCATCTTGTGTAGCTGCCAGGAGTGCTCTGGCAACTGCTGTGTGCTGGCTGTGACAGCAGCAGAGAGATAGAAGGATTAAATATTCTTGAAGAACTTCTCAGTGAATCTATGACCCTGTTCACACCTACCGTTTACACCAGATCTGGGTGATCTGACTGCGAGTGACAAGTTTTAACCTCATATGTGAACACTCATAAATGTGTGCAGAGATCTGATCACTGAGTCCGCATACTGAAGTGGTCCGGGAGGTGTTTGTCCTGGTAGTGTGTACACTCATGAGTGCTGGTCCACTCTACTGTATCCACAGCAACAATCACTTAAAGCCCGGTTTACACTAACAAAGAAAGCGATTCAATTAGGGCTGGGTGATATGGCCTCAAATCAATATCACCATATATTGAACAGTTCACCTCGATAACGATAAATGGACGATAACTACTCCACAAGCTGCTCACCTCCCTCCACATTAACTACTTCAGCCGCCGCTCCAGCTGCTACATCTTTTGTACCGTCCTCCGTCTCCTCACCTGTCTTTCCCTCTTTGTTATGGACCGGATGGGGTGGAGTCATGTAGGACAGCGTCTTAAAGGGACATGAGACCATAGCCCACCTACACACATCCAAAACCAGCTTTGATTTATTTATTTTTTTGACACTGAATATACCGATATGGGCAACATATTATCGGTTATTGTTGTAAATTTCAGTATCGGTAAATTTTTGGTTTATCGTCCAGCCCTACCTTCAATAGTGTTCGTTTAGAGACTAGATTAGATTAGATTCAACCTTATTTCTCTTTTTTAGAAGGTTCCCTCAAGAAGAGTAAAACACCAGTAGCATATTTGCAGAAAAGAAAAAAAGAATGATCAGATATACAATATATATAAAGAATAAAGATAATACATCTCCAGTGAGAGAGCAAGACGCATCACTAGAGACCCAAGGTTAATGCAGGATGTCAGTGCTTGTACATAAGGCTGGTGACTTGGGTCCAGATCACTGAAAACCAGATCAGTGTTGATGCAAAGTCTGAACAGTCTGTGAGCATAATGTCCACTCTTATACAGAGGATATCTTCATGAGGGAATGACTGGTTGGGCTACAGAGTGTGTGATGGGAACAGTAGATGATATGATTATCCAGAGTTTTTGCGTAAATAATAGCTTTTAAAAGTTTTTCATTGTCTGGAGCAACATTTGCACTAGGGCTGGGCGATATGGCCTCAAATCAGTATCATGATATATTGAAAAAACAACTTTTATTTATTTATTTTTGACACTGAATATATTGACATGGGCAAAATGATGTTGGTTATTGTCGCAAATTTTGGTAGCGGTTAATCTTCGGTTTATCACACAGGCCTAATTTGCACCATAAGACAAACGGATAATCAGAATTTTGTTCTATAATATAAAACCATGTTAGACTTATAGTTCAAATCACCTATTTACAAGGTGCCACTTTAACATATTGCTTTTACAGATGTGAGACACTGTAATAAGAGTGTCTGTATACTGTATCTGTCAAAAACCTTTAGCCTTTCCATGTGTGATGATAATACTGTTACACTGACTGGACATGGGTCCTCTCTGTTGAATTTATATTAATCCCTTTTATCTCCTCCCCCTGTCTTGTTGTCAGGCTGGGCTACACTTATCTGAGGCTGAGAGACAACTACATGGAGATCCTCAACAAAGACGATGAGATTGAAAGGTTGGTCCGTTGCGGTTACACCACAGGGGATAAGATAGGAGTAATTCAGCTGATGGAGTTGTGGTCATACATCAGCTGCCTGCAGAGAAACCGCACTCAGTTTGTGTTACGTTTTCAGTCCACACACACACACACGCACACACACAAAAACCTACAACCTCAAAAGAGTGGGCAGCGGGTTGTTTTTAGAAAGTGCTCGATCAGATCAAAATGCTCCGACCGATCTGCGAGAATGAAAGGCAGCGAGAATCCATTAGAGAGCAGGGTTTGTGGAGAGGGTCTAATGTCTGATCCGTGGGAAGTGTTCATATGACCAGCCTCTCTCTCCATCACTCTCTGCAGCAGCCTGTCAATAGTGAGCTATTTTAGAGAGGCAGGGGAGCAGGCGAGGAGGAGGAGGAGGAGGAGGGAGGAAGGGGGAGGGGTGGAGGTTATCCAGCAGATTGGAGGGAATGGAAAGGCAGAAGGTTGGAGGGTATTTCCACGCAGTTCGTTTTTAACCATTGAGAAGGGATGTGGATCTTTTGTCCCTTTGCCACTGAATCTCTGAACACGGGTGTTGTTGTTCACCATTTAGAGGAGCTGAGGAATCTTTTTTCAGCAGTTCAAATGAGAACTGGAGGAGGGTTTTTAGTTTAAATGTGGATTTAATGAAACTCAAAGAGGCACTTTAAGCTGGACCTGTCCTAGAATTTCAAGTGTACATCAAGAAACAACAACATGAAACACAATTAACCACCAGTGTGGCGGAGATGCGTATCCAAGGACCCTCTTTGTTGTGTAAATAGCAGGTGCCCTTAAAAACTAAATTAAACCCTGAAGTATATTTTCCTCTTCAGGTCAGGGGAACAGAGCTTTCATAAACAGAAGATGGGCTCTTATTAGAAGTGTACAATAAAATGAGCTAAAAAGGACTTGTTGAGCGTAGTTTGCACGACTTGATAGAAAATAGCAAAGAAGGTGTTTTTTATTGAAATATTTTGTGCATTCATTAAAATTCAAACATCGATAGTTTAAAAAACTTGCTATTAGAGGTTTTAAAGGGCTTGCTCCCTTCACCATTACATGAATAACATTGTACAGAAAATACATAATATGGATCTATAACATAACATAACATAACATAACATAACACAATAACATAAAACATCTATAACACAATATGTCATTTTTTTAAGCCAAAGAGTTTGTAGATTTGTTTTGTTTGCGCTCTTTAGAAGAGTCCTGTTAATGACAAGTTTGTTATCTCTTTGTGAAAGTACCTTTTTTAAGTCAACAGATGAAGTTCAGCATCAAAAATTACACAGAAAGCACAAAGACCTCCTTCACACCAATCCTTTCTGTGTCTCAGGTTCGAGCTGCTCCATGTCCTGAACTTCGACTCCGTCAGAAGGAGGATGAGCGTCATCGTCAAGTCAAGCTCAGGTGAGATGACGCTCACGCACAGAGGCCACAGCAGGCGTCAGTGACAGGTTGAAGATTTGATTTATGAGTGTTCGCCGGTTAATTAATTTGTTTGCGATATTTCAGGAGAATACCTGCTGTTCTGTAAAGGAGCAGACTCCTCCATTTTTCCTCGGGTGGTGTCGGGGAAGGTGGAGCAGGTGAAAGCCCGGGTGGAGCAGAATGCTGTGGTAAGTGCACAGTCTGACTGTTACGTGCATTGTTTAGACTTTGAGGTTTTATGACACTTTTTAGGTGTTTTTGTAAAATATCTTTATTCTCTTAAGCTTTTAAAAGAAATTGAAAATAGGAAAGAATAAACGGAACTGACCACAAGGACTGAAACGCTCCAGAAAAGATTTGATTTGTTGAAAATCTGACAGCATAAAAAGTTTAGTTACAAGTATTGTTTGATGAAATTTTAAGTATCAGCTGCTCTTAACGACAAATCTCAATCTTGATTTTTGCAAAAGAGGATCACTTTGACCACACTGCAATGCTCCTTAGCTCTTTGTAGTATTTTAGTTTCTTTTAGATGCTTGTTTTGGTTGTTTTAACTGATAAGGAATTATCTCTCTGGTTTGGCTCAGCATGTCATAATAAACAGACATACTATAGTTCGTGACCTAAGCTGCAGGATACAGAATAGATGCTGAGATTTCTGTACATCTGTTACTTGAGTGTTGGCTCTTACATGAGCGTCAAAATCTTTACAAGGTGATCATTTGTCAGTTTTGTGCTTACAGTTTGTTTAAATGCTCTAATATTGCCAAAAAATGAATTCTCAGAAGTACCAGTTTTTCCCTTTAAACCGTAATGGTTAAACTGAATCATCTTGCATTAGTTCACATGATGTGTGGCAGCTGCATATCAAAGTTACACTCTCTCTTCTTCACTGTGTCACAGGAGGGGCTGAGGACTCTGTGTGTCGCGTATCGACGGCTGTCAGAGACCGAATACGAGGAGGTTTGTCATCACCTGAACGAAGCCAAGCTGGCCCTGCAGGACAGGGAGCAGAGGCTGGCACAGGCCTATGACATCATCGAGAGGGACTTTGTGCTTTTGGGCGCTACGGCAGTGGAGGACAGGTTGGTGGCCGTGCGGAGAAAGAGGGGGGAGCAAAGGGGGGAGGGAAAGATTTAAAAACAGAGCAGCAGCAGCAGCAGGGGAGACGAGGGAAGATTAATGAGTCATGAAGTCGCCTTCAAAGTCCCATAATGACTCATGAGGGCAGAAAAGATTTAGTCTGAGCCCTAATAGGTGACTTTCTTCTTCTACTGCTGCGCTATTTTGTTTCCTCTCCTGCAGTTTATTCTCCGCTCTGTTAATTTATTCACTGTTTTCATGCTGCAACAAGGTAGATTTCAGTATTGATCTGTAAAGGTAGTTTTCCCTTACTGATCGATCCGCCGCCTGACAGTTTGCCTTTCAAGTAGATAAACTGGTGATAGGCAGGGACCAGGGTGGTCAAGCATTGATAACTTATCACCCGTTGGTAATTGATCAGTTGAAGTTTTGACAGATGCTTTTACGGTACCCAGCGGAGGCTGAAACACTTATTGACTTATCGACACGCAGGCTCCAGGAGAAAGCTGCAGACACCATCGAGTCGCTGCACAAGGCGGGGATGAAAGTTTGGGTCCTGACGGGGGACAAGATGGAGACGGCGGCTGCGACCTGTTATGCCAGCAAGCTGTTTCGCCGAAGCACCCAGATCCTAGAGCTGACCAAGAAACGCACAGAGGAGCAGAGTCTGCACGACGTTCTGTTTGAGCTGAACAGGACTGTTCTCAGACAACGCTCGATTTCAGGGTACGAGTAGGAAAACAGATTTATCTGCTTATTCTTTTCCAAGTTAAGTACATCAAGAAATAGTGGGGGGGGGGGACTCCAAAATATTTGATATTGTTAAAGAAAAAGCTGCAAAAAGAACAATATAAGCTTTATTTTCTTTTCAAAATTACTTAAAACCTCCTTTGACAGTTTGCCAAAATTGCTGGCAATTGACTGATCTCTAATCCAGATACTGGCCGCAGCTCTACAGTGTGAATCTGCCCGCTAAATAACTTGGATCCACATATCAATAACTTCTAATTACATTTGCACCTCACATCTAATTAAAACTGGGAATCTCATGCCTGTGGTCCTCTGTAATGGGTTGTGTAAAATCTCCGTCCTGATTGGTCCGTGATACTCTTTTCCAGGTTGTCGGTAGACTGCCTTGATTTCGGTCTGATCATCGACGGGGCCACTCTGTCAGCAGTCCTGAAGCCCAACCAGGAGGGAGCCGGGCCGGGAAACTACAGAGAGATTTTTCTAGAGATCTGTCGCAACTGTAGCGCCGTGCTCTGCTGTCGCATGGCACCGCTGCAGAAAGCACAGGTGAGAGAAGTGCATCTAATTTTACAGATTTCACTCCAGGCACAATCCTGAGTGACATCAGTGGTGGTGACTGTAACGGGGGTTTTGTTTCTGCAGATTGTGAAGCTAATTAAAGCCTCCAAGGAGCACCCCATAACCCTTGCCATCGGTGATGGCGCCAACGATGTCAGCATGATCTTGGAAGCACATGTGGGGATTGGTGAGCTCATTTTAACACCATAATTAGGGACTTTGACGAATCATCCCTAAATATAAAGAAGACTGAATGTTTAACACCTTGACTGATGCTGACATTTCAAAGTAAAACAAATCTGATGAGGTGAATCAGTGTTTTTATATAAACTAAAAGGCTTCATATACATAAATCACCATTTTTGGCAAGATTCTCTTAATTTTCTAAAAATACGCGCCAAGTAACAATTTTGAACACTTTTCAGAAAAGTTTTAATAGATTTCTCAAAAAGTGTTTAACTATGGTAAATAAATAGCCTGTAAATAATAATAATAGCTTTATTTTTATAGTACTTTTAAAAACAGAAGTTTACAAAATGCTTTGACAAAAAGTCATACAGTACAGAGAATCAGCACATGGACATAAAAACAAATAAACACAAAAGCTCAGTTAGAACAAGGCCTCTGATCTGACAGCCAGTTTTATTTGTCATGAGGAACCCAGACAATACAAGAACCCATCAACATAAAATGAGACCATGAGGTACAAAATAAAAACATAAAATATGTGAGAAGAAGAAATGTAACTAGAAAATGCAATTTCTGAAGAAATTGCGAGTGGGATTGCTTCAGTTGAAATTGCTATCGCTAAGCTGCTATTGCGAATGGCTGAATTTTAAAAATTAGTGAAAGGTCAAAAGGTATGAAGTATCAGGAAGATTTGAATCAGTTTGAATAAACTCTGTTGAATGAATTGAATAATGCATGAATAATAATTTTAAAAATTCAACATGTGAAAATTAAAATGATTAAAAACCCTGAAGTATGGGAAAGGCTTGAAGAATCAATAAGGTTTGAATCAGTTCAAATGAGTTGAAATTTGCTTGAAAGAACTGAATAATGCATGAAGAGTAAAAAATATTTAAAACTGGAAAATTAAAAGGTTACAAATCTAGAAGAAAAAGAGGTTTGAAGAATCAAAACGGTTTAAATCAGTTTGAAGAACTAAATTATGCATTTTCAATGAATGATTGAAAAATGGGGACAATGTAAATGAATAAAAATCCTGATTAGACCCCATAAGGTTTTAAATGTTACCCTCAGAACTCTGTGTACTGAGCCTGGCTTCATGTGTCTCATATGGCTGTTAGAAGCAGCTTTCCAGCCAGCTGTGTGTCTCCAGGTGCTGCCTTTGGTTGCCATGGTGATGATAGATGCTTAACAACAGCAGGAGAAAGGAGGCTTGAGGCTGAGAACGTAATGCCCAAACAACGTCATATTTCTCATCCTCTGTAACTGCTATCTCCATGATAAGGAGCTTGTGGGAACCACAAGACCCGGCTGAACACGTTGATACAACTTCTGTGTCTGTGGAGCCAAAAATGCCTTCACTACGACGAGTTAAAAACATGTCCAGTTTGTGTTTCCTCTGAAAATCCTCCTCTCAGGTTTATATTGGAGTCAATGGAGAAGGCTGGAGAAATCTGGGGGATGTCTGCGGCAGTTGGTGTCTGCCCAGGCCACTGTGTGTGTCCTATGGCTTTGATTTTTGAGATGAAGAGTGACAGCAAGTTTTGCCATCACTGTACCAATTTTTATCTGTGTAGAGCGAAGTGAGTTGCCACAATCCTTTTGTAAAGACAAAGTTTTGAGGATCAATTTTCAGCCCCTCTCACTCTAGCTGTGAGGTCACCCACTCTAGCGGCCAACATTCCGTGCAATACACACTAATGTTAAAACCTGAACAGGTCTGAAAATCTTTGGACTTTTTGAACTGTCACTGTGAGAAAAGTATGAATGCCATGAAGATGGTGAATGAATGAGTGAATGTCTAAAGATGTGTGAATATTTAAAAGTTTGAATGAAGTTTCTAGGTGAAAGTGTGAATGAATGAGAAGAGGTTGAAGTTGACTACGTCTGAAGCCCTTTTCCCATTGACTGCCATTATAACGAAGTTTTAAACAAATCTTAATATTTTGAAAAGTACAAATGGGAGTAAAAATGTTGAAGATGTGGAATAATGCTGACGAATTTGTGAATATTTTGGTTTTTGAATGAAGTTTCTACGTGGAAGTATAGCGGAGTTGAAGGCTTTTGAAGTTTGAAGCCAATTTGAACATTCCGTAATGCATTTCTAATGGGAGAAATCGGTCGGAAAACCTGGAATATCTCGGAAAGTGTGAATGTTAGGAAAATTTTGAATACACCCCTGAATGTCCTCAATGAGATGAATCTTTTGAAGTTTGAATGGTTTGAATACGTTGAAGTATGTGGAAGTAGTTAGGGCACAAAAAACGGTGGAATAAGAAGAAGAAACGGAATAATAATAAAGATAGGTAAGAAAAGGAAATGTAATAAAAAAGGGGGGTTGAAAGCAGAAAACAGGATAGTAAACATGAAAAGACGATATTGATAATGATGATAAAATAATAACAAAATAATAATGGTAAGATAAAGTAGAATTAATGTTAGATATATAATATGTTAGATACTCTATATACTCAGCATAGATGTTAAACAGCATTTATTCCTACAATCCAATATTTGCTCACCTGTATCATTAAAACATGAGCAAGTCTTTACTTGTCATTTATATGTTGAGTTCAGTGAAAGCTACTTTTTCATGTTACATTTCGGCCCTTTAACATTTATGACTTTAACAGCCTCTTTCTCTCCCTGAAGGCATCATGGGTAAAGAAGGCCGACAGGCAGCAAGAAACAGCGACTACGCCATCCCAAAGTTCAAACACCTGAAGAAGATGCTCCTCGTTCATGGCCACTACTACTACATCCGAATAGCTGAACTTGTTCAGTACTTTTTCTACAAGGTAAAAGACGAATGCCTTCCTCTGTCCGCCACCGTCTCACTTATTTTAATCACTTTATCGTAATTCCCAGTGAGACACTGAGTTACAAAGAACCAGATTTTGCAGCGACTCTGACAGATTACCGGATTCATGAATCCCCGGTGTAACATTCTCTCCTGGATTCATAGCTACGACGATCAGTGTGGGCGGCTTCTACAGCAAGCAGTGCACTGCCAACTGATTCATTATTTCTTTTTGGCAGGCCAGCTCTTTACAGCCCACTCAGTCAGCTTATAGCACCCAAGCTCTGCGTAAACAGGAATGTGTAGATAGTAGCATTTTTAGATTCTCCAAATCTCTTTGCGTGTACTTGTCACAAGCTCATCACTTTCTCTGTTTGTTTGTTTTCTTCTTTTAAATCTTTCCAGAATGTATGCTTCATCTTCCCTCAGTTCCTCTACCAGTTCTTCTGTGGGTTCTCCCAGCAGGTCAGTCTTATTTACTTGAGGAGCTTCATTCATCAGTCAGTGCATTTCAGTATTTTCGGTAAAAGACCTTCTTTGGTTTTCATGTCATCAACAGATACTGATTTTTTTTAATCAGTGAGTTGTCTGATTTGTTCGTGCAACTCGAAAATGTTGTTCCTAATCGTTAACATTCAAGCTGAAACAAAAAAACTACATGAAACCACAGTCATGCTATCTGCTCAGCAACAAACTTCAAACAGACAAGGCTAATGTCTGTCTGAGCTTTTAGCAGGTGAAATGTAAGATTATATATTTATATTTGGACAAAGTGGTGCAGACCAAAGCAGAGCCAAAATACAGAATTGAAGTTGTTTCTAATTTTAATGTTTGCCGTGTTTGACTGTCTGAAATGCTTTTGTCCCTCTGCAGCCTCTGTACGACACCGCCTATTTGACGTTGTACAACATCAGCTTCACCTCACTCCCCATCCTCCTCTACAGCCTAGTTGAGCAGCACGTCACCATGGAAACACTAAAGCGGGAGCCCTCTTTGTACAGGTGAGAAAAAAAACTCTTACAACTTTTCGTGAGCTTTTATGATACGACTGCATGATTTTTTTTATTGTTGCTTATCTGACCTGTCTTTCCTTAAAGGGACATTGCAAAGAACTCCCTCCTCCGCTGGCCTGTCTTCCTCTACTGGACGTGCCTGGGTGTGTTTGACGCTGTAATCTTCTTCTTTGGTGCCTACTTTCTGTTTGACAACACCACCTTCACCAGCAACGGCCAGGTGAGCTCCTGTTTCAACACTTCATCTAAAAAAAGAAACAGTAATCAGCACTTTGTGGGGTGTTGTACGTGTCTGGTAGAGAAATCACAAGAAGATAACTGTTCAAGTTTGCATCTTCTGTAAAAACACGCATCCATCTCCATTGGATTCTCATGAAAGAGGAGTTAAGTGTTACCTTTGTGGTCATGTTTTTGTCATTATCGATCTGTAACAGTAAGGTTTTTGTCCCAGGCCCCTCATAGGTCAGCAACATTGGATCTCCATCCATATCGACAACGCAATAGCATCTTTCTCTGTATCGTTAATTTGTATCATGTCAACTGTTTTTGATTGCCTTTGGTCTTGTTTTTTAAGTTAAACATCTTGATATTCATTTTACCCTTTGTCCTGATTCTTTTCTCTTCTTCTTCCCCTCCTTCTCTCTGCTTCCTTTTATTTATTTTGCTTCTTTTTCTCTCTCTTTCTCCTCTTCTTCGTCCTCAGCTTATGACCACCAACACACAGATGGTAAGCCTGTCTCCCTCCCTGTCAGCTCTCTCTGTCTTTCACGCTTTTTTTAGTTCCTGTCGTACCGTTTAAGCTTTCAGTTTGACCGTCTCATCCAGTTTCATCCCTTCTCACTTCGCATCATTCATGCACTTTCATTTGAATGTGTAGTTTCTTAGTGCTCCATTATTCCCCCTAAGCTCTGTAAAGCTCTGAATCTTGCACAGTACCTGATCCTAACAGCTCCACTGACATGGTAGAAACCTTAGATGCTCCCCCACATTCTCCTGTGTGTTTGCTGTGGTAGTGAGTAGTTTAATGCTAGTATGTGCAGTAGATTAAGATCCAACATCTGTTTGTTGTTCTGTCTAATGTCTCTGTGCATTTGTGTGTATTTGTACGTCCATGTTTATGTGCCAGCAGTTCTTTGGGGCCATTTTTATTTTACTGTTTTAGCCTCTGAGGGGCTACTTGAGTTTTTCTCACTCTGTAGTCGTTTAAGCAAATTCACAGAAGGCTTGTGCACCTTTTGCATTCACGAAATCAAATGAGACAAAAAGGAAGGTCCTGGTAGGGCTGAGCGATAAACCGAAAACTTATAGATACCGAAATTTACTACAATAACTGATATCCTTTTGCCCATCTCGATATATTCTGTCAATAAATAAATAAATAAAAGTTGGTTTTGGATGTGTGTAGGTAGGTTATGGTCTCATGTCCCTTTAAGACGCCGTCCTACGTCAGAGACATGATTCCACCCCAACCAGTCCATAAGAAAGAGGGAGAGACAGGTGAGGAGATGGAGGATGGTTCAAAAGTTGTAGTGGCTGGAGTGGCGGCTGAAGTAGACGAAGCAGCTATCATTATTGAAGTGAACTGCTAAATATATCATGATATTGATATGAGGCCATATCGCCCAGCCCTAGATCCTGGTTCTTAAAACATCCCAAAGTGGTGAGATGCAATCTAAACTGCACTGCGGCAGCTTTGTGGCGCTTTGGTGACATTCCTGTATCGACCCAAATACAGGACGGGGTCTTTTACCTTGAATTACCTCTAAAAAGTGAGATCCTCCCATTCTACTCTGGGCGTGGTAATTAAAAGCTGATTTTCATTAACAACAGTAGACAGTGTCCCTTAGCTGCAAAGTGAGTGTTCCTTTAACGATAGAGGCCAGCTGTCACTCAGCGGTACAGATGGAGGGACGCGGTGATCACCTGGAACAAAGTGGCTCAAAAGAAGGCCAAACAAAGAGGACGGTTATCAGTGCTGGAGAGTCAGCCAAGAAATGTGGTGTCACAGAGTTTAATGTCCAGAGATGGTGGACACAAAAAGATTGTCTTAGAATATATGTATGAATATGTTACAGGAAAACAAAGGAGCAGATGTTACATAGTTTAAAACCAATACAAAAGTCCTGTTGAATATAATCCAGATCTAATTCACAAACAACCACAAAGAATCAGATTGAAAGTATGAGTCTCTTTTTATGACAATCCAATCTACATGTGGCTTAAGACATTCAAATCTCTGTAATCTCCTTGCTTGTAAATAATATTTGATATTATCTCATTATAATGATCAGGTTTATACTGGTCTGGGGTTAAAACCATGGCACAAAGGGACCCTCGTTTTGTTTTATTCTGCAAAGCATCATCGGAGAGATAAAGATGTGTCACCATCAAAAGGTATAGACAAAACTAGCGTAATTTTACAAGTTCTGTCTTCGCTATAACCTTAAAAAAAAGAGAGCGTCTCCCTCCTCTCATCATCTATTCTAGTACCATAAAATTCAACTCTGGGGCACAAGTTTTGCCAGTTGTTCAAGTTACCTCATGCCAGTCCTTAACTGTTGGGTTCAAATCCAACCTGCCATCCTCTGCCTCTTGTTACTGTCCTGTTCTCTAAGTAAAGGCGTAACCTCCCTGGAAATAAAGGACAATTACACCCTGTAGGTATGCAAGCTCAGCTCTTGCTGCAACAAAAAAAAATTGTGTAAACTTTATTAGCATTACTGGACTGGAATACAAGTTGGCCCTTCATGCTTTGTTGATCAGATCATAAGAAGAGGCAGAAACTGTGCAAGCACTGCACGGTTTATTTGAGGCCACAATCCAGTCTTTGTGAATTCGTCTTCCTGTCTTCTGATATAACACGATCAAACAAAAACCAGGATAGGACACTTCCTGTTTTGCTTAATAGATAAAGGAAGTGAATCAAAAATAGATGCACTGGTACCTAAAACCAGCTGTGGTTATTACATAAATTCCACAATTTCTTCATCTTGATCAGTTTCCCCCACTTCCCTGCTCCCTCTTTCATCATATCCCTCCCAGCCCTTACCCCATCTGTTCTCTCCTGATGTCTGCTTAAACCTTTCTAGGATTACAGGAGGTAGAAACATTGGATTGTTTATTGTACGTTGCCCCAAAGCTTTAAAAAAAAAAAAGTCCTAGAAAATACTCGTCCCATCTCAGACCTGATTCTGGGGGCGTTTGTTCCCTCCTTTTTTGTGCTCGTGTGGCACAGGGGCGTGTGGAGCTGAGTGATTGATGCAGCCACTAACCTAATCCCTGTCTGTCTCTCTTCTCTCACAGATGTTTGGGAACTGGACCTTCGGGACTCTGGTCTTCACTGTGCTGGTGTTCACCGTCACGCTGAAGGTGCGTGGGCTCATGTCACTCAGGCCTGTTGTGTTGCATAATCTCTCCAGTTGGACCAGTTCATGTCCGCTGCACGTGCGCCCAATTGTAAGCGTGGATGAGCTGCGGGCGCACAGTGTTAACTAGCATGTTACATAAACGTATCGACTACACAGGCCGTCCAGTTTGCACATCAGTAAATCCTGAAGGCAAAGTCATTGACTACATTGACTGGTTGAGTGTTTACTCGGTACATATTTGTGTTTGTTTCCAGCTCGCCTTGGACACACACCACTGGACCTGGATCAATCACTTTGTCATCTGGGGGTCGTTACTTTTCTACGTTATTTTTTCTCTTCTCTGGGGAGGCATCATTTGGTAGAGTATAATTAGTTTTTTATGCATTCGAAACCTTCACTTTAAGGGGGCCATTTCTGGAAAAATTAACCTTTTCTTTATGCGTTTCCCAGGCCCTTCCTGAACTATCAGAGGATGTACTACGTGTTCATGCAGATGCTGTCCAGTGGTCCGGCCTGGCTCAGCATCATCCTGCTCATTACGGTCAGCTTGCTGCCAGATGTCATTAAGAAGGTCCTCTGCAGGGCTGTTTGTCCCTCAGCCACTGAACGTGCACAGGTGAGACCCTGGCCCCAAGCTCTCAGAGAAGCCAAGGCTTTAGACTGTCAGCAAAATAGATACGGACAAGCGCACCTTCTGCAAATAAATTGAGTTTGTTTGGGATCCAAAGAGACAGACTAATGACAAGAAAACTTCAAGAGCTTGTTTTTAATCTGCTGCCATTATAAAGTCATTAGGAAGGACAGAAATGTTTTCTTGTGATTTTTATCTCTTAAATTATTTTACTTTTAGGGCTTGTTTTTTCTGAAGTCATTTTTGATGGCTTTAACAGAACGCTTTGCTAAAAACATTAACCAAAGACTAATAATGCATCTCAATGTTTATGAAAATAGAGTTTTTATCTTTCACAGTACAGTGCCTCTCAGCTCTCACGCTGAAACGACTCGATTGAGTTAGAGTTTTCTCAAATCCTTGTTGATGCTTAAACTGCCAATCTATTCCCCTCTGTTAACCAACCAGGGAGACCATTAGGATCCCTAATAGCTTTGAGCAACAGTGTGATTTCAAATGACTTCCTGTTCCCCACGGCTTAAGCCTCACTTACCTGCAAAGCAAACGTCTCCACAAATGGAAAAATTGAAGTGAAGCTCTGACAGTTCTCTTCTTGCTGTGCTCTCTCTTTTCTTTTCCCCCTCTCACTGCACCCTAATGGACCACCGTAATCCCAATTCACACCACTGTTTCCCTCTCTTTCCCTCCTTTTCTCCTCTATCACCTGCTTTTCTTCACTCTTTTTTCCTCCTACCTTTTCTTTAACTTTTTCTGTTTCCTCTCTTCTCTTGTCCCCCCCTCTGCTCCTGTGTGCCTGTCACTCTGCCCACCTGCACTTGCTTGTCTTTCGGGATAACTGCAGTCCTCTCGCCCGTGCCTTACTGTGGAGCCGTCCACCATCTTCATGCTTTCTCAGTCCTCCAGCAGAATGAGTTTCTGATTGGCCCAGAGAGACGAGAGAGGAGCAGGAAGAGGAGGTGACTCTCTTTTTAAGCTCTCGTCTCTGTATGCATGGTGGCATGTCCCAGTGTAAACTACTCACCACACATTGACTAATGTGAAACTAACAAACAGCTCGCTATTAATAACATCAGTACGCAGTGTTTGGTTTAAATTGTCAGATTTATATTTCATCTTCCAAAACCATTTCTCTGCATCTGTTTGGTGAACCTTCATATATTTTCCTCAGTATCGTATATTTGCTGTCAATGAAGTGGAAATGCAGGCATTAAACCATGTTTTTATCACGCCATTCATCTCATCACCTTGTTAAATTTGTCAGAAACACTTTAGGCAAAGTGTCTGATTTAAAGAATGAAGATTCAATTGAAGGGTTTTTTTATAACTGCGTTATAGTTTTCTACTTAAAATATTTGATATTTGAATTTCATATTCTCTGTACTTTGGCTGACAAAGAGGATGTTTGAACTGTGACTAAAAATGTCACATTTTTATCACAGTTTTTAACACACAGAATCACACATAAGTTATAAAGTGAACTAGGGCTGGGCGATTCGGGAAAAAGTTTATGACGATATACTTTTGTCATATCAGTCGATACCGATATATATCTCAATATAAAAAATGAAATGTAACAGTGCTTATTGGTAGCATGTTTTTTGCAATACAATAAGCTAATGCATCTGTGAGGTCTTTGTGTCTCTTCAACGTTTTGTTGTAAGGCGTTGCGCTAAAGAAAGCAGACTGAATGGTCGGCTGTTTCGGCTGCAAAGGCGCCATGGGCTCCTTGCTTCGCTTGGGGTTCGTAAGCTCTTGCATTGCGCCTGCTCTGCTGTGTGTCACTGCTTCAGGTGGTGAAAAAGATTTGAGGTATTCTCCGACTTAACAAGAACACGTACTCAACAGAATTTGCAGTGCACATTACTCTGCGTCATGTCCAACCTCAAAAAACCTCCACACCACCGATGTTTTCGTGCCAGTGTTGTCAACGATGTCATCATCTGTTGAGCCTTCATCTGCATTTCTGCCGGTGGTAGCACTCATTTTCTTTTTTTCTCACCAACAGTAGTGTTGGCTTCACCTGTTACAGTGCAATGGTTGCGTGTAGCTACAGTCTGCTACTACATAGTTGTTTGCTAATTGGTTCTAATTCAGCACGATAAGTTCTGCATGAAGCGGACCCGGAGCAACTCCCCTTTTAAATTGGCTATTCCAATGGTCTACCAAAACATGGTAGTTTGCCAACTATCAAAAAGCATATTGACCATGTTTTATATTGATATTGATATTGAGGGAAATTAATTTTCGATATGTATCGATATCATTTTATCGCCCAGCCCTAAAGTGAACTTTTGAGCTACATTCAGGTTTGTGACCCACCATCAGACCTGTTAGATCAACACTATCAATTTATTCGATACACTACAAAATATTAAAAGATTTTTTTTATATATATATTGTAAGTTTTAAGTTTTGATCTTTTGACATGGACTAAAAACTGCAAAATAGCCCTTTCAAGTGTGCTTACCAAACAAACTGTAAAGTCAGTTTATCAGAAAAATGACAAACGATTTAAACAGACTCCTTTTTTTAACCATCACCCGCAGAGGGTGAGGACAGCAGGAGCCCTTGAGGTCTGTGTGGCCCCCGGCTCTGCTGCTGGTGGAGGGGGAGACAATGAGAGGGATCGGCTCCACACTGATAGGACCTGTGAGGGAGAGAGTGGAGACAAAGCTGCTAAGACCTATGACTCCATGATGTCAAACAGCCACAGCACCCAACCCAGCAAACCCTAGAGTACAACCCCACCCCTCCCTAGTTGGGCTAGGGTCACCATGGTAACAGCACACAGAGGGCGTTGTCAGAGGGGGTCAGGTTGTTAATGCCACTGCCGTGACGCTTCCTGCTGCTCGGCTCTGCATGGAGCATGCTGTCGCGCTCAGGCTCAGGCTGGGGGAGGTTATAAACTCTGCCCACATGAAAATTTTACCTCCATCAAACCTACTTTCAGGAATCACCATCTCCAATTAATTCTGCTGTGCTGCATCCAAAGCATGCTGGGCTTCTGACTGCATGTGGGATTGGGAATTAACTTGATCTGGGTGGAAGCCGAATGAGATATTTTATCCCCTGTTTATCAAACCCGGGCTACTTAAAATCCGCTGCCACATGTCAAGTAGTAGTAGGCCTGCTGTGATGTCTTTTTGGTCCTGGATTGGAGATGAAGATGATGGTTCTGCGGAGGAGGAGAAGGAGGAGGTTTAGTTGTGACGTGAAGTGGTTCGGATTTGAAGTCATTCCAGCTGTCATACAAGAATACACATTCACTGTATGCGCTTGTATAAAGAAACACAGCAGTGCTAAAATTTGACATAGATAGCGACACTTTTTAAAAAAAAAATGCTTTTGTTGCTATTAATTTTTTTATGAAACAAAAAGGTGATAATTTAATGTCGTTTATTCTACCTAAACAGAGCAAAAAGAGGAAAGAATAGTTGATTTTTCTAAATTAAATGATCGAGGAGAGCTAGAAACGGTCTGGAGGAGCTGCCCCAAAGCCCAGTTTGATATCTTCCCCTGTTGATGGCTGTTGTGTATCTTACTTCTTAATTGTCTTACTTTGACCTTTCTGCCCAGGAAATTAGTTTGATAGCTAACTCCGGATCAGCAGCACCCATTAAATAAAGTGAAAAACTAAACTTCATTATGCCAGTTGTTTTTACTGGCATTTTTTTAAACAGGATTTTGCTACAAAAAGACAAACATAGAAGGTTTTAGATCAAACGGCTCATTTATCGATGCAGTTTTAATACAGCTGATTAAAGATTTTATTGCCGCAGAGTTATTTTGTTCTCTTCGGCTGTTCTTTGCTTTTTGCACGCCTGGTTAAGTACAGTCAATAGTGGGTTTGCAAATGCACCACTGATGTCTCTGACTAAACTGATCTGGAAAAATCCATGCTGTGCAGGCAGGATTGCAAACCCAGTGTCATCTTGTAGCTGCAATACTGATGACACCTGGTGTTGGAGGATGGAACAACAAGTGTGAAATCGCGTTATTAATTTCCTGAGCATGCTCAAACTAACATCATACGGGGGATTTTCAGAGGGTTTCTCTTTCATGTCATTAAATCCTGTTCACTCTTCACATCTCATGGATTCTTTTGTCCAGTTTGTGCATTTTTTTAAACTGGACTCTTAGATTTTAAAGCAAATCCATCAAACCTTCTGAATGTAACCCTGCTTTTGGATCTCATGCATCATGCTATCTCACATCTGACCTCATTCACACGTTCTGTTGTTTGAGCTGCGTGCTTCAACTCTTGATTTTTCTCCAAACTCTGTTTCTTTCCTTGAATCTTCTTCTGATCGTCCGTATCTCTGCAGGATCAGGAGAAGCTGTCGCGGGGTGGCGTGGCCGAGCTGACTCCACTGTCCTCTCACCGGTCCTGCAAAGGCACGAGCCCAGACTCCTCCCACCTCCACCTCAGCGCTGTGGAGATGCTGTCCCTCCGCAGGTCTGACCCCCTTCCCCAGAAACTACTGGCCCACTTGGCAGAAGGGGGAGGGCCGGATTTGTGCACTCTCAGCCCGTACATGGTCCGTCTGTCGGGGGCAGGATTCGCTTACTATGCTCCAGGGCCTGAAACCTCCGTGTGAAGAACACAGACCCTGAAACTTTGTGTGTGGTGGGCTGACACTAAGAGCAAACAGCATCTGCATCTCAAGGATCAAGATGTTTATAGAGTCAAATACAAACAGCATCATCACCATGTGCATTTTCTGGCCCACGCCCATGTGGAAACCCTTTAGATATTATAGCACTGACACCTCATCTTCACACCTTTCTGTTTCAGTATGGTCCTCGTCTTAGTCTCATGAAGTTCCTACCCAAACTCTTACTTGAAAAAGTCTAAGAACGAAAGGGGAACCATGTGCGACGGTGCATTCTCCTATGCGCTGTGGAACTGTCCAGTCTCAGCATGTCAACAGTCGAACCTTTTTGTACTCCTCGTCCTGATTTTCCGTCTCACATTCTTGCCTGTTCCTCCACCGTTTTTTGGACCCCTTTTTTTTTCGTTGCTTCGTTGTAAAAATGTTTGTCAAAAGAACATTTATGTACAGTTTGTGGTCTGGCCAAGTAAAGGGCAGCCGTCGAAGCTCAGCCCTTTAGGTGCGCGTGCGTGTGCATGAGCGCGAGTGTATGCATGATATTTGCCTGTTTCTGTACGTTTGTATGTGACACAACTTTGCCTTACAGGTAACCACACAGCAGCAGGCTAGGAGCCAAAGGAGAAAGGTGTTTGAAAGGGAAGGTTTAGTGGTGTATTACAAAGCCTTACACTCACACACACACACACACACACCTGTCAGCTGAAGGGGGGAAATGTGGAAAATCTGAAGAGGGATGTGCAGTATTCTAGCCGCCCTGCCTTAATTCATAAATGCTCATTTTTAGTGCGAGGAAAGAGAGTTTCAGAGGGCATACATGTCTGGTACAGTGTGTCTATTCTTCTTCTTTTCTCCTCATGATTGTGTCGACGTCTGTTTTTCTTATCTGCTCGTGTAGCATGTCCTATCTCTCTGCTGCATGCTGATCTGCTCCTCTCTCTGTTCTTTCTTTCTCCATCCTTATCCCAGACATCATCCATCAAAATAAAAACCGAAAATGACACCTTTTCTTCCTCCGACAACGAGCACACGTTACCCTCTGCTGCTCCCATGTGGCCGTGTAGGGTAACAGCAGCAGCAGTCTTTATTTATGGATGCCCTGAATGGCTTGCTAACCTCTCTCTGTTTGCATTGTGCTTGTGTGTTTGCTGCCATGCTCTGTGTTTATGCAAAAAGTCAATGTAAGAATGTCATATTGTCACATTATAAGAGATTTTTCTTTGTCTTTTATTGATTCATGAGTTATTTTTGCTTTGTTTTAAAGTTATTGATGGCAGTCACTGTTGATGTATGGATGTAACTTAAAGATTTTATATATTGCGGTATGAAAGGGGTTTACGTTAACATTATTGTTGTTATTATTAGAGCCTGCGTGTAGGAAGGAGACTTGAATCGGCGATGTCACAATCAAATCACGAGAATGTCGAACTGATTTGTCCATCATGTCCTCCAGCTGAAGATTGTAGCTCATTATGGATAAACGTCTTTTCTGCATTTCTAACAGCTGAACTCCAGTTTGTCCAAAGCAGATCTGTGGTGTTGCACAGCAAGTGACAGACTCGGGAAGTCTTGAATGTCAGATTCTGAAGCATTTTTGTATGTTTCTACAGTTTATTTTCATACACACACACAAACACCAACCATCTGCCAACATGGATAGATTTAGAAACACTTTTTTGTTTTTTCTTACTAGGGCATGTTGGTTTATAAGTTTGGTTAGAGGTCTGGATTTGTCTTTAAGTTTCACTCAAAGCCCACCACAAGTTTTTCAAACTTGGGGGCTCAACGTCCTGACCTCAGTAGATAAATAGAAGAGCCTCGGTGCTTGTTATGCAGTGTCCCACTTCACTGTGCTGTTGCCATACTGTATTCAGACATATTCTACTAGATTTCTACCACAACGAAGCTGTTAGATCTATTTTACTTTAAAAAGAAATACATTGGAGACTTCTATATAGCCACAGTTTTCACTTCTTTTTGTCATTCTTGTGTTGTTCATTCTAAAGATTTCTTTGCTACTTTTGTATCCCAGAGAGAAGACTATATTTTAACTCTGTTAGAATGTGTGTTCAAGTTTATAACCAAAATGAGAGCATAAACAATATGTGATTCATTAGAGATTTACCAATAGTTCTACACTACACTGCACTTTGTTCTACAACAGATCCCCTAAAACAAGGTCTAATGTCCGTGGACCGGGGTTTATACGTGTTCACTCTTCCTCACAAGTTATTTTTCTAAGAATGTAGTGTGTGAAATTAAAAAAAAGTGACCAAATAACTTGACTAGGAATGGACTGTCTGTCTGTATGTCTCAAAGTGGTTAATCGCACCAGCCTTCTACTGCTGATTAGAATGTCAAACTGCTTTTTCTAAGTCCATCAGCAGGACAGCAGGTGCTCATCCCGTCATTCCTGAGCTTGGCAAAGGTCGGAAATGTCGACTTTTGTGCTCTGAGCGGCACGTTTCATATCATACCTTCAGTACAGCACTGTTTGTATTACTAAACAGGTTTTGAGAATTTTCCTTTTTTTTGTTTTTTTTTAATTTTTGTTTTTTGGATAAAGATTTTAAAAGTTCACCTGTTGACTTTTTGCCAGCCTGTCTGTAGCAAATGAAGGCAAAGCACTGTATTGTCATTCTGCTTGTAATAAAGAAAGAGTGAAAACACGTCTCCTCCATGTTATGATGATTCATGTTTTGTATTTTCTGATGTCATTTCAGACCCTGTTTCTCATTGGTTACTCTGCAGCTCCTCAATTCTCATCACCTGTCAGCCCACCTCTTCTTTTACTCTTCTTATACTTCAGTCAGTTGCCAAACCTGCCCGTGAGCATTTCTCCTTGTCCACGTTGTTTTCATGAGGCAATTTAAGGCGCTTCCCCGAGACTTTGCATTGCACCGCCTGATGTTGTTGGACTCTGACTTAAAGTGTGGTTATATACCGACAGATATGCAGTTAGAGCAGATAAAAGACAGCTTCAAGACAAGGAGGCAAACTGAATCACTTTGACAGTTCCACAAAAAGTTCAGATTTTTATTTTTTTCTTTGGGGCCAAAACTGCTTTTCATATCAAATTCAAATACAAGGAAATGTATGTATGACACTATGAGATGCAAAACATCTCAGACACAGTGTCATAGTTCAGGTTAAACTTTAAGTTGAGGACACAAATGCAGAGTGAAGCTTGAAAGATTTAATTCAAGAAGCCAACCTTAAAGTGTCAAAAATCTATCTAAACAAAAATGGTGCTCAACTGAAAGTCAGCTGAAACCAAGAGAAGAAACAGCACAATTTTTCAGGAAACACTGATGTTTAAGGCAACACATGGACGGAGCAGAGAGGACACTGAAGACGCTAGATACATAAGTTAAAGATAGAGTAAATCACACAACAACCAAGATACAAAATAATTGTGGTAGGAACCTACAAATTAAAAGGGGAACACACACACACAAAATTGGAGACGTGGGATGTGAAGAGAAAAAAACAAGATTTAATACAAATGAAACCAGACAGGGATTGTACCTGATGCACTGAATTCAGATTTAATATTAAATGTTTTAACAATAAAAACAGTGGTGGTGTCCTTATATGCTTAATCCCTCAAATGCGTTTGTTTTTTTCCCTTCTGGATAGTGAAATACAGAATACATTAACCCAATTGACAGAGATTTATTATGACATAACAGCTTCTCTTTTCACTTTAACATCTTTTAAACTAAACTTCTCTTTAAAGCACCTGTGAGGAACTTTGATCGTAAAAATATTTTTATGTGGAAAATGTAAAAACAGGATTTTTTCTTCAGCTGCTCGGCTGAAACTTAACCCCTTGCGCTGGTTTCTGAAATTAAAAAATTACCATAAAACAATCATATCCTTTACCTTCTGTGTATTATCTATTGGCTCTTTTTTGGCTTTTGTTAAGCTGTGTCTTCTTCAACTGTGAACTATTGAACTATTAGTCGCCAACTCTAAGCACAGCTTTAAAATGTACAGCTTTATTGTTCATTCAGTTCACAGTTTTAACCTTAAATATGCACAGTTTGGATGTTTTAAGGGGTTTTAATATTGTAATGTAGTTTAAATGTCTCTTTAGTTTTCCATCTGTACAGCAGCCCAGCAGGTTTGTCATAACCCAATGCTGTCACATGGTGGCAATGCAGCATAATCATTAATGCATGACCAGTGGGACTGGCTTTGACGACACATGACAACATTTCATGACGTGGCTGTTATGCCTCTCCTCCACACTGGATGTCACTATTGGATCAGTAGATTTTTGTAAAATTGCACTACTGACCTTCACTTCCCCTCCCCCCTCTGTGTCTGACAGGTCTGCACAGGTCTGCACCATCATGTGTGCTGATGCTGAAGCATGCATGTGCGAATGAGTCTGCGTCCCCCTCCTCCCTCTCCTCCTACTCCTCATCTCCATCGCCGGCATCCTGCGCTCTGCATCCCTCTGCGACTGGAGGATTCGTCACTGCAGCCAGACCAGCTTCAGCACCACTCCATCATCCATCCCTGCTGCATCTCCAGAAGCATCCATTTCTTACAAGCATTCCTCCAAGCTGCACACACCCCCTTCTCTCTCTCACTCTCTTTTCCTCCAGCATCCGAGTGACAAACACGGCAGCCAGGCAGTCACATCCAGGGTTAGATTACCCTTCTGCATCTCCCTTCCTCCATTCTGCTCGGCTGGTCTTCGCTCTCATCATCCTCCCTCCGAAGCTCTGTTCAGGAAAAAGCAGGCAAGCTGTCTCTTCTTCCTGCGAAAGTGTCTCTTTGCTGGACAGCTGGTCTCCCGCTGTCCCTGTGGAAGATGATCCTGTGGATGAAGACGGAGGAGATGGCCCTGGGAGAGCTGCTGGAGAGGCTGAGGACGGTCACCAGGAGCATAGGTGGGAGACAACAACACACTCAGTCAGTTGCACAGTCTCTGATGATTATATGGTTGATCATAAAGCACTGATAATCAGAAATATTAAAATAGATGAGAGGCTAATTTGTACAAGTAAAGATGATATCAGATCCAAGTCTTGATTTGGGTTTGGCCAGGGAGACACAAAAGAAGCTGGTTTGTGTAGAAAATAAACAGATCATCACACCAATAAAAAGACTGAGCTTATTATGATGCTGCTCTTTTGTTTTTGCCTCAAGCTTGGCAGATGTTTGCGCAGCTAACAGCGTTTTTTGTTGTTGTTGTGAGAGCTATTTTTGTAGAACATGCCTGTGGTGAAAATGGTCACTTGACTCATTATTTGTTCCGACTACCTTGTTTGAAAAAGGTCATTTGTCGTGTTGTGAAATACATTATTTTATGTTTAGTTGTACTGAATCTGTTGTGTGTGCCGACTCTGACAGCCGCAGACATCTTTATTCCTGTTGAGGTACAGTGTTTGTATCTCATTGGCCCATTTCCTCAGTGCTCCACCCTGAATGGTTACAGTGTTCAGCTTGTGTTCGATCACAGACACTGACCTACATTCGTACCTCCACTGTTAACTATGGACAGGTAGCTACAGGTACATGTTGTTGTATTTCGTGAGGGGCTTCTTACAGCCTCTCATTTTTTCCTGAGCAACTACAGCTACTGCAGAAGAGTACTTTAAGCTTTCACTTCATGGTGCAAAATTGTAACCCTATCATGGAATAAAAATATGTTTCTGAGCCTTTTCTGGTTGGCAAAGGAACCTCTCTCCAGACTAAAAGTGATATATAATGCTCCTAGGCTTTTTCTCCTTTGCTGCTTTGAGTGATATTTTCAATGTTCACCTCTCTTCTCCTTGGGATCCATTTGTTGGGATCTTCATTGATCCAATCATTGCCATCTCAGAGCCAATTTTTCAAGCATGAATGGACACACCTTCAATTTTATGCTCTTGCAATATATTCTATTGAAGGTCAGGGAGTCTTGCCTTATTTGCAAAGCCACGGCTGCTCATTTTGAGACATCATCAAAATATGTTCTTGTTTCAGATCATTATCCACCTTAACTGTTGCTAAAAACAACCAAATGCACATGGGAAGAAATACAATACTTCCTTTTACATGTTTTTATTCAGGAAAATCTCTGTGAATTTTAATTTTTGAATTATTTAATAAATCTGCTATGATGGTAAGGCTTCAGCTGAAATTGTTAAAGCAGTATAGTGGGCTTTAGTCTAGTTGCAGCTTCCTCTTCTTAGCAGCAAACCTGGTGAAGTAGTGAGTGGGTGGACTACAGTGAGGAGTGGGGCATAGCAACAACCAAGCCAGGGGAATAAAACCGAGCAGGTCAGGTGCTTTTTTCAGCTTGAGTTGAAGTGCAGCTCGTGAGAGAATATCGAGCTGCATTACTCTACCTTCTATATCATTGAAACAAAATAAAACTAGGCCACATTTTGTCGGCTCTGAGTGTGCGATGTTGCACTGAAAACTTGCTAACCAATGGTTGCACTATGAAGGAATGTGACAGAAATGTGCTGCGGCAGGAGGATGAGAGCAGTAAATCGGCTCAGAAGAGAGACTCTAACGCTGATCACAGAAGACAGCAAAGACGAGGAGAGAGTGAGGAGGAGAGACTCAAGGAAACAAAGTCAACTGAGGATGAAAAAGGATTTAGCATTGTCTAATCTTGCAAACTGCTCACTTCTCCTGAGCTGAGCGGGAGGTGTTGTGCTGGTGAAAAATGCTACCTCACAGAGAACCCCTGCTGGTTTTAATCTAACAGGGAACAGCCACACCTTATGTTTCCATTTGCTCCTTGTCTCTTGCTGTCAGTGCCATTGAGAATTAAAATGTAATACCCTTCAGATGAAATCAGGAACATCTTTTTACCCCACACAGAGTCAGTGGCAGAGATTTAATCCAACCATCTATCTCTGAAGTTATTTGGTCACTTATGTGTGGGTGGATCTTATCTGTGTTCACTCGATATGGTTTTTCTCTCTTGTTGGCTATTAACTTTGGTTTTGGGGCTGCTGATAGAAAAGCAAGTACATAGAAACAAAATTTCAATGCATGATAACTATTTAGTAGTTTCTTTTCTTCTTTTTATCAGGTTGAGGTTATTTTCAAGACATAACATCGTAAACACCTGGGCAATCCAATGCAACCCATCACAACAGCTAAACCGTACATTTTACTGGAAAGGTGTTTTCTCTATATCTGCTCTCCTCGTGCTTGTTAATGAAATGGATGAAATATAAAGACTGCCTTTCAGGATAACACACTTCCAGCCTGTAATAATCACTAACATGTAGAAGCGTCTTTAAAGTAGCAGTGTAAGAGCCGTTGTATCAGATTACGTTATGCAGCTCAGGTGAATAGTGGGGTAAGATGCAAATAACTGCTAAAAGGCTGTTTTGTAAAAAGGCCTTCACCTATGTGCTTCTAACCTTCACAGACTCCATGAATTGATGCCCATCTCTTAAATATTTGGTCACATGATCAATTTCTTTTACCATTTACAAACAACAAGGGGTGGCTCAACTTACCCCACTCTCCCCTATCTACATTGGACACAGTGCCCTTCTTTCTAAGGAGCACTAATTAACATGACGCATGTAGTCATCAATGTAATCGAATGGTAAGGTTGGCGGAGTGATACTGTAATGAGGCAGTGACGTGGGCTCAGCGGCTGTAGTCGGCGTTGAGTTATTGAACCGCTGGGTCAAACATTAAAGGTGTAGACCTAAACCAGCTGCTCAGCCCGAGAGGCGAAAGTGCTGTACCTTCACTCACAGCAAAGGTATGTCCATTCAAGCAACTTTATTTACAAATCAATTCATAGAAAGCCCCGAGTCTGTCAGTTGACCAACCTCACAAATCGCGACGTTACACTAGCATGTCTACTGACGTGTTTGCAAAGTAGTTCCCGTTTTTGTATCTGAGTAGCTTTTTGAGTACTAGAACTTTTTTGTGGATTTGCTGTAGTTATATTTGGGTATTTTTGCGGCAAGTTTCTTGAGTTCTACACAGCATTAGTAACTTTGTTTTAAAAATTCGTGAAAAGCAAAAAGATAGTAAGCTTCCGCAAAAAGATAAGCTTCCCGTCGACCGTATGACTGCCAGCTGATTGGCTGAGTCTACCACCTCATAGTCAAGCGAACTAGTCAATCCAATGAATCATTCGTGGTGCATTACCTTTATTTAAGAAAAGACACCTCTCTCTGTCACTTGTTAGCAAGACAGTGAGCTACCACCTGATTTAAATAAGTAAGGGCTACTGTAACCAGGACTATTTACAGTGAACTCTGTATGTAGTAGGCCATGACTTTATGAATAGAGATCATTAGTAAGCTGACCAATCTGACATTTTTGATATTTGTCTCAAAACTTCTAACCCCAACATCATTATGATGCCATAAACTTGATCATCAAAAAGTTTAAGGATAAGGATACATACATATAAAGGATGCAACTATGAATGTGTCTATTCAGTTTTGTAGTTTACAGAGGCCCTGGATAGATGTGCATGTGTGCAGTTTATTAACACTATCTTCCCACAATAGCCCACACTGAATAATGGCTGTTTTCTCAAGATTTCATCTTATTTATCTTGTTATCTCAAGATAACAATGTTGATTTTTCTGTGATAACAAATTCACCACCATGACATTAGTTTAAGGTCAGTCTTATTCCCAGTGTTGCATAAACACAAAACATAAAAATACACATATCTTACTTTATTAGTGTGGCATTATGGCATATTGTAGTCTGGCTTATCATAGTGACCAGCTTAAATGTTTCCTAGATCACTGATGGCTATCTCATTATAATGCCAGAAGAGGCTTTTGTGTCTTAAGATAACGTGTTAAACAAATGTGTTATAATTGGAAAAACAGATATTTTAAGTGAAGATAATGAGTAAGACAAGCTGAGATCTTGATAAAATGACTGTAATTAGCCCATAATCATGGAAAAACTATAGATATCTCAAGATAAGATAAATCAGCTTAGGGCTTCCATAGATTTCCCACTTGATAAGTATAAATAAATCTTTGTCTCAGTGGTTCTACTGCAGATAAATTCAGGGAAATAGCAAATACCAGCAATCTTCTTGACAAAAGTTGATGATTGACAAATTTGACATTAAAGAAGTTAAGGCAGAGATATTCTAGTGGTCCAATATAACCATCCAAACACTTCTCGTTTGTGGCAGAAAATCACACAATTTAATTCAAGCTCTGATTTCCAGTGGAAAAAAAACACCTCTTAGTTGCAGCCAGTATCACAGACAGCCTCTCCAGACTCTAAGTGGGCATTTGACCTACATCCAGTTGATTTGAAGGGACACATCCAGTTCAGAGTCACAGGTCTCAGCTTTTCCAGCAGGGATGTGCTCATCTGTCGCCCATAACGCTTCTGGGGCTGTTTATCTGGCAGTATAGTGATGACATATTGCATGTGTTGTTGAGGTTTGTCTGTGGAAAGTATGGCTGTCTCTTTTAAACACCTCTCTGTGTGAATATGAATGTGTTAGACTGTCATGTCTTGTGATGTTTTTGTTGCTGATCCAGGAATAAAAAGGGTTTATGAGAGAAATTGAGCTGAAAGCTGCGAGTTAAATGATTGGAGAGGAAGTGTTTGGTCATTTAGCTTGACCATCATGCTTTGATGTTTTGCTCTTTCAGCTTCAAACTTTTCATTTCATATAGCTGAGTGGTTAAAAAATGACCAAAATTTGGGTCATAGAGCAGGTGGTGGATCCTGAAGCTAGACTAGATAGGAGCCGCTGCTTTGTGGTTTCAGCATATCTAACATTAAACAGTCCCTGTAGCGAGTTGTGATGCAGGGTTATGATAGAATAGGGGTCACAGGAGGTGGGTGATGCCTCAAATGAGGGATCAGACCTGATTAACCAAGGAGCAGAAGAGGAGAGGGGGGAGAGACGGAGAAATGCAGGGTTTACGGGTAGATTTGTGTTTTTGTGTGTTTCCTGTTTTCCTGCAGTCGCCTCATCAGTATGTGTGAGTGCAGCTCCTCTCTCATCTTTATTCTGAGCCTATAAACTGAAAGCTGCTTTTGGCTTGCCAGATTTAACTACACAAATAAAACCAAACACACACATTTACACATACACACATAGACTTAAAAGCCTGCCATCAACACTTTTCTTCCCGTCAAAGAGCGCAGTTTTTGTTTGCTCTGCTTCCTCGGTTACTGACCACAGATCAGATGAGCCTAAACGCATCCTGGTGTCCACCCTGAAGTTGAGAGAGGCTGTTTTTTTTTAAAGTTTTTTACTTTGATTTGTTTGTATCCTTTCTTATTTCATCCAATGATTAATGCATGAGGGAACCTTAGGAGATAGAGAGAAGGGAAAGAAAAGGCAGATTAGTTCAGGAGTGGAGGAATATAATTAGCCCAAGCAGCAGAAGGGGATTTGTGCTTCACCGGCTGCCCTCTACTTCTCCCCCCCTTCACCCTTCCCCTCTCTCACCCTTCCCTGAGCTGTCAATAGTTGCACTTGGGATAAGGTTTACACATGCAATGTGAGTGTGACTGCCTCTATGCACATCGGACCTGGACCTAATCTCACCTCCAGTGTGAACATTTTTTTTGTCACAGAGGTTGTGCAGACAGTGACTCAGCTTTTTTTGCCGGCTTTGCACCAGAGCTGCTTCCTCGAGTTCCCAATGTGGCTCTGCAGAGGAGAGGACACCAGGCTTGACATTTTTGTAGCCGGGGCAGACTTCTCCATGAGGAAGGATTGATTCTGAGTTGACCTGGAACATTTCAACAAAGACGCTCCCTCCCATGCCTGCATTCGGATCCTGCGATTTGGAGTCTATTAGAGTGTGCAGTGGAGCTTTGCAGGTGCAGTGAGGGGGGGTCTCTCTGGATGACAGAGTTTGTTTGAGAGTGCGAGACCAGCATCCAGCTCTCATGTCTCTTCATGAGTTTCTGCGGGAGGGTGGGGAGGCATCGTACCGGATGATGAACCGGTTAAGTCATCTGATGCAAAACCTGGACATTGGTGGACTGGGTTCTACTTTTTCCTTTAGCCCGGCAAGCCGCAAGAGCTCCTGGAGAGACTGGGATGGTAAGAGTAAGGAAAGAAGGAAGATGGTGTACATGTGTGCAAGTTTGTGCGGTTTGTAGAACTACATACCTCTGAGAGAGAGAGAGACAGAGAGAGAGAGAGAGAGTGAGTGAGAGAGTGGTGTCATAAATTCCCAATTGAAGTTTTGGCCAGAGGTCTTCAGGGCATCATGCCCAGATCCTCACACACTGTTTCCTCTTAGCTTCCATTGCTCCCCACTGAGCTATATCTGTGTCTTCATGTGTATAACGGTTTGTGTGTGTGTGTGTGTGAGTACGTGTGTGTCTGTTTGTGTGTGAGTGCGTGCCTATGCAGCTAAAACAGACGCTTCGGTTTTCCAACATACAGACATCTGCAGCTGCACTGATTTTTTTCCGTAGCAGTAAGAGATTTTTTCAGCTCATGCAGAAACTGCAGCACACAGCATCTCACTGGCAGAGCAGCTGGTTTGAGGGAGAGAGAAGAGCTGATTAAAGCTGCTGAGTTTTCAAGTTTGTGAGAGGTTGTTGACACTTTGAGACCTTGGTTCCTGACTTTGCACTCAAAAGGACTTTCCCAGGTGTTACTGACACACAGAGAGGAGAGGATGGTGAGGAAAGCAAGGAGAAGAAGTGCTTCTCAGTGGGATAGTGGAATGCCAATGGTTCAACTTAAGTCACGTGAGTCAGTAGATTTGGTACTTTTGCGTGTCTTTGTAAGGGTAGGCTGCTTGTATACCATAATTATGTGACTTGTATACTGATGTGTTTGTGTGAGCAACGGTTCGACTTCAACCTCATCTGTTCTTTAGATTACCGCATACGTGCTTCCAGCATGACTTTGCCTTTGTACCAAGCTTATCCCCTGATAGTAATGTTTGCACTGCCCCTGCATCAATGTCACTGCATATGCTTAACTATTGCTGTGCCTAGCAGTTTTGGTCTGTGCATGCTTATATCTGCAGTACACTGCATGATGGCATACATGGACTGCAGGGGAGAACACATGCTGGTCTTGTCAGTACCTCTGGCTGTGAGGTTTCATGGAAAGTATTCTCTGCTGCTCTGTTGAAGTCATTACCCAGACAGCAAATTCAGACAGTAGACACTATGTTGATGTAAGAGTTGTTTTGTTTTACTGACTGGTGTTAGCAAGCTCTGAATTTATATGGAAGTCAGGGAGAAATAGGTGTAGTCCTTGTTTTGTCCTTGTTTTCATTCTCAGGTTTATCCCACAAATAGATTGTTTTTCTAGTTTTTCACCAGCAACTTATTCTTAAAATGCTGACAGAGTTTGAACTTGAGATTTTCTGGTTGTAATGAAAATTTGATTATATTAAGAATTTTTTGTTCTGCAGATTAAAAACTAACAACTTATGATTTATTTTCAAAAACTGCCTCAAAAAAGACAAGGACTTGATGACTGATTTTAGCATGTGTAATAGTGTTTGTAGTAGAAAACAGTTGAAGGATCAAGTTGACCCCTTTGTTGCCCAGATGTCAAGCCTACAGCAAACTCATGAATGTAAAGTTGATGCAGCAAAACCGTTTTGTTGCAAATATTCTTTCAAGCACTCTGCCTAACATGGTGCCAGAGATATCTGAGTGTATCACAGCACGCTGAAGGAACATGACTCTTTGGGCATTTTTGGGGGCACAAATAGTCCAAATAAGTGATAGATTTGGCTGTTAAAAGAAAGCAGGAAGAGTTCTTTTTTGTCAGAAATCACCACCGACCATGTCTAGAGTAGATTAGCAGTGTATCAGTTTGTCCACAGGGGGCACTAAAACCAACACAAACAGGAAGTTTTGTCCAGAACCACAAAATCTCATATTTTATCCCAAAAAAAGAGAGAGCGTGTGCAGAACAGTTATTGATCACACCTTGTATATAGTGACTTGTTCAGGTTATGTTTTGTCAAACTGAGACTGAAGTTCATAATAAAAGTAAATATATTACTCGAGCTGCTCTCAGTACAAGTACTTGCTCACCAACTTTTTGTTTAAACATGATAAATCTGTGTCTTCAAACTGCTGACCGTGAGTTGATTGGTAGTCTGCCCTTTTGTTTGACCCTCTTGCTCACTTTGAACTCTGCACCTTTTAAACCTAATGACTCCCGTGTTTATCTCTCAAGGTTTATGACACTGATAACCCTTGTGTGTGCCCTTGGTCATAGAGCAAACATGTCATACTCCAAACCTCAGTTGGACACACATGGATGTACACACATATGTGCAAGTATACATTTACACAATCTGCTGACCAAACATTTGAGCACTCTAAATTTTAATTTAGTCAATGGCTAATTAAGGAGACAGATTAGTAAATGTACCTTTTGTAGGACTCATTGAAATGGAATCTAAATATCCATTCAGTTTAGAAACAGTGTCTTTCTGTGAGAGCTCTCATGAGGAAAACTCTTTCAGTCACTTTGCAAGAAAGCGTCCTTTTAAATGGTGTAAACAAGAATGGGGCTTTCAATGGATACAGTCTGTGAGCGGTTAAATGGAGATACAGGCCATGTTTGAATGGGCTGGTCAGAATGGAGGCTTTGTACTTTTAGACCGCATGTCATAAGATAAGGGAGGGAACGAGCGAGAGATGTGTTATCCTATGCAAATGAAGGCTGGAAGCGAAACTACTGTAACACAACATATGACATAACTTAGCATGTTCCTGACTGGTTTAACAAAGTCAAAATTGGATCTGTGTTGGAGGTCATGCATACAATCGCACAGTTAGAGGAATTGCTATTCAAGTAGGAGGGGTAATACACAGGTAATTGTCCTTTCAGGGGAGGGGTAAGGGTACCTCAGAGAGCTGAAAGGGTGCTACACTGTAGCTTTTGTCTACAGGGAAGGTAACCTGAGGTTGCAGTAGGAAGTCCCCACAGTTACTGAGTGACGTCCTGCAGGCTGTGGAGCACCTGCAGCCCGACAGAGACCCAGAGGCTGTGCAGAGTCCGGCACAAGGTGGAGTCAGAATGAGAGGAAGATTTTTACAGTGAAAACCAGTGAAGAGGACAGAGACTGGTAAAGAAGGATGGGAGGAAAAGAGATAGAAGATTCAGGCTTCCCATTGGAGGAGGATACAGAGTTAGACTCTGTGGGCTCAATAGAGAGGATTGTTGGCTCTGATAGAGAAGACTTGGACTGTTTTGTGATTAGAGAACATGTGGATTTTGAGTTGAACGAGCAAAGTGATGGAAGAGTAAGTCCTGGAGGGAGTCAAACTGAAGAAGAAGGTGAGACTGATTCAGGTTCACTGGAAGACAAGGACACTGAAGCAGGACAAGGTGGACAGGTGGATGATGGGAAAGCTGAAGAAATCAAAGCTGTAAAAACAGAGGCAGCTGTGACTGTGTGTTTATGGCCGGTGGAGGAGAGTGGGGGTCATGTACGGATCTCTCTGGAAGAGGTGGAGAGATACTACAGGTTTTCTCGCTGCTGCCACTGGCTGTGTGGTACGTAGATGATTTTATCTTTGATTCTCGTGTAATTTAAGAGGTAATTCTTTTAGTTAGCATCTTTACTTGAGGGAAGTTAACTCTTATGTTCTAGGTTATGTTATCACCTTTGTTTGAGTCCACCTGCTTTTCTACCTTTGCCCTTAACTTGTGGTGAAATCTGGACAACAATATCTATTTGCCAGCTGTGCTGTTACTCTCGAGGTATTGAGTCTGATTGGTAAAACTTCTCATAGTAAAGAAAAGAAAATCGCACAAATCACACAATTTAAATTTTATATATATATTTTTTTGGCATCAAGTAAAAGCTGCTGTATTATTAGACAGAACTTTGATTAAATGTATTCATATTCCTGGGCTGTGGAAAAAACGGAGACTCCAGTTTGTGTCCCAGTTCTCCTACATAGTACTGAAAACTGGCAGTACCCCTACATTTGAGATGAAGGTGTCCTGCTCCTTTTGAAAGCATTCATCAGACACTCTCAGAATGACTCGACAAAATGAATATTTTCAGATGCAGTCTCCAAACTCAGTGGTTAAAAACAGCCCCAGAATGCTTTGCCATCTGAGGCAGTGCAGCAGGGAACATGGCCACAGGTGCAGGGAGAGAAAACCATACCTACACAAACAAGCATGCATGCAGAAACGAGGTCCAGTGGAAAATCTTGATTTCATGTTATTTGCAATGATGCATGCAGTCATTTTGACATGACTTAGAGATGACTTTGTAAGTGACTGTGCATGCAGCTGTTCTTGTTTTATCACAATGCTTGAAAAATTCAACCTCCCTTTTACTAGCAAAGATTTTTACCATTCGAGGGCTAAAACTAGATTCAGGGATGGGCCCAGACACTGTGTTTGATCTAATATGTGTACAATTTTACTGATGTGATTTAAAATGGACTATTTTCCAATTTTAGTCTCCTTTATGCATTTTAATCCCAAACTGTATCTTTAGTTTGTGATCCAACCTGGATATTAACCAAGTATTTCCCTGTTACCTTAAAAATCGCCCTTTCTAACCCTCATTTGAACCCTGTCACCCCTCATAATAATACATGGACTCATCTGTTAATGCTCAACCTCATTAGTGCTCAGTTTTGTCTTTGGTACTCCTCCTCCACGGCCATGACTATAAGCCCCTTATTCCCACTTGTTGCCCTCCCCCATATCTCTGCTTGTGGGTCTCAATAGCTTCTCTTTCTATCCTTTTTATTCCCCAAACTTTGACCCTAACTTTAGTCGAAGTATTTCAATTTTTCAGAATTACTGTAATATTTCAAGGGAGAAGAAAGAAACTTTGAGGAAAGTAGTTACTATAAAAACATGAATAAATAAACCGGCACATCTGCACCTGATTTGTGCTCCTCTCTTTCTACCCTTTTGGTGACTCTTTTAAGTCTCCTACTCTGGTTCACTGTAATCTGTGTCAGTAGTGGCAGGCGGGCGGTCCAGGTGTGTGACTGACCCACTAATGTTTGACTCGTCACCCACAAACGTGAGCGTGAGTGGACACTAATCCCCATCGTTAAGCCTTTCAAAGAACATTAGCTCCTCGCTCAGTACACACCAGCTGTAGTACATGTGTGTGTTTACGTATGTGGAGGGAATGATGGAATAATGTGTTTGTTCAGGGTGTGTAATTTCTTGTTGGAAAAGTGTTTGAATTGTCAGTTTGACAGGCAGGATCACTTTTTAAACTACGAGGTCAAAACCACATGTACCTTGTTAACTTCTACTAACTAACTATATACTTAGTTATATATTGTTTAAACAAAAAGGTAAACAACTTTTTTACTTTTGAGAGGAAAGACTTGTGATAATTTACAGTCTTTTGTTGACCAGTGATTCTCAACTGGTGGGTCCCGACTGTATATAGAATGGACGCCGTCTGCCTCCTCGCTGGGTGAAGCCACTCCGAGAACAGCACCCTCTGTTGACGGGCTGCAGTATAGGTCATAAATCCCGCCTCCACCAGCAAAGCTTATGGAACTCTGGACAAACTTTAGAAATTTATTACACAGAACATACATTTTTCTCCCCCCTGCTTGTGATGTTGACATGTAGTTACAGTAGGACTGGTTTGTGCTCAAGTCCTCTTTTTTCTGTGAAGCCCCCATATTAAAAGTTATTAGGGGGTTCATGCTTTCTTTGATTGACACTTGATACAGTGTCAACGCTACTGCGCAATGTTGGTTTCAGGAAATCGCAGAAATACCAAGAGCTTTTTGGCTTCAAATCTGTATACAGGTGGGAGGAAGAACCAAGTTGTCCATAGTATATACAGTCTATGGTCCCGACCTACAAGTGGGTCACGGACACGTTCTGGATGGGTCACGAACAGCTGGTCAAAACAGTTATTATTTATTAGATATTTGATGTTTTCTGTATAAGCAACTTAAGTAGTTGTCATCCTTATGTTGTCCCCTTCATGTGCTCAGAAATGCACTTTACTCAATAAAACAAGAAGATTTATGTTAAAGATTAGAGTCTTTAAAGATTTTTTTTTATATAAAAAATAAACTTGCTTGGTTTGAATTCTATAAAAGAGGGTCATGACTTAAGGACCATGGGAAAATGAGGGTCCCAGAGTAAGACCAGTTGAGAACCACATCTACGTTAATGTTTTTTATCCGTCCTTGCTATTGTTTGGGTTCCTTGGGACTCGATCGATACTTTCTGAAGTATGAAATTACAAAGACAAAAAAAAACCACAAATAGTTCCACTGTCTGTCTCTTCTCTTTAGGAAGAAATACAGTACTCAGTGAAACTGGCTCATCCTCTCTTAATGGCCACAGGGGATGTGAGCTGTCCTACAGCAGCACTTTATGGACCCACAGTGGATGTTTGGGAGGAAATCATACAGGTGGCACAGGGCCAAACACAAAGGACAGTAGGGGAAATGTAAAAAAAATAACAATGAGCCTAAAAGGAACTGAAACTCAAATCTGCTGTCTTCCATGAGGGGATTTTTCAGTAACAGAATAGCTTCTTACTGGTAACAAGTGGCCGACCTGGATGGGTGGGGGGCTGTTTTTTTGATCTGATATGTGTGGGAGTTGCTGGGGGCAAGGTGTGGCAGGGTCACAAAGAGGAAACTGGTGCAGGTTTCTGTGTGAACTTGATTCTTTGTTGAGTGAGAGAGCATGTGAGCGCTGCGCAGATGACCAGACAGCTGCAGCTCTGCGTCCTCAGGCTGTGAGCGTCCAACTGTGCTTTTACCAAACATCACTGATAAGGTGATTTACTCGCTCTCATTTCAACCAACCAGATCTTTGCGATGACGTGCACACCCTTGCCCGAGGTTACACTAAAAGAACAAAAAGACAAAGAGAAAAGGAAGCTGTGTCTCAGATAACATCCACAGGAATCAATTAGTGTTCCTAATCAATATCTGTCAACTACAGATGACTCTGTTGCTAGTATTCAGTCAATAGAGCTGAAAATCCACGAGGTTGGATCAGTCTTTATTCTAGGCTTTTATTTTGGATTTATTCAACTAAAAAAACACAGTTTATACATGTTTGTGTTTGCTATTGTTTGTCTGCATGCTCCATATGTTCTCAGAGGAGTCCCGCATTCATCCAAGATTAAAAAGCACCTGTTTCACCAAACAGACGCTGACCAGAAGCGTTTGTGATGTCATAAAACGCCGGTTAAGATGCCGTGATGTGACTGAGCTGCTTTCTGTCAGGGATCGTCTGTTCTCATCAGCTTTGTATAAATCTACATTCAAAGGCCCAGGAAATCCCTCTACCCAGTTGGCATCTTAATCCAGAGACAGAACACGGGAAAGTCTGATCAGGTCATTTTACCTGGACTTGTGATGTTTGTTGGTTTGGTTAATGTTAGATACTTTAGTGATCTAATCAGAACAGAAACATCACAGATCACAAACTGTGAAAACGGTTTAGGGGTTGCTTCATTATGTCAAGGTAGTTAAAGCTAAATCAGCTATAGAGATATTTTTGTTAGATTCTTTTGAGGGTTTTTTACCCCTGTATTTTTCTCAGGACAGAACAGTGGATAGAGGATAAAATGAGGGGTGAGTGGGGAGTAATATGCCGCAGAGGGGCCACAGATTGGATTCAAACCCAGGTCATCCACATGGGGAGATAACAACTTCACATATGGAGCGCTTGCTTAGACCAGGGACCGCCCTTAGATTACATTATAAACATCTCAAACACAAACATGACTGTCTTGTTATTCTGGTACCAACCAGCGAGAGTGATGATGTCTCATTATGTAGTTAACTAAACATTCCCTCTTACTTATCAATATTCTACCATTCTGCTTTTGACAACAATTTTATGGCCTCTGTTGGCAGACTGCAGACTTCCAGCAGATTGTTCAGTACGTCCTGTTTATCCCATATAATGTTCTCCATTCTCACATTTTTTTTGCTGTTTTATTTCATGTCATGGATGTTCTTCGTGGTAAAAATTTGGCCTATGCACCGATCATTGTGAGCCAAATTTATCCCATGTTGTTTTATTCCAGTTAACTCACTGCTAAAGTCAGCACAAAACATTAAGCTAGGAGAGGAAACAAAACTTATCTCATAGCTGACTCTGTTTTGAAAATACAGGTCAGGCACCAGCTGATCTGGGAGTAAAAAGTACAAAGGAGGAAGGAAACTGAGAAGATACACTCAAGTGAATCTTGTCCTCTAACAGTTTGTGTCAGAGAGCGCGAGCAAGCAAGCGAGCAATGGAGGTCTGTGTACTGATATCCTCAGGCAAAGTCACCTGATAAGCCTCATTGACAAACAAAGAGTTACAGCAGGACTCAGTGGTTTGTTTAAACTGGAGTCAGAGGAGGAGGAGGAGGAGGAGGAGGGGTGAGCCCGTAAAAGGATCAACAGCCAGGATAGAGAAGAGGACACATCTATGACAATGTGGGATATTTCCCAATACTCCAGGATGGACTGAGCCCCGGTGATGTCGCTACTTTGCAAGATGTCAGAAGGCAGGTATGGAGGCAGGTTTATACAGGGAGAACGCGGCTGGTGTCTTTGGCTTTTCCAAACATATCTCGTGTTTTGGGCTGTCCCTCGTGTCTTGTAAGATCCTTATCTGGTTTCGAAAAGTTTTAAAACAGGAAACTACTAACTTCATTTTCAAGAATACTCCTTTCTAATGAAGGAGGAAGTGCAGAAGTCTATACAGTGTTTGTATCTTCTCATAAATGTGGGTAATGCAGGATGTGAAGAATCAGTTTGTTGCTTTGAAATCAACCAGCTGCAAACTTCTTTGCATTTTTGGTTGAAGAGGCTGAGACTTGTATGATGTTCACCTTCATCTATATTTCAGTGAATTGAAGATGTGAACAAGCTTTAATAACAAAAGTGAAAGCTACTGTCAGGAATTTTAAGCCAATTATGAAACTGAGTGAAATTAATACTGATGCCTCTTTATGACCTACTTAAGCAAAGCAGACGATGCCAAGCCACAGTTTCCGGGTCTAGAGCCGCGAGTACAAATTCTTGATATTGTTTTTGTTTTCATGGGAAGGTAACACTGAATAAAGGCAATCATGAAATAGGCTATAGAGCAATTTGAAATCGATTTAATAGTTCATACTGGGGGCAGCAGAAATAGCATCGGACAACTTTTGTAACCTAGCAACAGTATGTGCCAGTGAGAAACGCTCCGAGGTTAAGGCCATGGGTACTGCCAGCTTAAAAAACCTGCATAAAAGCCGTGTATGTCAACATGAGTACGACTAAATCCTCTTTGCCTGTAGGGCCTGCTTTAGACTGGATGTGCAGCAGCTGTGTGACGGCTGTGGAGCAGTTTGATTTTTATTTCAGCGTGCATTTTAATCGATCAGACGGTTCAGACGGCCAGTGTGAGCGCTGCGTCTCAGACTCTGAAAATCTAGAGTAGAAGGCTCACCTTTTCTTTTTTTTGTCAGGATCTCAACAGAAAAATAAAAAAATTATAAAGCAAGGGCTGTATTTGCTTTGTTCTCAGCTATTTTGAATTACAGGCATAAGATATATGGTGTATTTGCACTGGTAGAATGCTTTTCAAAGCAAAAGCCCAGTCTGTTGTTTTTCTGTCGAGTCTTTCCTCATTTTTACACAAAGCTTATATTACTAAAGTTGTCTCCAGGATGGTTATATAATAAAATGGTCACTTGCATGACTCTTTATTTGAGCCTCTGCTGATCTTCTGTATAAACTTTAATTTGTAAGTTATGTTTATAAATAATTAACAGCAAATTACAGGAAATGATTCCTCTTTTGTGATCTCCTTTTCGTGCCTCCTCCTGTCTGTCCCTCTCTCTGCTCAGCTGGTGTCTGTGTGTAAATCAAGCACTTATTTTTCATGTAAACAAGATTATTATTATTTACTTCAACCCTTGACATGGATACAACATGTAAAAGCATCCCATGATAATGAATATATAAGTGTGTACAAACCAGTCATATCTTATAACTCATGGAGGTTCAAGTGCATGTTTTTACTAATCAAATATGTCGCAAGAGGACTGTTACATAATAAACGTCTTCATCCGCTTCATCTCTATTACCGTGTATTAGTCTGTGCACACAACTACATAAATAAAGTACCTGTTTATAATGTAGATTAGATGGTCTTCCAAAAGTTTAGACCAGAAACTACTAAAGCTGCTCTAAGGAGACAGCTTTTAAAGTCGTAAAAAAGATTCAAGAGGAAGGAGAAATCTTTGTGCTTCAGATAAGTTTTTATCCAGAGTCAGAATTTTTCCAGGACTAGAAGCTGACATTAAAGTACGATGCTTTATGACCCCATAAGACTCTGAACTACTGTACACATTTCCCAGGGTTACAAGGAGTCTGATGATTTGCTTTAGGACAACAGAACAAACAATGCCAAGGCTCAAATGAAAAGTCAATATTGCTCTTTACAGTTAGTGACTTTCCAGTCAGCGTAGAAACAGTGTTTACAGGATACTTTCTGTGACAGCGAGACTCTCCTTTTCCCAGAATCTCCTGACTTCCCTTCAGCCTATTTTGAGTTCAGTTTCATTATTTAGTTTTATGGAGAGGCTCTCATGTATTTTTAAATCCTAAAAAGAGTACTGCAGGATAACTACAGCTCTGTAGCCTCTGGGATCTTTACAAGCTGAGAGAACAAATAAGAAGCTGAACTGGTCACAGCTACATGTTCATCTTTTGGCTATAAAGACATTAATTCTTACAAAGCTCTTTTTAATATGTATGCCTCGGTGAATATCCTCTTTGCAAATTTTACCAATTACAGCAACATAGTTTTTCCTGTTCTGATATTAAGCACCGCTGCTGATTTCCCCTGATAGGAGGCGACTCTAAACTAGTCATGTTTTCACAACAGAGCCAAAGACTGAGACTAAAAACTTATTTTCCCTAAACATAATTCAACCGCAGTTTCGCTAATTACACATATTTCCCTGGGGATTTTATCATGTTGTTTACTAAAAGTGAAAACAGACAACTTCTTGATTCAGTGAAGCAAGACGCTGATTAAACAGAACAAAACCTCAAAGATGTTATTTTCCTCTGGAATATAGAAGACAGTGGGTGATATACTGCGCATGTTTGTAAGAGAATTAAAATGAACAGAAACTTTATCATCCTGTAGTAAACAAGTGCGTGTCATTTGGCCTGTATTGATCTGTTTTACCTTTTGAGGACGCTCTCATTTTTCATGTTGAGCTGTGGCCTGTTTACGACCAAAGAGAGCGCTGAAGAGTTTCTTTACTGCAGATCAATACATGAGCGGTACATACTGCAGTATTCATAGTTTGTGCATCTTCACTCTTAATTCTTAATTAAATGTGCTTTATTGGACACTAACTTAGATTACATGCCTCTATTTTTGCAAACATGATGTACTGTCTCATTTTATTTGTACAGGTCTTAACATGTATTAGTCTTACACCATGTCATATGACCAAAACATCACTGGCCAGACTACTTACTGTTGTCCCCCAGTGAGTGTCTGCTATGAAACTCTATTTTGAGCCCTGCTATAACTCAAATCTCTGTCCCCGACTGGGGTAATTGACCCTAAATCTGATTATTCTAATCCATATGAGGCGAGTCCATCGAGGATAGAGAACTGGTTAAGCTGGGAGCCTGTTAATTTGTCAATACTGCACTGTTATCAACAACAGGACAGTTCCTTGTCTGTACAAGTACTGTTGCTGCCTCATATGTGATATTTGGGAATGACTGTTTTAATTATTACAGCTACTCTTTGTATAGCTTATATTAGTTGGTTAAATGTGAGAGGTATCGAATTAAAGCAATGTTAAAACCATAGCTGAAGTCCTGAAAGCAAACTCTAGGCTCCTTTCATATTTGAATATAAGGCTGTATCATCACTGATTTTTTGTATTTCCTTCTCCTCTCTAGATGAGATTATGCAGCTGGACAGCAGTCCCCTCCGTGCGGCTGACATCACCCCTGACCTCAAGAAGCAGTTTGCCTTCCTGTCAGGTGACATCTCTTCATCTTTCTCCATTTGTTTAGACTTTTAACATTAACTCCTCTGCTTTGTTGTAAAGTGTTATTTGAAAGGTTTCAAACTTGGGTCTTATATTTTACATAATTTGAGGTCTGAATACTTACCGGTACATCATTCTGACTGAATCCTTCAGAATATGCTGCCAGAGACCTTGCACCATCATGAAATCCTTCGGGGCAACTGTTAAGTGCATCTACTCAGGGTGCTTGTTTTTTAGTAGGAGGCTCAGGCAGGCACTTTTAGGCTTGTGACAGCATCATCCAGGTATTTTTACAGGAGTAGACGAGAACAAGGTCATTTGAGTTCAACCAGGAACAGAAGTCTTCTCCTGAAATTACGTAAGGCGTAAATATTGCAGAAAGATGACGTTGGAAAAGTGAGTCAGCTTCAGGAAGGGAAATTTGCTGTCTTGGAGCACAGCTGGGGCATAGCCTTCCAGTAACTTAAAATAACAATATAAACCTGTAAGTCTCCAAAAGACAGTCCAGCACTGTAAGTTTAGATGATTGTGCAGTTGCCTGAAATAAGTACACCGCAGCTAAGTAAGTTATTTGCCTTCTAGACTCAATCTCCAAAACCAGTTTAGACCTGGATAAAATTAAGAAAGTTGAAATTGCCCTTTAGGTGTTAGTTGGGGTCTGAACACCTGTCCTCTGGGACATCTCATGACTCTATATTTTAATGACTATTCATAATTTGTACTGTAAACTTAACGGTTTCTTCTGTTAGTCATGATTTGCCATTCAAATATCAGCCCCTCTTTCCTCTTCACTGTGTTTTCATTGTCTTTAAGCGACCGTTTCACTGTCGTTATCATATTAACTGCCACTCCATGTGAGCGTTTTACCAAAACCTCCTCGTTTTATCCCACAAACATCTTTCTGACATATCTGAGGCATTTTTCTCCAAGCTTCTCATATATTTGCTGCACCTTTTATATTCTCACTATAATAGCAGTCTGCTTCTTTGTCTGGTGACCTTGTGGCTGGAGCCGAGTCTGGGAACCATTTTGCGGACAAAGATCCCAGCAGACGTTGAAACCATGACCATGCACTTGTTGTTGCCATGGTAATGAAGGGAGAAGAAAAGGCAGACAGATTGATATTCCAGTCACATGTGCTGACAGAGCAGCTGTTTCACACAGGGGGAGAGGAGTGTGTGTACTGTATGTGTGTTTAAGGTGAGATCCAATGTGTTGGTGTCAACAATAATGCTGTGCAAACACACAAGAAGCCCTTTCAACTGTTATTTCTGTTCGGAGGAGAGGATACGATTGCTTGCTGTAGAGCTCTTTAATATATTTTTTCAACAAGCCTCTTTCCCTGAAAGATGAGGTCATTAAAACACCACAACAACATTAGAGCACTGGTGGTTATTCACATTAGGCATTTAGGATTATTTATCTTTTCCTCTGCAGTCTTCTCTCTAGTTTAAGGTGGGCAGACTTCTGCGGTAAGAAAGCACAAAAACAAACAAAAAAACAATAAAGATAGATAGCTCTCATATATTTCCAGTCACCAATCAGAATAAATAATGATCATCTAGTGATGGTTATTCAGCCACCAATGATCAAATTGTGAAGACAGCAGATAAGTTATAACTTTAATGTGAATTTTCAAAGTAATTTAAATAGGTGTTTTTATTTTTGTTTGTTACTTATTTGATTACAAATCATGAAAAATCTAGATTACAATGACCAAACATTTGTTTGGATTATGTAGTTTAAAAGACGACTGGAGTTGTTGTTTTTTTACTTTATTTTTTAACGTGGATATTTGAATGTCATCCTTTGAACATGTAGTCTAATAACTTTACTCAGTGATGATTCAGTCATTGGTACGTTACATTAGAAGGTGCAATAAGTGGGATGAGATCATGCTGTAATGCTGTCTTTCATGTACTAAACTCTCTCTGTTTAACATTAATCACACTTTTATATTTGAGAAACTTTATTCCTTCATGTTATTGTTGAAACAGAGAGATTTATAAAGTCATTTTTTGTTTTTTTTTATTTAATGGAGTCCTTGGAAACATTTCATCATTTCCTGAAATGTAACTGTTCTGTCTCACCGTTACACCAGCGCCCCCATGTGGCCTCCGTTTTGCTGTGCTTAGCTCTGTCTCATTCAATCCCGTTTATTTTTAACACTTTCTTTAAACATGGATGACAGACATCTCCGAGGAGTTGCACTCAAAGCATCCTTATGTAATCTCTCTATTTTAGGCCTCGCTGCAATCATTTCAATTCTTCTCTGTTGTCTAGGAGGCAGAGGGGATAACGGCAGTCCCATCATCGTGTTCCCAGAGTTCCCAACATTTGGGGAGATCACAGACAGAGAGTTTCACAATGTGCTGACGTACCTGACCAGTGTACCCAGGTAAAGACTCTTGATGACACGTCCCACATTTATTTTAGACCTCTTATGTTAAACAAATCGCTTCAGCACCCCTTGTTTTTCCTCTCTCTTCCAATCTCTATCAAACTTTGTTTTCCCTTCCCTGACCCTGAAGAACAGCATTTTTATGAGCCTGTATGGGTTTATGGGTTAACGACAGAAGCAACAGTCATTACTTTTCCAGACATGAGGGAAACTGGCAGAGTTTCTGGTTTGAACATGGCTGACTGAGGCTCTTTTGTGAGATGTGAGATGCACGTTCTCTGTATCAACACAGATGGATCAGAGAACAGATGAAAGTAAGACAATTAAGATGATTTTTTTAAAAACTGTGCATAAAGTCTGCCAGTAGGTGGCAGTGAATACTTTTCTTGGCACAAAAATTCAGGCTGCAGAGCATTTATTCAGTGGCTTAGACAGACAGTGTATTGTACTCTGTCGTATGGTAGATCTGTGGTCATGCTATAATTAATTAGATGACCAGTTAATGATGCAGGCCCTTATCAGTCTTCTACAGACGGTCTTTGTATGAACCAGCAGACTACATTAAACAGTGCAGTAAGAAACTGTATAAAATCATCCTTTTCTCCTGCTATTCCCCATAAAAACCCTTCTGAACAAAATCATCAGTACATATTTTTACCTAAATAGAAATTTTCGCTTACATTTGTGTTTTGCTCTGTCTGTATTTTGCTCTCCTCTTATCTGTCTTTCTGTTAATTCACCATGTCTGGGCTGGTATGAAAATATAAACCGCAGAGACTCTGACTGTGTGAATATGAATAATGCACACAAAGAGTGAGTGTGTGTCTGTGTGTGGACTCACATGACCACACAGATGTGTAATATCTGTGTTATGACTTACATGTGATTGAAGACGTTGTGATTGTTCCTTAATACAGCATATTTTTTAAGTTTCTTACATTGGAACTTATTGAGTTTCATGTTTTTTGCAGTGTAACTAAGATGTGATTTTATTTCAATGAAGATTTAAATGTGAAAAAGGATTTTCTATAAGCTCTACAACACTTTGAATCCTGACCAACATGTATATTTTTTACCCTAACCCGAGCTGATCAAGTGCCTGTCGAAATAGATTTGATCATAGTCTAACAGCTAAATGCAGTTACTAAAATGAGGGTCATCCACAGGAGGGAGGCGGCGTTGAGCCTCAAGCTGTTTTGATCAAAGAGGCAGATGGCTGGAGCTACCTGAGGGACTGACCCCTCCTTTAGCCTAACAGAGCACGCACAGTCCACAGCCAGGAGCAAATGTCCAACAACTGTGTGTATGATGACCTTCAGCAGCTGCTGCCGGGGTGAAACACTCAGCTTTGGATCGTTATTAATCACAGGATCATTTCAAATCTGTTTTTTTTTTTCAGAGCATATATGTGAATGCTATTTACCTGCTAACTCATTCTGTAGACTTTTGTTGTTAAACCAAACCCTGTTAGCTGGGATGTGATCAGTTTTGAATTTATTCTACTCTCATCACATGATTTCCTGGACTCTAATTTTTGAAGGAAGGATTTGCATCATAAACAGATGCAGCAAATGACCGTGTCCTCCGTCAGAGCGTGTTTCAGTCTTTTTACCTTCTTGTCCTGGCTTATCTCTCCTCAGCTTTGAAAATGATGCATGCTTGCTTTAAGCTATGCTGAAAGGTTTAATGGTAAAGCTTGAAACACATCGTACACTGTCAGCCTCTTGATCTGTTTTTAATTTAATATCCTAGTGCCCTCGTGTTCAAGCAGGCCTTGCTTTATTACTGCAGAAGAAAGGGAGAGTGTGTGTACGTGTGTGTCTGTGTGTGTGTGTGCGTGTGTGTGTGTGTTACAATGTCTGCATATTCATTCATGCAGCAAATTTCTCTCACCTCTGCATTATCATTAGGCAGAGCTCCTCACAGCTTGGCTTTACACTTGCTCCTGGATGTGAAATCCAATTATTATTAGGACACTCATGCATGTGCAGCAGGAACAACACTGTGTTGTTTTTGTGACATGCTTACTTGAAACAGTGAGACAGTGTTTGTGACAGTGAATGTATCATTACTTTACAGTTTCTTTACATCCCTATGAGATGTTAATGATTACTGTCTTACCTCTTCATTTGGTGAACATTGGCAGCTAGGATGCACAATATTGGGTTGTTGTCGTCATGTGATTCGTCTGTATTTTCAAACTTGTGAGCAGCCTCTCTGACTGAAAAACAAAACTGTGAATTTCTCAGGGACAACAGAAAGCTCTTGTCTCACTCTGCTGCTTTCCTCCTCCTCCTCCTCCTCCTCCTCCACCACTCATAACCCTGCTGTAGCGATGTTAAGCAGTTTGTACTTTAAGAGCCTCATTTAGGGGAAGAAAGAAAATGTTAAAAAAGGACAAGAGAGTCAGAGAACAGAAAAAGGTCAGAAATCCACTGTGGATGTAAATGCAGGGTGCAGACATGGATAAACCTGTGCTTACAGTGGCCTCCACTTTTAGTCTGGACCCTCCCTCACATCTCTAAAACGCCTCTTAAAGGCTACTGGAGCTGCTCATCTCTCTGCAGACAGCCTCTGATTGGCTCTTTTTATCAAAAGCTTCTTGAATTTCATTGGATGCCTAAAAGATGCAGTTTAAGGGGGGGGCGGGCTGGAGGCTGTGATGGTCTGAAAAATTGGCTGTCTCCCATTCTCACACACTGGGATCTACCTCTGAGGCACGTCCTCACCTGCTCTGCTCTTATTTCACCTTCATTGTCCCAGGAAGTGCTCTTCTAGCAGAGTGATGGACATGGGCAGCTAATATTTGAGGATTACTGGGATTACATGAAAGCTTCTGTTACAGGAAGATGCTCATGTGCGCTTTTACTACAGGTGCGTCATGTTTGCTAACTACGCTATGGAGCTGCTGCACAGGAGATTGCTATTGCTTGCTGGTGGTATGTAAACCTCCTCTCTCCTGGGACAAGAGAGGACAGCAGGAGAGGAGGGGGGTGCAGGGAGAGAAATCTGGCCAAGAAATCCAGAGATGCTCCTTTTATGGACTGCATCAGCTGTAGGAAAAGATAAAGAGCAGCATAACAAACAAAAAAGCAGTGATTGGAAACAAGTCAGTGTTGTAGATTCAGCTTTAATGAACTTCATGAACGTCTAAAGGTTGTCCCCCTTTTTTTGTCCTTTCATTTTCTACATGGTGTCTGGTTTTGCTGCAGTATGTGGTCTTAAACATCCTCTTAGGCTCGAACCATGAGGCTGTGTATAATTGAACCACTATTCTGTTTGTGCTGAACCTGTTTGTGTGTGTGTGTGTTCCAGTTTGTCTTCGACAGGCGTGGGTTTCATCTTGGTTATTGACCGCCGACAAGACCGATGGGCTGCTGTCAAGGGGACCCTGCTTCGAATTGCAGTAAGTTTGTCTTTATTTGTGTAGCGTGCTCTTTTTGTTCTGTCCTCATTGTCTGTGTTGTTCTCGGCTTTGGAGAGAGGTTCCTTTTTTCCCCTTCAGTGTTTCATCAGTTTTCACACGTTCATGTCTTTGCACCTCTGCAGAAGGAGAGAAATAAGAGGTTTGTCAGAAGTGTGTTAGGGTCCCCTTCTCTCTCTTCCAGCTTAAATCAACACAACCACCCAGGGAGGGGGGCTGTCGACATGAGCCCCATCTCTGAACTCTTTCCCATCACATCACAGCCTGCCATGTGTTTCCATGGCTACCAGGGAAAATAAACAGACATGTGCCAGAAAAAGACAGAAGATTAGGTTTCCTTTGTTCCCTCACGTATTCAAATGTCTCTTATCATTTTAGCGACATCTCATTTTTGACTCAAGGTGATTTAAAAAACCTGAAACTACTTAAAAAACATTTGAAAAATAAACAACTAGCGCTGCTCATTTTTTATGTTTGAACCAACAGCAAGCCAGCCTACTCAGTCTGAGTCATATTGTACCTTTTTGTGCTGTAATCAGCTGCTGTATGCTCCTGCAAGAAACAGGAAAGAGTTATATAATCTGCCTACCTTTAGTTTGGCACATTGTTTGTCAATCCATCACCTCTCTTTTGCCCTTTTAGTGCACTTTTACAGCATCAAAATAACTCAGGATACTGCTGTTTTTGTTTGGGATGAGATGATTCTTGTTTGTATAAGAGAGCATATGCCTTTTAGTTAATGTCTCAGTATATTGCTATGTTTAAAGAGTTCATCGAACAGATTCACCATCTTCATTTGCTGCAACATCCAGTTTTTATCTCCTGCAAGAGAAATACAGAAATGTTTGTCAGAAGGGAGGAGATGCACAAATATTAGAGTTTTCTTTACGGGTGGTATGAAGAGGGTGTGTCAGTTTGGACAGCTGTGAAAGTAATAACCAATACTTCATAAAGAGGGATGTGCACGGTCCCTGTATAAACAATGAGATTTCAGAAAGGCAGAATGAGCGATGTATATCACCAACCGGTGTCTCAGGAGACACAGGAGACCACTTCACTCATTTCAAATTAAATCAAGCTTTATTAATCCCACAAGGGGAGACATTTACGGGTGGACAGACTGGTAATAGGAGGCAGTCAGTCATCCAGGCAGTAATGATCTGTTTGGAGTGATTTAGACAGGCTGCTAAACAGATGCCGATGAAAGCTGGCGTGCTTTTAAGCTGCTGCTGTGTGTTTGCTGCAGTGACCAGATCATATGAGCCGACTGTGAAGTGATACCGTCACTCAGCAAAGCAGTGTTTACATGTTTGAGAGTGAGAGTAAAAGAGGTAACTGGATGTTCACACTGTCAAACGGCTCCCTTTGTCTGTTTGTTTGTCTATGCATATGAGTGCGCTTGTGTGTACATAAGCCTGTGTGAATGTGGGTCAGTGTGTTTCACAGGAAAGCTCTCCGTTGTCTTGCACGGCTGAGTTTGATCTGATGACAGAAAGTGTGTCTATAGACTGCGGCTAATTAAGTCTGCAGAGTTACTGTCAGTCCCTGAAGCATACCCTCCTCTTTGTCACGTATCTGCCTCTTCTTTGAGGCTTTATCTGGGCTTGTGAGCGTGTGTGTGCGTGTGTGTGTGCGTCTATGTGTGTGTGTGTGTGTCTACCATTGACAGAGAACAAAGAACAAGTAGACCATGACCATGACTGCCAGAGACCAGGGATCCAGGTTGCATGGTTGAATGGTTAGAAGCTGCATTGAAAGGTTAACTCTGGATATATTTTGTAAATATAAGCTCATTGAAATTCAAACCCAACAGTTTATAAATGTTATTGTTCCTCCTTGAACCCTCTGTATGCTTTACCCTGTCTGTAGCTGGTAGTTCTCTCTAAAGTTTTATTATCACTGATGATTTGGAGTTTTTCCCATGAAAACACTATTTCTATCGATAATGCTTAAAAAAAACAGCAACATTTATTGGACTTGGATCTGTAGTTCTTTGTAAACATAATTTATATAGTTAGACTATAACATATTAGATTAATCCTGAATTAATAACACCTGAAAATCTGTTCAAGGTATTGAGAAACCGTAGAAACTCCTTCAAACAGCCTGAACTCCCGTTATAATTTAGGACTGCCCAAAAAATGTTTTCTCTTGATTTTAACCTGTTGTAACTTTTTGATTCACGTATGATATGATGTTGTATCATATTATATTGTATCATATCTTCGTATAGTAATTCATCATATCTTATAATATTTAAATATATATTTATATCACACACCATTTCTTTTCTATTATGCATTGTATGGTATCAGTTTTGTTTGTATTGTATTGTATCGGTTCAGTTCGTATCCTTAGGCAACATATTGAAAATTTTCTTTTCGTTTTCATTTGCTTCATCCTGTTCTTTTTTTTTTGTTTACATTTAGGCAATTCATTTAGACAAAAAGAAAAAACGTACAGGATAAACTCTTGAACAAACTTTTCTTTTAGTAAGCCAGTTTCTTAGTGTACAGCATATCATATGAGATACTAACACCTATAAATTCTGTTGAATTAAAAAATCCCATCACATATTTTTAAAGATCAGTCCCACAACTGTTGGTATTTTCTGCAGATAGAAGACGACCGTGTTCATGGCACTCCTCCTAGTTTATTCACACAGCAAGGACAACCACCGAGTTGATTTGATAATCCCATTAACAGCTCCTTTCCCAAGTGGTTTCCATTAATGTATTCGTCGTCATTTCTGCTTACGCCGGCATTCTTTAACTCACTGGGGATGAGCGGCCAATCAGGCGGAGCAGCCGTTTCGGTCATTAGCTAATTAAAGTTGCATTAACAATTGTACTGCCTGAGGAGAGGAGATCAGTGTCCAAATGCAACCATCATCCAAATGCCTTCCCAGCAGTACTTAGCCTGTCAGGCGGAGTCCATCAGGACGTTTTTATTGGCTTTTTACGGGTCTGTCAGCTGATGTGAATGTATGGCAGCTACTTAAGCAAGACGGCTTATTTATTTATTTATTTATTTAACACATTTCAACAAAGCAATTCAAAGTACATCCTAAAAGATAATAAAACTTAAGGGAAAGAAATGACAAATGAAAAGATGGCGCCAAATATTAAGTATAATGTTGAACATAAAAAAGCCTTTACAAATAAAAAAAACAATAGATAAAATAAAAACAGAAATAACCGCAACTAAAATATTGGACAGTGTAACCTTGTATGACTACAACCTGAAAATCTGAGTGTCAATATTGAGGTTATTGTTGATTTTTCAAAGGCTTCTAGCTAATATTTGCTTTGTTTTGACATCTTTTTATTATACTGTCTATATTTTCTTTTTAAGCTTTCCCTTGTGAACCATTGCACCTAAACTAAAACATCAGCAATATGTCGTATCAACTTTTATCCCTACCAATTAGATATAGACCATGCTGAAGCTATCTGCCCACGCACCTGTGTGTTGGTGGTATCTTTTGGTCCTCATTATTCATGTAGAGGCGTCCCAGGACGTGAAGATTAATGTCCCTGCCACAGTCGGTGATCCACATCCCCCACACCTCGCCCATCTCCTGGGCTCATCACACTCCTTACACAACAAGCTTGAATGTGTTTGAGCGAGAGTTTTCACAGAGAGCATGGTACAACAGACAAAGAAAGAGGAGAACATGTAGGCTGTCAGCAGAAAGATGCTGTTTATAATTGGGACAGGGTGGAGGAGGCGTCTGTCTGCTCTGCTCTGTTGTGTAAGACTCACTCCACCTACTCTTTCTTTTCAGGGCTCCTTCCCAGGGAACCTCCAGCTGGTTCTGGTTCTGAGGCCCACCACCCTCCTGCAACGTGCGCTCTCTGACATCCTCTTCAAGTTTAACAAAGATGAGTTCAAGATGAAGGTGCCGGTGAGTGTGATCACATTTATCTCAGTTTACACTGTTACACTGTGTGCAGTTCAGCTGACTAAAGAAAGAAGTTGTTCCAGAGCAAGTTTGTCTTTTTTTTTCAGTAGCAAGTGTGTAAAGATTTGGATGTTTTTGTTCCAGGTGATCATGCTGAGCTCAGTAACTGAGCTGCACACCTACATTGACCCCACTCAGCTGACCCATGAACTCGGGGGAACTCAAGAGTACTGTCACGAGAAGTGGATCTCACACCGCACTGTATGTACACCATTTACACAGCTTTAAGAAAAAACACAATATTTAGTACTGATAACTGACTTGTTATCAGCTTTTACTATAACTAAGAAATAAAAAGGAATAAAGGAAATGTTCATGAGGGTGCCTGATAACAGTCGTTGGTTTGTCTTGCATGCATCAGGCTATTGAGGGCTTTGCATTGATGGTGAAGAAAACAGCGCAGACTCTGCAGTCCTTTGGGACTGAACTGGCTGAAACCGAGCTCCCCAATGAAATCCAGGCCACAACCGCCCTGTTGAGCGCGCACAAGAGCAAGAAAGACAAAATGAAGGTAACGCAATCAACATTCAAATATATAAAATGTATTGTATCAATGTTTACAGTATAGGTATATAAAATACAACTTGATCCGTGTGTAGGAGGATCTGCGGGTGGCCCTAGATCAGGGCAGCAGGCTGCTGGAGAGCATCAATGAGCCTGTGGTCAGAGATCCGGACCACAACATGAACCAGGATGAGCTGGAGAACCTGGCAACTGTGCAAAGGTAAAGACAATCATTACACAGAAGAATATTGCAGGAACAAACACGATAAATTTGAAGGTGCATGTCTTAAATCATCAAAATATTTGGTTTATTTTCCCTGTAACACAAAAATTTAAATTGAAGATATTTTGAAAAAGTAAAAACTTAAAGGCTTTTGTGATGGTGTTTGTTGTAAGTATGCAAACATTTTGTAGCATTACATGACTTTTGTCAAAAACTCTCATTGTTTTTCTTTTAAACCGTATTCCAAAGCAAATCAAGTTGTTTACATGCATCCATGATAAAAAGATGAACGCCAATAGACTTTCATTTTTCATATTATTGATGTTGTGGGATTTGTTTGTGGCTGGCCCCTCTCTGCCATCAGTATGGTTGAAATAATGATGGACATAGTGTTTAGCTTTGAGGTCAGTCAGTATGATGTTTTCAGTAACGCTGAAGGCACTTCCATGCCACCATACATTAGTGTTACATAAAATACACACATGCACTCTAAACACCTCATCAACATCCCCACATGCGCCTAAATCAGTTTCCCTGGAGTGCCTGTTTATTAATAATACATCTCTGTCTCTCTCTGTCAGGCTGCTGTCTCAGCTGGATGAGACAGAAACGGCTTTTGATGAGTTCTGGGTGAGACATCAGACCAAACTGGAGCAGTGTCTCCAGCTGCGCCACTTTGAGCACAACTACAGAGAGGTGAGCCTGAGCCCGTCAGCCAAAAAAGTCAGCATGATCCCATCTCAAGACTCGACAAACTGACTGTGATGTTTCTGCTGCAGGTGAGGGCTCTGCTGGATCAGGTGTCTGAGAAACTCAAGACCTTCTCTGAGGTGGGGATCAGCCCAGCACATGCTGACCACATCTTTAGTGAACTCACCACCTACGAGGAGAAAGTGTGTGTAAGTAACACTCAGACTTTTACTGTTAAAGCCCTGTCTGTTACGGCTATGAATAAGTGAACTGTTTTAGTTTGTCAGTACTCAATTATCATTTTCCCTGAATAAAAACATTGATTCACATAAGTATCGCAATTTTTTGTTTTACAATTTTTAAGTTGATTTTTTTGTGCAAAAATCTTTTTTTTTTTTTTTTTTCAAATTTAAGAATGAATCTTAAAAACTGACTTTCATGTGATGTGTATTTTTTGGGGGAATATGGTTCCTGGAATAGTCAGTTGACAATCATAATCATTCAACTGTTTCACTGGTGTTAGAGGTGCAGTCTAATTCTATTACAGTACACTTATTACCAGGTAATTAACAGGTAATTACCTAGTAACAACATGAAATTATCTGGTAATGACATGATAACTACTAAGTCAATACTGTCTAGTTTTTCTTTTTTCTATGCAGCTCCATTTTTAAAAGCTATTTGGGGTTCTTATTTTCTGTGATTGACACTTGATACAGCCTATGGGCGTGCGAAGATTGCATAGCGATACGCTGTTTGAGCCGAGCGTTATCACAGCGACTCACCCGCCGAATGCGTACAATGCTACTGCGCAAGTGGTGGTTCCAGGAAGCTGAGAAAATCGTGGAAATACCCGAGCAATTTGGCTTCAAATTTGTATGATGATGGAAGGTTACCTACCTGTTAGCTAGACAGTATTGACTTAGTAGTTATCATGTTATTACCAGATAATTTCATGTTGTTACTAGGTAATTACCTGTTAATTACCTGGTAATAAGTGTACCGTAAAAGAAAGCGTTCCCTCGGCATCCATAAAATCATAGAAGAGTCGAATCAGGAGAAAAGCACATCCTCCCAGCCCTACTTTTTGGTCTAATTATATCATCCCCACATACAGCATTTAATGTTTTAATCAGTTGATATATTTTTGTATAGACCCCAGCTAGAATAGTTGTTCAGTTCGTCTTAGTTCCAATTAGAAACCCGAAATGATTCTGATGTAATTTTGAAAGTAGACAGGTGAAGGAACCAGTGAAGGTAGTAACCCTCTGTTCATACTGCTCTACAGGAGGTGCTGGAGAGAGCCGCGTCTTTAGCAAGTGAAGGTGAAGAACTGATCCAGAACTCCCACTACGCTGAGGACTCCATTCAGCCCAAATGCATCGAGCTCCGAGCAGTCAGCGAGACCGTCAGCAGCAGCCTGCAAGCCAAGAAGGAGCACCTCCTCAAAGCCATGGAGCTGCATCACCGCCTGGAGAGAGTAAGGAGGCAATTTTTTAAAAATAACATAACAACAGTGACAAAAGAGGGGGGAGCGCACATGTAAATATATAAATGTTACAAAAAAAAAGTTTGAGTCTTTGAGTCTTTGACTGATTCTTCTTCCTCCTCTGTCCTCCACAGGCTTCAAAATGGGTCGATGATGGTATTTACCTGCTGGCATCCCAGCCTGTAGACAAGTGTCAATCACACGAGGGGGCTGAGTTAGCGCTGCAGGAGCTGGAGCGTTACCTGGACAACGCAGGCCAGAGCCAGCTGACTGAACTCAGTACCATCTGGAGCGAATATGAGACGGTCATCAATCAGCAGTTCAGGGTAACATCAATCACAAAGCAAATATACATGTTGCATTTTTGAGTTTCCTCTTTTATTGTTTCATTAATCCAAAATTGGACCAGATTTTCCCCAAAAAACATGGATTTGTGAGGAAGACGCTGTGCCTTGAGTTTTAACTTTTGCCTCTCAGAAGAGGATGAACAATTTGTAGACCACAGTCATTATTGTTCTGTCTCTTTAATAGTTGATATAATGACTAATTCTCTAAACCTTGGCAATATCCACACTGGTCAATCAGCTGTCAAAAATATCCATTACAAAATGAACACCAAAGTCACACATTGTAAGGAGTAGAAGTTGCAAAAATAGTTTACAGTTGCTTTCGGTCTTCATCAGATTTACACATGTATATTAATTTTAAACTGATTTTCTACAGGAACAAGTCGAGAAGGTTTTCCAGAAGCAGACATCCATGCAGGAGATGTTTGACAAGAGGAGGATCAGCCTGAAGAAACTCGCAGCCAAACAGACCAGGCCGGTCCAGCCTGTAGCCCCCAGACCTGAAGCCTTCATCAAATCCCCTCTTAGCTCACCTGGTCAGTGTCCACACATCACCTGGAACAGAGGTTTCATAGTCTGTATTATAAGAACAATACTGATTAAACACTTAAAGTGATATTCCGGCATAAAGTTTAGTAATGACCACATGATAGCAATACAGAGAGCCACACGCTCAACCAAAAAGCCACTCTATACCCATAAATAATATTCAGAACAGCACCTAACTTCATCTACTGTACATATAGGGTCCTAGCCACCAAACATCTTTTTAACTTTGCCTTATTTCTTTAGCAAAGAGACTACACACAACTCACCTACTCTCTACCAGCTTGCTTGTTTGTAGCGAGACCTTGGGTGAGTCCATCACAGACTACAGCAGAGTTTCGCTGCTCAAGGATGAACATTTATGATCATTTCTTCATGGAAATGCAATCAGACCGAGACGCTAAGGCAGAAGAACTACCGCGTCTGCAGTGCAAAATGATTAATATGGTGATGATTACTTCAAGGAAATGATAAAGAAATTATCATAAATGTTCTTCCTTGAGCTGCGTCACCCCCACTGTAGTCCGTAATGGACTGGCCTGAGGTCTAGCTACAAAACAGTGGCTGCTGGAAGAGAGTGGGTGAGTTGTGTTTAGTCTCTTTGCTAAAGAAATTAGGCAAAGTTAAAAAGGTGTTTGGTGGCTAGTGCTGTGGCTGGGACCCTATATGTACTGTTGATGAAGTTAGGTGCTGTTCTGAGCATTATTTGTGGCTATAGAGTGGCGTTTTGGTTAAAGTTTGTTTATGACTCCTCAGACCACTGTGTATTGCTATCCTGCGGTCGTTACTAAAGTTGATATAACTAGAGAAGCAAGCGGTCAGCAACATTCATCTCTCAAGGGGGTGTCTAACTCGGTGTTACGATGTGTTTGACCCTAACTTATTTTTACGCCGGAACATCCCTTTAACCTTTAAACTAACAGAGCATCGGTCCTGTAGGTGTGACTCTGTCCATACTCCTGTGTTCAGTCTGACACTGTTGTCCAGTGCAGGTGCTTAAATAGTCATCAAGGTGCAGATTTATCACAGCCTTTCAAATACTTATTTTAAATGAATTTGGAATAATCGTAGTTAGATGGCAAGAGTATGCAGGATTTTAAGACTAGGCCAACAGAGATCAAGTCAGACTGAAAGTTAGTGAAAGCTGAATGATAGTCTGCTTTTTGATGCTGAGATTGTTTTAGCATCCTTCTATTCTGACTTTTTCCCCATCCTTTCCTCAGCACACAGAGCTCAGCAGGAGAAAAACACCTCAGAGATTGACTCCGGGAACAACTGTGAAAAAGTGAGTTGGATTTTGTCAGCACTTTTTTTCGTTTCTACATCTTCCCTGTCTGGTTTTTCTGTTCTTTCCATGATAACCTGATATTTTCTACTATATCCTCAGGGAAATGGCCCTCTGCAGAACGGGGGGAGTAACAGCAGACATGCCTCGCTGTCAGAAGAGGAGGAGAATCTGGCTGTGCTCAGGAGGTGAGGGATCAGCTGTGGACCTTTCATGTGTAATCATATTACACAGCAGATGGACTGAGCGAAAACAGAGATTCAAAGAGATACACTGAACATTTACCTTGTTTTAAATATGTGTCAGATCTATCATTTGATCTCTTTATTCTTTCTTTGTCTGCAGACACGTAATGAACGAGCTGCTAGAAACAGAGAGGGCTTACGTGGAGGAGCTGCTCTGTGTATTACAGGTGCAAATCTATTTCGAGATATTCTTCACTCCTCTCTGTCTTAACCATGTGCCTAAAATTTCCTCTCCGCTTTTGCTTTTGTTTAAAGGGTTATGCCTCTGAGATGGATAATCCTGCAATGGTTCACCTCATCCCTGCTCCTCTGCAGAACAAAAAGGAGGTGCTGTTTGGAAACATGCCAGAAATCTACCACTTCCACAAGAGGTAGAGGAGCGCCATCTGCCTTTCACTCATGATACCACTGTGCACAGACTGAGGAGCTGTTATTCATCAAACTACCTTATATTAAAGTCAATTATCTTTTCTCTACCTTCCCTCATGCTTCATAGTCTTTGACATTCATGTGATCCTCGTGTTTTTAGGACTTTTCTGAGGGAGCTGGAGCAGTACACGGACTGCCCTGAGCTAGTTGGAAGGTGTTTCCTTGAGAGGGTGAGTGATCTGTAAGATTTTTCAAGTTGAGGCGTCGGTAGATAGAAAGAGGGTCTTTGTTTCATTAAAAATCAGTTTCCTCTGCCTCCCTTTAGATGACAGACTTGCAAATCTACGAGAAGTACTGTCACAACAAGCCTCGCTCTGAAAGCCTCTGGAGGCAGTGCTCAGACTGCGCCTTCTTCCAGGTAAACACAGACATTACCCGCAAGCTTTTAAGTCAACACTTTTTGACTGTGTTTTTGTCTTACTCTGTGCTTCCCCTTGTGTCTCTCTCTTTTGATGTTTATCAGGAGTGTCAGAAAAAGCTGGAGCATAAGCTGGGCTTAGATTCCTATCTGCTAAAGCCTGTTCAGAGGATTACCAAATATCAGCTGCTACTGAAGGTATTATATTACTGACTAATCTTTGTATGACGACTTGTCTTCTTCAGCCAATTACCATATTTGCACCGCCTCTATTTCCCCATTTTGCATCATGCGCAGGGTGGGAAGCTGAAAGTGTGTTACAGTGTTGTGCAACCTTGTTTTTCTGCTGTTCGTCGTAATTAATTTCAAGCACCAACTAAATTGATCGTCAGAAATCCTAAAACAGGAAACACAGCAGCAACAGGTCATAACGTTTTAGTTCAGAGAGAAAAGGATTTAACTTGCTTTAACCTGCATGTTTATTTACAACAGGAAATGCTGAAGTACAGTAAAAGCTGTGAGGGGGCCGATGACCTGCAGGAGGCTCTCACCTCCATCCTCGGTATCCTCAAGGCTGTTAATGATTCCATGCACCTCATCGCCATCACAGGATACGAGGTGAGACTTTAAACAGGATGCGAGTACCCACAAAAGAAATATGCTTTATAAAGGGCCTCTGATGTGATCATAGACAGGATATACGAGAGGAGAAAGGGTTTTAATTTCTGTAAAGATGAACACTTGTATTACGAGCTGCTGTTTCCATAAATAGAATCCAGATGCTGTGGATAAACACAGCGCCGACAGAAAACAGATACATTAAATTGAGCAGATATTAAGTTATATATAAATCAATTTGTGGCGTAGTGGTTTTTCAGTTCTGCTCTTTTCTCCCTCAGGGGAATCTAAGTGAGCTGGGAAAGCTGCTAATGCAGGGTTCATTCAGCGTGTGGACAGAGCACAAGAAAGGTCACGCCAAAGTGAAGGATCTAGCCCGTTTCAAGCCCATGCAGAGACACATCTTCCTCCATGAGAAAGCCCTGCTCTTCTGCAAGAGGAGGGAGGAGAACGGGGAGGGCTACGAGAAAGCTCCCTCATACAGCTTCAAGCAGTCTCTGAGCGTGAGCATCTTTACATGCTTTACTTTTGTGTGTTACTGACTTTAACTTTAAGGTTTGACACTAAAACTTTGTTTTTGACAGATGAGTGCTGTCGGCATCACTGAGAATGCAAAGGGAGACAACAAGAAGTTTGAAATCTGGTGCAACTCCAGAGAAGAGGTCTACATCGTTCAGGTATGTTCTGCCTGAAACTGAATGTCTTGTTGATAAGATATGGTAAGGGAAGGTAGACTTTATTGATCCTGCATGTGGGAAACTATTTCACCACCAGGACAAGAAGACTCATATAGACAACAAACAGCATGGAGACATCAGACAAACATAGACTAACACCAGATACACAACAAACACAGTAAAGGCCGATGAAACATGATTTAAAAGTGGTACAATAAAAGATAAGGACATGATTAGATACAACAAAAGCCTGATAAAAATGAATAAATACTAAAATCAATACCGCTACAAACTATGCAGCAGTGCCAATTCAGATGCTAACATACACTGGTAAAAAATCTCACTGCTGCTGGAACAAAAGACTTTCTCAGTCACCAAGGCATCACAAGTCGCTTACTGAAAGAGCTTTCAAGACCTTTGAAGATATAGTGCAATGGATGATCTTTGTAGCCAAGGATTAATTTTAATTTAGACCTGGTCCTCCTCTCAACGATGGCCTCAAGAGACCCCGGGACTAAGCCAGTGGTTCTCAAGTCCAGTCCTCGAGGCCCACTGTCCTGCATGTTTTGGATGTTTCCCTGCTCCAACACACCTGATTCAAATGATCAGCTCGTTATCAAGCTCTGTAATGGCTTGATAACGAGCTGATCATTTGAATCAGGTGTGTTGGAGCAGGAACACATCCAAAACATGCAGGACAGTGGGACTCGAGGACTGGACTTGAGAACCACTGGACTAAGCCAATCTACATTTTCCTCTTTAACAAACAGTGCTCACCTTTTGTTGGTAATAACTTTACCCTGAGAAAAACAGAAAACAAGAAGTTAAAGATTATTGAGAGAGTATCTGGTATACCTTAAATACTTTTTGATAACAGAGTAATAGAATAAACCAACAGGGCCCACTGCATGGATGTTGATCTGTCCATCAGTGACACAGTTTTGTTCAGTTTACAAAGATCCTTTTTACGGTTTTGTTTCAGGCCCCGACAGCAGAAGTGAAAACCACCTGGGTGAATGAAATCCGGAAGGTTCTGACAACTCAGCTGGAAGCGTGCAGAGGTACTGAGAGAGAATGTGCAAATGTTTCTAAAGATTATATTTATCACTTATGTTTAGCGGTTTATTAGGAGGGAAAGACCCGATCCTTGTTTTTAAGTGGTTTTCCTGCCTCTCTGTCCTACAATAGCCAGCCAGCAGAGGGCTCCAGACCAAGCGTTCCAGTTCCCTCCTGTGCCCAGTGGGACAGTCAGCCTCAGGTAGGACTGTGTTCCTTGCTCAGTTCATTCACACTCTCTTTTTGTATTAACAATTAGATACACAATTTCTTAATCTGCAGATAGCGAGGAATCATTATCCAGAGGCATGTAAAGCCTCTAAAGTTCAACCTTTTGTTCCTTCACAGCCCCTTCAAGTCCGGTCAGAAGAGCTTTAAAAAGGGAGAGGAGAAGAAAGTTGAGCCCTTCAGCCCTGATGCTAACTCCTCTTCTTCACCAAAGCCCACAGGAAAAGGTGAAGATGAAAACACAAATAGAACTAATGAAACTCTTTTTGCAACTGTAGTGCATGCTTTGCATTGAGTGCACAAACTTTTGTGTAGCTGTGTTTACTTCCCATGTCTTTTCCCTGAATCACACCTCCCTGTCCCACCTGTACTCTGAACTTACCTCCTCCCCCCCTTCTTCTTGTTTTTCCCTTTTTCTTGCCTTTCCTCGGGGTCAGACGAGGCTGTGACAAGCCCTACCTCAGACAGAGCTGCTGTGGCTAAAAAGCGCTTTACTTTACAGGGCTTCAGTAACCTCAAAGCTCAGAAAGGTAACAGCGGGCTATTGTCAGTTTTAATGTTATTTTTCAACCCATCATATCATCATCTGCATTTATAAAATGGAGTAAATTCACATAGAGTCAAGCCAAGTTCATTTAAAGTATGGACATTTTCAAAGTATACCTTTTACTTTCGCTAAGTGTTGTATGAGCAGTTGCTGATATTTCCTTCAAAAACAAATCTGTATGTTTTACAGTCTGTACAGATTAAATCAGATATTTGATTTGTGAGAAGCTAGTGAGCTTTTGTGGTTGGATTTGGATTACTTCTGAGTTATTCCCCTGTTTTAAATCTTAGTCTCACTGCGTGCTTTCAGTAGCTTCATGTTCACCTACTAAAGGTGGTGTTCACCTTTACATCCAGCAGAGGGCTTGTGGGATTATCTCAAAACAAAAAGATGATTGAAATATCTTACAGCCCAGTGGGTCAGAAGGTCAAAACCTGCATGCTTTCTTCCACAGAGCCCACAGCTTCTGCTGGTTAAAGATGTGCATTACCCATGATGCTCCTCCTGTCAACCAGTATCTCACACTTTTCCAGCTGTGTTTGTTTCTTTGTCATTTCAGTCACAGTGGAAAATTCCTGGTTTTCCATTCAACCCCTATCCTTTCCCATCATACCTTGCATTTGGAGTGCTTGAATTTGCTTAATTTACCTTCATTAACGCTCTTGCCTTTTCCTTTCTTGCTCAACACCAGGATCTCCCACAAGCCCTGATCACAAGACAAAACGCCAGAGTGACCCCACGCCATTCGGCTTCAAAGGTACCTCATCTTTTTCACAAAATCCTGCATACCCTCCCTGTGTCGGTTGTTAGTCCTTGATGCCTGAGCACAGCCTCTCTCTCTGATAACAGTGAGTTTCATTGGCTGTAGATGCTGCAGAGAGAGTGACCAGCTGTGTTTTTATTGCCTCCTGTCCTTCAGATCCAGGTCCTCCCTCTCTCCCCCTGAGCAGGGCCAGGTGGTTCAGCACCTCTAGTCTCTTACAGACAAAGTGGAGAGGTACACTGGCACACAGTAGGCTCATGCTGGATACATGTCAGGCCTACTGTTTCACCTCTATCTTAAGGAGTTTTTGCTTTGCATTCCCACGTCTCCACACTCTTAACAGGCCTGGTGAAACCATAGAAATACGCACCATTATGGAGGAACTCTTGCTTGCCACTTGTCTTTTATTTCAGTCAGAGCACTCAGAATTTGGAGGTGCATGTTTGTCTCTCACTGACCGTATATAAAGATGGATGACGTGGATGACGCCCTCTGGTTGTACAGAAGTGAAGCCAAAATTGCACATGTACTGACATCTTGTCCCTGTGATATATGGAGTCACTGCAGTTGGGATCAGCTTGTGGAGCCATGGTACTGACATCATGGCCCTTTAGTGAACCAAAACTCATGTATTTACAAATACAGGAAAGATGGCAGCAGAACAGACACTGAGACTTGAGGCTAAAACATACAGGATACATATTTGGAGCGTGGCAGCGGCATCACGTATCACGCAGCAAATAGGTTGCCATTCTAATTAATGCAGCATCACAAAAGGGATGCATATCAGCTCCTTCGCAGCATTGTATCAGAAGCGTATCGAGAGCAGCACTGCTAAAGTCTACTTTTTGTTGCTCTACACTTCCAATTCGTGTCAATTCACACAGAGAAGGTCGCTCGAGACAGGATGTGAGGCACGAAAACCACGAACTCCTGACTGTGTATCAGTTTGTGTAGATGGGAAATACTTATGGTTATGGATTTTTCAGTAACAAAGAACAATCCGATGGTCAATCCCAACAGGACTTTTAACCGCTAACTCTGTCTAAAGGTAACAGCACAGCATAAAGCAACATAGTTTACTTTATCAAATACGAGTAAACCTGTAAAAACCGAAACTGTAATATCACGTTGCTTTTTCATATATAGTAGAGGCTCAACAGTCACTGAATTATATATAATTAGCAGGAAATAGACCACAGAAAGACAAAACAACCTGTTGGGAGCATGTTGTTTCCTCTATACTGAGCCCAGCTGATCGGGGCTGCACTACGCTGCTGCTACGCTCCAAATACATGTCCTGTATGCCAACCCAAGGCTGCTCTACGAAGCAAATATGGAATGATCCTGTATGTTTACGGCTTTATAGTGCCACCAGTCAGTAGGAAGAGCTACAGAGATTTGGCTTCACTTTTCAGGAGCGGTCTTGTCATCCAGCTTTTATACAGACTACGCTGTCTTCCTTGTCTTTTTGATAGTTACTCTGTCATGCTGGGATTCCTGGGACTAGTAGATTTCTTTCTTCTCTGTTCAAATGACCTTTTTGGGATTCTTTGTCATGCACTGACACCCTCATACTCTCCCTCACAGCAGGTCACACTGAACTCGCATGTTTGATGGGAGTTGAAGCTGAATGTTGGAGTAATCATAACACCCATGTGTGTCTCTCTGACTCCCCCCCAGGCTGGAACAAAACCTCCCTGTCTCTGGATGCCTCAGAGGAGCATGACGGCTACTCCAGTGCTGATGATCCCCTTAACTCTGACCCAGAAGATGAAAATGGAAAGAAGTTGGTGAGTTACTGCTTTAAGAAAAGTGTTTTGATAGTTTTCAACTGTTTTAGTCACCATGTCAAGGTCAAAGCTGTATTCAAAGTCAAATCACTTGGATCCAGTACAACACAGAGCACTTTCATCATAACAGTATTCTCATCAGTCTTCCTGCAACTGATGTCAAACTTGCTCTTTTATTCACAATGTCCAACTCGAGTCCTGAAAAGTTGTTGTTTCATGTCTGTTTTCTTCAATTTGGTTGATGTCTTTCACTTAGCTTCTTGTGTTTCAACATGCCTCTCTAATTTCTGTGCAGTTTTCCTCCTATCCTATGTAGAAGTTTTGTTTTTCCCAAATAAAGTGATAGTAATATTGATATCAAAAGTATCCTACCTGATGTTTGCCAAAGGTTTTGTCAAATCTACTACATTGTCAACAGAAGGAGGGGGAATCAATAACTGTTTGACCGTGCTGGACTCCTTGTCGTGGACTGATTTGATCCCTTCATCCTCCATCATCTTTGTTATTTTGAAACAATTATTGTTGGTGTTTTGACCAATCAGAAGCCAGCAATTAAGGAAAATATCAAATGGACTCTCTAGATTCTTAAATGCATCTTATTCATACATTTGAATCAACCTTCAATAGTTGAAAAACTGTATTTTTACCTGCAACAATGAGACATTTTATAGAATAAATGACTGATGAGTTCTGTTTGTTTTTTCTCAACTTTCAACAGTGTGCTGGCAAATACACAGTCATGGCAGACTATGAGAAGGATGGCGATCCGGATTTCTCAGTAAAGAGTGGGGACATGGTGCAGCTTGTGAAGGAGGGGGATGACCAACAGTGGTGAGATGATATAATCTCTGACAAAGCTCATCAGAATCATACTTAATACTAGAGAGGCTCTGATTTTATATTAACTGTGTGTGTATATGTGTTCCTCTAGGTTTGTACGTAACCTAAGCACTTCAAAGGAGGGCTGGATCGCAGCTGCTAATCTTATCACTATTATTGGAAAGTCAAAGTCTTGCCAGTCTCTCACCAGCTCAGGTATGACAAAAACACTCCCTCTTGTTTTCTAGTGATTGTGGGGGCACTCCTGGCACACTGTCTGGTTTTAATGTTGATATGGGGACTTTTTCCAGACACAGATTATCTGGTGTTAGTGCCGATGTAGGGACTTGTTCTAATACACACTATCTGGTTGAAGTGAAAATGTCGGGACATGCTTACTCGTCAGACACACATTTGCTCGCTTAAATGTTGAAATGAGGACTCTCTCTCTAATATGCGCTTATATCTGATCAAATCTTCCATGCATGTGTGTTAATAACAGAGGGCAGTGGCTCGGGAAACCTCAGCACATCATCCAGCTGCAGCGAGACGTACACCAGCTTCTCTGACATCAAACCCTGAACTTCTCTGCACTTCCTACATCACCAAACTGTCCATTTGAAAGCTAGCATAATGTGACTACCTGTGCTCTATTGCCAACGTTGGTTCTCATAGGATCTTTGCAAGGACCTCACAGAAGAGCTGTATTATTATTTCTTTTTTTTAAGTTTTAAAATTACGCACATGCACCAGTTATTAAAGTAATATGTCAAACATATGCTCACAAGATACTGGAAGATACTAGATAGAAAAATATACAGCACAGTGAATAACTTAACGGTGAGTTTTCTTTGGTCACACACTTGTATGTATATTTTTTATGGAAAACAGAGACTCCCTGTAATTATATTGAAATAGATGTATGAATGGACCAGCAGGACTGATCTCAGTTAATGCATCTATTTGTGTTAACGTTAGAATCAGAGGAAGTGTGGTGACCATCCTTTTTTGTTTTTCTGCACTATACCCAGGACTTTCTGATTCCACTATTATTGTACTTTAAAAGGGACATGATAAATACGCACAGCTTGGTTTGCTTGAATGAATGTTACCTGAGAGTCTTCATCTTCTGTATTCTTTTTTTTTCGTTTATTTATTTGTATGAAACTTTTCAATCTGCTTCTCGTCCTGTCTCTTGTTTTGTCATTGTCTTTTTACTCCATCGCTGTCTGGCATTTGTCCATCTGTCGTCATCTTGGCGTTAGAAACCTCTCAGTCTGCAAGCTTTTGTCTTTTGAGCTGTCTGTATGACTGTGGTTTTTTCATGTATGCTACAGTTTGAAAATGTTTCTTCATGTGAATAATCACTGTATAGCTCTAACTTATTCCCCACTGAGGGATTATGTTCTGAATGTAGATATTGTTCAGTAATATCTGTCTGTCATTATTAAATGTTTGTTATCTGAGATGCTATATTGTACATTAAGTTTGGTGACGTCACTGATTTGTGACTTGTCAAATTTTTTTTACATAAACAAATTGTGATAAATCAGTTATCGCCTCTTCTTTAATCTTGTGTGTCTCAGGGGTGGGTGTGGATCCGATGCACACAGGCAGGTATAGCCATCATGACTGAAAAAACAAAACATACATGGTGAGTGTCGCTACCCGACCTGTCCCGGAAACCCAGTTTGTACTGCGCAGGTGTGCAACTTGCGTCACTTCCTCTACTAGCCGTCTACCTTCTGTTCACCTGTTCACACAAACATGAGTAGATGGTGATGTTATCATCTGTGTTTTTAAAGTTCATTAGTGTTTTAATTACTGGAAAATGAATTATTGCGTTGTAGATGAGACACAACTTAAAGAAAGCGTAGAGGTTGAATCATCAGGGTTACAATTTATTAGATTTATTCACCAAAAATTACAAATCAGCTGACATTAAGGTTTTTTTGTTTTTTTTAATTCACTGCAGGGACAATTATAAGCAGATGTATGATTGACTTTCCTGTAAATGTTTCTGTAAATTATATCAGTCTAAGGTTTATTCGTCAAGACAAGTCACAGTATTGCTAAGGCAGCTGTATTTTTATATAATGTTGTTTTGAAACCAGATAAATATGAAAAAAAAAATGAGTAGTCTTAAAGTCAAAACAATGATAACAATATTACAGCAAACAATAATAAGAAATTTTCATCTTTAAATTTTTAATTCTAGCCATAAACTGGTGGGTTCTAAAAAAAAAGCTCAGTCAAATATATGTGACAACCAGGGGGCACTGTTTCTATACAAAACTGCTCTGTTATAAATAATGACTGTATTATTCCACTTAATTTATAATAAAAAATCATATACCAACACATTTTATAAGTCTTTATCAATATATTTTTGGATAATTCAATAAATTAGTACAGCTTTGTATCTGACAGAAAAATACTTGCCGTGTAAAAATGTGATGTGCTATTCTTGAAGCAGTTAGTGGACTTTATCTACGGTCAGCCTACAGTTTTGTTACGACTGAAAAAGGAGTGAATCTAAACAGTTTTTTTTAATTTTTCATCTCCATAATTTTATTACCCACTCACAAAGAACGCAACAAAGAAATATAAGCTCGAAGTCCAAGTCCAGAGTTGTGTTGTATCAGTAGATTGTGAGTTATACTCTAGCTAACCTTAATAAATGTTTTTACTCACTTTTATATAAGGGGAAAAAACAAAACAAAAAAAACTACAAGCTAAAAGTTCTGGGCCAAAATTCTCAGCAGTATATAATATGCACTAAGATAGTAAGTTACAAGAACAACTGCTAAAAACCTGTTGAATTCACAATTTAATTCAATGTGGATATTCATGTCTGTCAAGATCCAGTGACTCAAGTTTAAAGAGATTATGATAAAATATCAAAGTTGAATTTGATAAAAATGCCATAGTATTGTATGATAAAATAATGATGTATTTGGAAAAAAGGTCATAGTACAGTAAGTTAAAAATTATCATTAAATATGATAATACTATCATAGTATATTACAATTAAATGTCATAGTATAGTATGATAAAAATATTTTAAAATGTGATAAAAAGGCCATAGTATAGTATGAAAAAAATATAAAATTAAAGGATAATAAAGAAATCAAAGAATTTGATAAACATGCCATAGTAAAGTATGATAAAATGTTTTAGTATAGAATGGGAATAATGTCATCATAGAATTTGATAAAAATGCCATAGTATAGTATGATAAAAATGTCATGGTATACTAAGGAAAAAATGTCATAGTAGAATTTGATATGTCAAAGTATAGTATGAAAAAAATATCAAAGTAGAATTTGTTTAAGATGCCATAGTATAGTATGATAAAAACGTCATAGCATAGTATGGTAAAAATGTCATAGTAGTATTTGATAAAAATGCAAAATTATAGTATCAGAAAAATATCATATTAAAGTTTGATAAAAATATCATAGAATTTGATAAAATGTTATAGTATAGTATGATAAAATATCATATGACAGTAAAATATAAATGTCATAGAGAATTTGAAAAGAATGTCATAGTATAGTCTGATAAAATTATGATGTAGTATGAAACAGATATCATAGTACAGTTTTTAAAAAATGCCATAGTATAATATGATAAAAATGTCATAGGATAGTATGTTGAAAATGTCATTGTATAGTATGATAAAAATATCATATACAATGAAAAAATATAGTTGTATAGTTTGATAAAAATGCCATAGTATAGTATGATAAAATATCATAGTATAGTATGAAAAAAATTTAAAAGTACAGTATGATAAAAATATCGTATTATAGTATAATAAAAAAAATCATAGATTATGGTAAAAATTCCATAGTACAGTGTCATAAAATGTCATAGTATAGTATGATAAAAATGTTATAGTATCGTATGGAAAAAATATCATAGTATAGTATGATAAAAATGTCATAGTAGAATTTGATAAAAAATGTCAAAGTATAGTATGATAAAAAATATCATATTATAGTATGATAAAAATGTCATGGTATTGTATGATAAAATGATGATGTAGTGTGAAAAAAATATCAAAGTAGAATTTGATTAAAATGCCATAGTATAGTGTGATAAAAATGTCATAGTATAGTATGATAAAAACATCATATACTATCATATATCATATAATATCACATCATATACTATGGAAAAATATAATTGTACAGTTAGATAAAAATATCATACTATAGTATGAAAAAAAAATTAATAGTAGAATTTGATAAAAATGCCATAGTATGTATAATAAAAACGTCATGGTATAGTAGGGTAAAAATGTCTAAGTAGAATTTGATTAATATGCCATAGTATAGTATCAGAACAATATCATATTATAGTTTGATAAAAATATCATAGAATTTAATAAAATGCCATAGTATAGTATGATAAAAAAATATCATGTTACAGTTAAATATAAATGTCATAGTAGAATTTGAAGAAAATGCTATAGTATAGTGTGATAAAATTATGATGTAGTATGAAACAGATATCATAGTACAATTTGATGAAAATGTCATAGCATAGTATGATAAAAATGTCATAGGATAGTGTGTTAAAAATGTCGTAGTATAGTATGATAAAAATATAATATACTATGGAAAAATATAGTTGTATAGTTTTATTAAAAAAAATGCCATTGTATAGTATGATAAAATGTCATAGTATAGTATGATAAAAATGTTCTAGCATAGCATGATAAAAATATCACAGTGAAGTACAATAAAAATGTCTTAGTATAGTTTGATTAAAAAAAATCATAGTATAGTATGATAAAAAATATAGCAAAGCATGATAAAAATGTCACATTATAGTATGAAAATTATGGTAAAGTATGATAAAAATCTCAAAGTATAGTTTGTTAAAAATGTCATAGTATAGTACGGTAAAAATGTCACTGTATAGTGTGTTAAGAATTGTCAGTTGTGATGTGCAGAGTGCTTTTTAAGTTACTATGCCCAACCCTTAATCTTGTTATTATTACTTTCTCTTTCGACAGCTTCAGTCGAAGGATTCGCTTTACAGGATGCTTCAGCGACAGTGAGAATCGAAAGTGAAACTGTGTAACTATGTTGCCAGGTTTGCCAAAACCAAGCTTGTACGCTGCATCACACAGCTAGGCACTTTGGCACATAGAGCTCTGGAAAAATTAAGAGACCACAGAAAAAGACCACCAGTTTTTCAGATTTTGCCACTTATAGGCCTGTGTTGGAGTAAAAATCCCTTTATTCCTTTAACTACTGGCAACCTAACTCCTAATAAAAATGTTCTTCCTAATAAAGATATTGTCATTCAGAACGTTTGTTTGCAAAAAATTAAAAATGGTCAAAATACCAAAAAGGGACCAGTGTTTTCAGACCTCAAATAATGCAAAAAAAGAAAGCTCATTTTCATTTTCAAGCAACACATTACCAATGTTTTAACTGAGAAAGGGTTCAGAAATAAATATTTGGTGGAATAATCCTGATTTGCAATTATAGCTTTCATGCATCTTGGCAAGCTCTCCACCATTCTGTCACATTCCTGGTGCAATAATTCAAGCAGTTCAGCTTTGTTTGATGGCTTGTGACCATCCACCTTCCTCTTGATCACATATCAATGTCACAGATCTGGGTAAAACAAAAAGGGAAAGGACCCAAGTACAGAATTAAAATGATTTATTTCAAAATGAACTAAATAAAAAGCAGGGAAGACAAGGACTATATATACACACAGGGAAACGAGCAACAGGAGTCAGGTGAGACACAGAGACACAGGTGCAGATAATTATTAAGAAGAGAAAACTAAGGAAGTAAAACAAGACTAGAAACACAGGGAATAAACTACTCCAAAATAAAACAGAAGACATTGAAACTGATACTGAATAAAACACTGAGAACATGAGGAAACTGGGGTCAGACACAAACTGAAAACTCACAAGACAGGACAACAGGGGAACAGGAACAATAGGGCACAGAAACACTCGGAAAAATCACAAAGAAAATGAGGTTCAATGAGGTTCAGGTTTAGAGATAAGGCTGTTCATGACAAGGTCTTAATCTGGTGGTCCTTCATCCACACCTTGATCAACCTACCTGTGTGGCATGAAGCGTTGTCCTGCTGGAAAACAAAAACAACAACAACCCTAAGAGTTGGGGAACATTTCAAGAGCAGAAGGCAGCAAGTTTTCCTCCAACTCCAGCCTTGCTGAAGCATCCCCAGATCATCGCTGATCCTTCACCAAATTTCACTGGGGATGTAAGACATTGTAGCTTATAAGCCTCTACAGGTCTCTGTCTAACCACAGGACATCCAGGTGTTGGCCAAAGCTGGACATAAGAAATATTAAGGATTGAAGCACCTGACGCTCACTGTATCCCTTTGCCAGTAAAGCCAGAATTGGTCCCTTCTTTTCCTTACATAAAACTTTTCTCTTAATTTCTCTTGGCATAGTTAATACTTATTTTTTGTTCCAGTTACTTTTGATATACTACCAACATTGTTGCTATCCATTTGGTCCAACAGGATAGTGATGACCACAGCAATGGTTTATATTTCCTCCTTAGTTAAGATTTGGTTTAGATGATCATTTCATCAGTACCTTATAAGGTAGAAACAAATGTGCTTGAGTTGGAATTCAAGAGACACTGGAATGAAATGATTGTTTTACATGTAGAGATGCTGTTTTCTGAACATTTTGCAGCGGTCTCTAAAAATTTTCCAGAGCTGTATGTTGCATTCGATTTTTAGACATATTGAATAAGGCATAATATCGAGTTTAAACAAATGAAATGTGCTAGATAAAGACAACTTCTAGCAGTCTGTTGCGCCGTGGCCCAAACATCTGATTTTACATAATAAAGTAGCCCTCAAACAAGGACGGATTTCCAATCATCACTAGAAACAGCCAGAAAAATGTCAGTTCCTGATTTTAAGTGCAACAGCTGAAAGAGGTGTAATATTTTACAACTACTGTTTAATGTGTTTTTCAGATGGATTCTCGCGTTTTGGCTAAAAATGACAGTTCTGTCTACATGGATTGAATTACAGTTAGTTTACATAAACATAAGCAACATCCTAGATAAATATGGGCCTTCCCACTGAGCATTTTTTGGTCTAAAAGAGGTCTAATAGACATCTAAATGTAGCCTAGAATTTCTTTAGATGTCTAAATTTAGACCAAGTTTAGACTAGCCGGCTATATCTATACTACACTGTATATTGCTCAACGGCTATCATAATTATTTTGCTTAAGTACTTGTAGATCAGTTATGCAACTCACAGTGACTTTTTGAAATAAATAGTTATCGAATAATGGGTTAAAGTGCAGCATCTAAATTCGGTCTAAAAATATACAGAATCTAGACGGTTGAAATTAGGTCTATAAAAGAACGAGACGTCTAATAGCTGTCTATTGCTCAGTGGATTAAATTGTCTATCGAGTGATTTCTTGTGAAAAATTTTAACAGAAAATAGGTGAATAGCCGAAAACCTCACTGGTGGGTAGGGTTTTACCATTCCTACACATGCCATTCCTGACTTGGTACTTTCAAATCCTAATTATCTCTAGAGAGCAGGAAACGAAGAATGGCTGTGCATCTTTGAGTTTTAGAAAACGAGTGTCCTTCAACATGCTTGTCCAGTTTCTCGGGATGAAAGGGGTATCTGATACCTTTGAAAAGGTTAAAGGGGGATACGTCTGATAGAACCTGGCAACCGCCAAGTCAAGCAAAGGGCGGCTAACCCACAAAGAAGGTATAGTTGTCTTGGGGCTACGAAACATTACCTAAGACATATATCGGATTTAAGTGAAACAGAGAAGAAGTAAACTTTTCATTTCGCTTCAGAAATGGTTCACGTTAATGATATGAAATGCGCACTTTGTCATCTTTCCAAGGAGACGAAGATAACCGGAGCCTTGTCCACTAAGGAGAATGTTACAGCTCACCAGAACTGTTTGGTAAGAGTAAAATAGTTCTTTGAAAATGTATTTTAGCTAACTGTTTGAAGCATTTTAGGGGAAATACGTTTCTGTAACAGCAGTTCAGTGAGCATGGAACAAGTACGCGAATATTTACCTTAGTACTGACGGTGACTTTGAGGCACACACACGTCATGGGCGCTTAACCAATAAATGCATAAAATGTAATCTGAATAGCGAGGTCATTCTATAGTAAATATCGCGAAATTTGCGGCTTGCTTGCTACCTACTATAAAATGCAACAATCATTTAATGTGTAGCATAATATTTCCACAATGAAAGACTTTTATTTTGTTTTATAAATTGTATTATTTTTGTTTGCTTGAAAAAGTACTCTTGCATCCTCTTTACTTTTAATCAACAAAGGTATCTTTCCAACAGCGTCAAACATTTTGGGAGAAAGCCTGAAAAATGCAATTATACTTTTAAATAAAAACACTTACAGCAGTTAGAGCTCATTTAGGACACTTAATTATAATGAAATGATAAATCGATATTAGAAAATGTTGTGGCAAATTTAACATATATCAAGTAAAACAATGCACAGGAGACAGGATGAGATCTGAAGAGCAGCCTGGGTGTCTATATTGTACAATCAGTTCAGATGACAAACAGAGTCTTGACCAGACCAAAGGAGAGAAGCTCTGAGCTTTCCTCTCACTCACTTTTATACTGCTGAGTGTGTGTCTTAATACAGTACCGTATTTTCCGGACTATAAGTCGCGGTTTTTTTCATAGTTTGGCCGGGGGTGCGCCTTATACTCTGGAGCGACTTATGTGTGAAATTATCAACACATTATTACCGGTATATCATTTCACATGTTATTTTCGCACTAAACCGCAAGAGGGCGCTCTAGGCCTGTGTTGATAATTTCGACATTGGTGGTAACTTTTAAAAACAACTGAGAAGGGCTTAACAAAAATGGCACCGAAAAGAAAATCATATTCTGCAGATTACAAGCTGCAAGTAGTAAAATACGCAGCCGAAAACGGTAATCGAGCAGCAGAAAGAAAGTTTGGAGTTAACGAGAAACTTGTAAGGGACTGGCGAAAAGCGGAGGTTGCTCTTACTGAAATGAAGACAACAAAAAAAGCCAATCGCGGGCTAAAAGCTAGGTGGCCACAGCTAGAGGAACGAGTTCGTACATGGGTGCTTGAACAACGTGCTGCCGGGAGAGGCTTGTCAACAGTGCAGTTGCGACTCCAAGCCCAAGTATTTGCCAAGGAGATGAATATAAATGACTTTGCAGGAGGACCTTCTTGGTGTTATCGCTTCATGCAACGCAATCGCCTCTCTATCAGAGCAAGGACAACGATGTCTCAAAAACTGCCAGCAGACTTCCAAGTCAAGGCCGACAGTTTCCGTGAGTTCATTGAGAAGCATGTAAGTGAGCACAACGTGACACCGGATCATATTATTAACATGGGCCAGAGCAGTGCAGAGTGCTTCTTTATTATGCATTTTATGGCTGGTGCGATTTATACTCCGGAGTGATTTATAGTCCGGAAAATACGGTAATTGTGTGTTACTTGTGTACCACAAAAGTGCATCCCTCATATGTGTATTGCATAGTTTTACAACTCTGTAACTCTAATGTGTGTGAGTGCACGCTTTTCCCATCATCTGTTCAATCACCGGGGGTCATCCAAGTCCAGGTCACAGCGTTCTGGAATTCACCAGTTGTTTGGATTACTCTTGGACTTCCTGTAAACTATCTCTAAGTGTTTTGGCAACCCCAAATGTTTTGGTCCCTGTAAAGCCTAACCCAACATGTTTATGAATCCTTAACAAATGATAATCAGAAATGTATTCCTCAGATAAACCTATAGATTCCCCTACAAAAACTGAAGGCAATAAACCATCTGAAAGTTTTCTCATGATTAGGCAAAATATTGCAGAAATTTGAAGGATCAGTCTTAGAAACTTAAAGCTCCTGTGAGGAGATTCTTGATGTTTATGAAAGGGACTGAAAGTCGTTGCCTTTTTATGATACACAGAAGCAAACAAGACCATCAGTGAGAAGACTGACCATCTTTATATAGTGATTTTTAATGCCTCTAAATAGTGCAAGAGTGTCACCTTAGCAGCTAAATAAATATTCACAATAAATGAATAATTTGTGAAGATGGCTTTGTCCTGAAGACATGACAAAATGACCAGAAACTGAGAGTTCCCCACAGGTGCTTTAAATATACATATATTTGTCTTGGAATTAATGGTTGCACACCATGCGAGGGACATGCAATATGTTATATTTTTTATTTTTTTGTTGCTTTTGACAGCTAATGATATAACATGAAGCTAGTTGTAACTTAACTAACAAATAAGTTGGGATGTTGTGTAAAATTTTGTAAAAAAAAAAAAAAAAAAAAAGGTTTTATTGGTTTGCATTTAATTTCTGAAAGAAGAGGCAAAACAAAAAAAACTGAAGCTGTAAAAAAATTTTTTTTTTAATTTAAGAAAAAAAAGACTACATGCTCATTTCAACTTGGGTAATATAATTTTTTTTCTGTTTTTACAGCTCTATTCCTCTGGGATTTACTGCCAGGATTCTCCACGGGATGATGATCTGTTTGGTTTCTCCGTGAATGATGTGAAGGAGGAGGTGAAACGGGGGAGAAAACTGGTAAAACAAACAAAAAAAAAAGATTTATTAATACAAAATATTGTGTATTCTAAATAGAAATTCATGGTATCTATTGCGTGCTTTATCCATTTGGTATAATTTGCAGAAATGTTCTGAATGCAAGAGGAGTGGCGCAACTGCTGGTTGTGAAAACTCGCGCTGTAAGAAGTCCTACCACTACCCGTGTGCTGTCAAGGATGGAGCTGAAATTTTTGAGGAGACAGATGCGGGGAAATACGGGTCAGTCCAACACAAGTGTAAATGTTTTAAATCTGGGACTGAGTGCACTATAAACGAAGTGCTCGTATCTCTTTGCTCAGACTGACTCAATGTGCACTGTGCATGACTGAGAGCTGTACAACTGACTAGTAGCTACTGACACTGACGGCTCGAAACTTGTTCTCACTTGCATCAAACCTGAGAGCACTGGCACTTGCAGGGTGGAGGACAATGTGCTGTTTCTTTCCAACACATGCTGATGTGGCCCAAACGGTGAACTTGGTCTGAAATGAAGGGTCCAAACAACTTCATTTTCTTGTCTGTTTCAGGCTGTACTGCCCCAACCACCGTGAATCGAATGGTAAGCAGAAATCTTTGAATTGTTCTCTGTCATCCATTTTTGATTGAAGGCACTACGATGAGTTGTTTTCTTTTTCACTACCAGGAAAAAACGGCTCTGTGAACAGACGAGCATCTTCCCACGCAAGTACCAGTGAGGCCCCGCCTTCTGAGGTTTGTCCGGTGAAACAACATAAATCTTAGTGACATAGCACAAGACCACAAACTTAAAAAGGATCAGTGCTGTCTCTGGTTAAGATTGTCTGAGGAATAAATCTAAGGATAGTCTTACGTCAGTGTCCAGAGAGGAGTTTGCACTTCCTTGCAGTATACCAAAGTCCAAAGTTTCGCTGCAGTTTTCACAATTTCCACTCGAGCGCAGAGAAAGAGTGCAGCGGTTAAGAACTGTTTTCAGTGTTCATTAAGTATGCCAGCTTGGTTTGACTCGACAGAAACAGTTAATTTTCCTGCTGCACTCTCACACTTTACTCAGCAAGTAACCAAACCCTTGTTTTATTTCCACAAGGTTTACTGCCTCACTTGTGAGAAGAAAGAGGGAAAAATCAGCTTGGAAAGTTTGTCTGATAATGCTCAAATGTAAGTTTCTTTATACTTTAGTAAATTCTGATTTAGAAATCTCTAATCCACTTGTAAAGGTGACTTCAGGTAAAGATTGAACTAAGTGTGTGTTTCTAGGTCATACTGTGACAAACATGCTCCTTCATCACTTAAGAGGAACACCAATGGTGAGTCCTGCTCACAGCGTGTGCGTCTCTTTTCTCTTTTCTTTCATAAAATCACAAATTTAAAGTCGTTTTTCTTCTCAGGACTTAATCCATCGGCCAAGTCGCACGTGCAAAACAGTGACTCCAACCCATCCAGTAGCACAAACCATACACCCTCCAAGGTATGAATGTAATCTCATAGTAAAGCTTTTTAGATTTCATGTCTTCATCAGACTTATCCATGTTTTTAATCTTTTTGCTTGAAACAGAGATGGAGGATTTCCGACGATGAGTAAGTGTTAAAAAACCTGCATGTTGTTCTTTGAACAAATTTGTAGCGACCTAAAATTGTCATTATTCTTCATCCTGATCTTTCCTCTTGGTCTCAGTGAGGATTTAACCCCGTCTAAACGTAAATCAAAAAGGAGGATATCAGATTCTTCAAATTCAGGTTCATTCATTTATATAACAGAAAAAAATCATCTCTGTTTGTTGGATTATTTGAACGAATTCCTTAAAATCCAGGGTTGTTTTATGTCGCTTTTTCTCCAGATGAGGAAGCTCCTAATTCCATGTTCGCCCCTTTGGACTCTGATTTATTGGAAGGAAGTGCAAACTGTTCTCCAGACACTGACGTAAGACTATCATTGGATTTATTCCTCAGACAGTCTTAACCACAGACAGATACTGTTGTCAAATCTGATGAATATTTGTGCTCTTCCTCCTTGCACCTCAACTGTGCCTCAGCTGATCAGGTAAACTCAATCCTCTGATCCAACATCTGCATGACAAACATTTCTGCAACTCTCCTCTCTCCACCTGTGGCTGCCTGATAGTCTGTATGTAACACGTTAAAGATACAGCAGTCCGCCATTATCTTTAGCGGGAAAACAACCTCCTGGTGCTCCAAAACAAAGCTCGTTATTAAGCCATTCCAGAGCTTGATAACGAGCTGATCATTTGAATCAGGTGTGTTGGTGCAGGGAAACATCCAACACATGCAGGACAGTGGACCTCGAGGACTGGACTTGAGAACCACTGGCTTATGATGAAGTGAAAGTGAGCCGGGACAATTTCAGTCTCGATTATCAAATTTTATGAGAGTGGTGGCCAAAACCGTAACAAAGATTAAATCTGATTAATCCCCCACCTCTATTTTGAAGAGCAACCCTAACCGTAATCTTGTATCCATCATTCATTTAACAGGCTGAAGTTATTTCCTCGCTCACACAGATGTACATTGTTAACTTCATGTAAACCTCAAGGAGTAATTTTTTGTTGTTGCTTCTCACAGAAAGGAAACCGTGAGAGACAGAGGCTCCAGCTCTGGTAAGCTCTAACACATGTTGGTGACAGAAATTATAACAGGAGATGTAGCGTCTCTAAAATGGTTTATGACCGTAATTTGTGTCTGACAGGAAATCATCCCGACGATCAGAGCCGAGCTGAAAATAAAAATGGCGAGGAGGATGAAACACTCCTACACTCGGTGAGTGTATGATGTGAATGTGAATGTTTTCATTTTCACAGTGTTTTAACTTCTAATCTAATAATGATACAAATACCTGAGTGTGACTTACTTATTATGTATGGCCTCACTAAATAAATGGATAGTAGACTTTGTCTCCAACAGGCAGTGTTTATGGTTTTTGTGAATCTCTCTTCCCAGAATGTTTCATTTTATTCTAAGTATCATCGCCTGAAGCTGAAAGTTTGAACTGATCTCACCTGAACTGTGTTTGTGTCCTCTCAGGATGCTGAGTCAGAGAGTCTGCTGTCTCCTCAGGAGATCTGTGTGGAGATTCACCCAACTCCAACCATCACCTCTGTCGTCCTCGATCAGGCTCAGCCAGCACCAGTACAGATGGAAAATGAGGACAACAAAGGTAAAGCAAAAGTTTCAGATGAAGTTTCAATTCACTAATTCCATGAAATAGAAAAATAAAGCCGGTTACGCTCTAGATTTCAGAACATGTCTGACGTTTATTTAACAGCATTATTTCTATTAGCATAACAGAATGTAAATTACACACTATGTTCATAATTCTGTCAGTTAGGATGGGGGAAACCTGTTACCATTAAGAGGGGCATTAATATTGATATTTATACTGCAGCGAGTCTGTAGGGGGAGCTCTAGAATCCATGGCTTTACAGTCCATGAATGACGATGCTACAGTGATGCCTCAGACATAATGTTAGTGTATATTTTGACTTTGATCTTGACACTGAGATCTTTTTTTCTGTCCCATTTTAGGGTCCAGACCCAAACAGAATCTTGCCCACAGTCCTGAGAGACCAACCGCTCAGCCCTCTGCCCAACCGCAGAGCTCACCTGCACTCCCTTTCTCTCTTGATCGCCCCAAACCCCGCAGTGTTACTACCTCACCTCCAAGCATGAACCTGACCACTCCCCCCGCTCCAACTGAAGCTGACTGCATATCCGTCCCCTCCTCCCCTTCCTCCGCTGGATCTCTTCCTCGAAACCCGGACCCGAGTATCGACTCCACCAGCTTCTGGAAAAGCTGCAACACAGCAGGATGCACCCAAGCCATATTTACTGATTTCATGAATGAGATGAGCAGTATCTCTGACAGAATTCAGTCTGACAAGGCCAGCAGAGAAGGTGAGCGAGGGCGACAGATTCTAAACATCTTTGTAGCACCCATATCTCGGCAGTAAACGCAGCATCAAGTTCTCTCTGTTCCTCTGCAGATTATGATCGTGCACTTGCAGTACTGGAGGCTTCTGGGAAGCTGGCAGAGTTTGTGACCAAGCAGCAGAAAGGTTAGTACAACACTTCTAATTTACAATGCCCCATCAGAGTAGAAGTATGCTCATCGTAGCGTGGACTGATGAAAGTGGAGTGAAACAATGAAACACAGATCTGAGATGCCAGTAACTGGGGGTGTGTGTGTCTGTGTGTGTGTGTGGGGTGATTTTAGAGATGTTAAAATTAAATCTTAGCTCCTATATATAAATGTTATACTTCTATTCTATGATACATGACAAAGGAAAACTTGTTTTACAGAGTTGCAGAGAAAACAAGTGGAGCTGGAGAAGGCAGCCGCAGTGATGTCAGACATCGTCACCTCACTGAAGCAATGAGTCCATCAAAAGTTCATGTTAACGTTTTCACCGGTTTGTTGTTTTGTGGTTCAAAACTTTTATAATGTCAGCATATTTATATTTTTGTACGGTCAATGCTTCATTTCAATGGGAAATGCATCAAGAGGTGCTTCTATATAAAGCCAAGTGAGATAAAAAATGATGAAATTCTACTTAGCATTTGAGAGATGTTAAAATCAAACCTTGGCTTCTCTGGTTATAATACACGATCAAAGAAAACTTGTTGTACATAGGGGGCAGCAGCAGCTGCACTGAAGCCATGAGTCCAGTAGAAGTTCATGTTTTAATTTTAACTTGTTTGTTGTTTTGTGGTTCAAAACTCTTTTATACTGTCAGCATATTTATATATTTATATGGGCAATGCTTCAAAGAGGGGAAGAGATGACACTGGAAATGAGTCGAGACGAGGTACTTCTGTATAAAGTCATGTGAGGTAAAAAATGGGGAAATGTCTCTACATAATCTAACATTTTAACTTTAACAAAGGGGTTATAAATGATGCCAAACCTGGTCATTTTTACTTTTGTTTCTTTTTCTTGAACAATTTCAAAGGTTCTCTTGAGTTGTCTCCTGAGACAATAAACATTTTTTTTGTGCCAAGTTACCTGACCATTTTTTGTTGTACTCATTACCTCAGTATCTTCGTTTTCACTGGATGAAAAGTCGGTATGATCCGGGCAGGTCAGGGGTCAATCACCTGTTCACACACATTCATGCATATCCAGATAAATTACAGTCTGTCTGAGCTGACTCTAATTTATGTTGTTCATCTCAGCTGGTCAGGCACTTTCACCATCTAAAAAAAAGAAACAGCAGTGTTCAGTTCAGTGATCTATGCCAAGAGATGAATCGACAATCCTCATTTTTCAGTTCAGCTTTGACATCAAAAGTACTTCACAGGGGACACAGGAGTCAAAAGTCTTTTTTTATTTATTACTTTGCTGAGTTCATAAATTTTAACTGGCACTTTGCATAACTCAGAATGGATCAAAAAAACAAAATCATTGATTATAAGTAGAAATGACCTGCATAGAAGTTTTCAAAACCTGCAGCTATAGTGCAGTAAATATACAATAATACTGTAAAATAGTGTTCTCAACCTGCAGCTGATACTGTGGATGAAAAAAGTGTCCAGACTAATACATCTGCCTCACTGTAAACTGATGCTGAGTGGCTCTTCATTTGTTTTAGCTTAAAACAGACAAATCTAACTACCAGCTGAACTGGTCTGTGCAATAATACGATACAAACTAAAGAAGCTTCTTATGCTGCAATTACAGAGGTATAGCTGCTCAATAACACCCTTAGGTCTATGGAAACTATAAGCTGATTTCACTGATAATTATCTTGTAACAAAGGCTGCTTAACAGGTCCAAATATGTGTGTGAAATTATCATTTGTGTTTCCTCTTAAGGCCAAGTGCTACACCAGTATCACTGAAGCTGCAAAACAGCTTTTCATAAGGTACTGTTCTGATGTGAATCTCCTTACCAACAAACGTTTATCCAAAATATCACAACTGAAGAATTTCAATGTTTTTCCTACAAAAATAAAAAAATAATAGCTGATATAACTTCCTATAAATCATGATTGATTTAACAATCATACTATTAATCAAAATAAGACTAGCAAGATACAATTCCATGTGGTGCAGCCTGATCTGTAACAGTCTAGGACTGAATCTAACTCTGCTCTTGATGTAACTTGTAACCTGAGCCCCCTCTGTGGGTCACTTTATAACCCACACACCTTCGGCACAGCAGGGTTAAAGCCACCAGACTAATAATTGCTAACTAGAGATTTGACCTAAACAGACTCTTTAACGGCTTAAATCTGTGTTTTTGTTTACTTTTTCTCTTCTCTTTTCTAAAAGTGCAAAACACCTTCGACCCTAAACTGAAAACAACGATTCCAGATGGCACATCAAACTGTGGTCCGGTCTGCTAGTTAAGAGGAACAGAATCATTTCCAAACTCCTTCACACAAGTGCAAGAACTACAGAAGTAACTTGGTCAATTCAACAAAATAATAATAAAAAAAAAAGTAATGTGATAACAGGCAACTGGCAAAGGTCTTTCAAGTGGTTATGAAACAAGCACTTGATGGAGCAGGAGTTCATCTCGGATGGTCAGGCACTGGGGCAAAAAAATCCACTGTCTGTGTCAAGACGCTACCACCTGTAAGCTCCGGCTCCTGACTTTAGCATGTACACCAGGTCTGGTCTGGAATGACGTGAAAAACACACGTGACAGTGATGGTAATGGTTAAGGTTTTCCAATGTGAGACCACCTATCAGCGAGGGGACACAGAGCTGAACAGGACTGATGGAGTCTTTTAACGAACCACCGCTATGTCTGTGCAGCACCTTTGTATCCAAGTCTGTAATCGTCATGGTCTGAGGTCAGTTTTTGAAGGCTCCACAGCGGCTGGCTCGACATATAAAATCTTTGAGTAGGTTGCCGTCAATTTGCCAGAAAGCAGCTGTCTGGGTGACTTCAGTCAGGTGGTTTACACAAAATTTAAAGCAGAAGTCTTCCAGGTCCTAGAGAAGGAGGGGGAAAGTACAAATTAAAGAGTTGGTGAAGAAATCACACTGAGCAAAATAATGAAGCCAAAACTGAAGCGCAAACAACTGCAGCGTATCAAGTGTCCACTAGCAGACAAAATCGACACAAACTTGAAATCAAACTACATAAAGTGGGCAATATTCAATCAGTGCCTCTACCATTAACTAAAGGTGTTCCACAAGGATCAGTACTGGGCCTAATTTTGTTAACCATCTACCATATTTCTCTAACTATAAGGCGCACTTAAAATCCTTACATTTTCTCAAAGATTGACAGTGTGCCTTATAATCCACCGTAGACTGTATATACTATGGACAACTTGGTTCTGCCTCCCGCCTGTATACGGATTTGAAGCCGAAAAGCTCTCTGTAATTCCGCGATTTTTCTTCATTTCCTGAAACCAGCATTGCACAGTAGTGTTGTACGGATTCGGCGGGAGAGTCTCAGAGAGTTGCTGTGATGACGCTCGGCTCAAAAAGGGTGTCCCTGGGTGAGCTTCGTAATCTTCGTACACCCATAGGCTGTATCAAGTGTCAGTCATAGAAAACATGAACCCTCTAATAACTTTTAAAAATGAAGCTGCACTGAAAAAAAGAGGACTAGAGCACAAACTAGTCTTACAATAACTACATGTCAACATCGCAACCGGGGGGAGAAAAATTTATATTCTGTTTAATAAATTTCTAAAGTTTGTCCACAACTCCATAGGGATGGCTAGAGGAGGCGGGATTTATGACCTATACTGCAGCCCGTCAACAGAGGGTGCTGTTCTTAGAGTGGCTTCACCCAGCGAGGAGGCAGACACTGTCCATTCTATATACAGTCTATGAGCGAAAACAACTGCAGTGTCTCAAGTGTCCACTAGTGGACAAAACTGACACAAACTTGAAATCAAACTATCAGATGTCCGCACAAAGTGGGCGATATTCAATCAGGTGTTCCACAAGGATCAGTACTGGGTCCCATTATATTCACCATCTATATCAATAACAATCTCTCCTCTTTTACTGACTTAAATATCTGCCTTTATGCAGATGAGACTGTTCTGTATATCTGCTGCCACTTGCTGTTGAGAAATTACAGTTTTGTTTAAATGCATTTCAGAACGCTCTAATTCGTCTTAAACTAGTACTTAATGCAAAAAAAGGACAGAGCAAGAGATATTAATGTTAGCAGTCTGGAATTAGAGGTAATATTGTTAAAGTCCAATTTGACAGTGCGTACATACTTCTGCGTCATATCGCACAGCAGCGGACAGGAGGGAGAAGGCGTTATCCACAGTGATTCCTCTCTTTATGATATGCTGACACAGGCGTTTCAGGCGGTTCTCACAGTATGACGTGGCCAGATCCAGCAGCCCTGACCAAACAGTTGTACACAGTACAGAGACACTGTCAGCATTCACAACACACACATGCACACAACTGTCAGGCTGTGATGTGTGTGTGTGCGTGTTTCTGGTTCTGACCAATGGCGTCCTCAGGAGGCAGCTCCACACTGTCAGTGTAGAGGAACTCCAGGAAAGAGCGGTACACCGGGTAGGAGAACTGGTCGATCTCAATCACCTCCTTCATGTCTTCATTCCAGTGAGACTGGAACATGGACCTGAAGTGTTCACACCTAACAGAGACAGAGACGGTGTGTTTTAGAGATGTTTGCTGTTCTTTTATGTCGTATATTCTGTAGAATCACAGGGTGAGGAGGAGACAGCTGAGGGTTTAAGTCTCCGACCTGATTTTAAGAATTGCTTTGTGGACACAGATATATTTGCCGTCCACGCAGAACTTGAGGTCAGCTGTCTCGGGGTTGTCAAACTCTTTCTTCAGAGACTGAGCCACGGTCAAGAAGTCATCATGCTCTGGAGGGAAGAAGAAAACCCACGCACATACACACACCCACGCACATCAGGCTCTGGTATTAGGAAGAGAGATCACTCACAGAAATTTGATTTACTTGGACCTTTAAAGCTAAAAGACCAAGCACGGCTTATGTATGAATTTTTGCAGAGGATTATTACAGCATGTCTCGAACAATTTATTTGTCAAGATGTAACTCAGCACTACCTAAAGATCAGCTGATGATGATGATACTCTATACTCTGCTGCTATCTAATAACCACTAAACTGGAGTGGTGTGATACCAGCACAGACATGCGGATGGTAACCTGTGAGAAAGATCAAAAGCTGATGGTCCTAACTTTGTCGACCAGTGAGTCATTGTTTCTCTGATCTACAAACTGGGTTTGATTTTGACTGTTTTCTGAGTGTTTCTGGTGTGTTACTTCTAGATTAGTGGGTTAACCCAAATCTGAATTTTGGTTAAAATGTCCCTTCCAGATGTTAAAAAATAACTGAAATTGCATTTTAAGAAAAGTACAAAGGTTACAAATAGCCTTATCAAAGATTCTCTACACATTCTACCTTCAAATCAAGTCACTTCACAGAATCTTTCAAAAGAATTTCTCAAAACCAGCTGAGAAAATGTTCATCAGTGAGACATCTGTGATCAGCAGAATCAAAACTGTGAAACTGTGAAGTCCTTTCATTCCTCCAACATCATTGTACCTTGTCTTACCCATGGAAAGAAGCCTCCACATGACTGAAGGTGTTGCGAAGCATGCAAAGACATCGTCCGTGCAGGTGAAATGCGTGAGGTGAGGCAGTACGATAGATTGACCCCTGCACTGGCCCCACATGTACACCTGACCGCTCTGGGTCTTAGCAGCTGATGTGTGTGTGGAGTGACAAGCGGCGATCTCCACGATTCTGTGAGAGGAGGCAGAGGAGAGGACTTGGCAACGCTTAAGAAAGTGAGGAAAAGAGTTCATCATCTCTGCGGCGATGAACCCACTCACCTCTCTTTCTCTGCCATGATCTGAATAGGACTCAGCTGGTTGCTCTTGTTGCCGGTGCCCAGTTGTCCGTATGTGTTTGCACCCCAAGCGTAAAGCAAGCCCTCATCGGTCAGCGCAAGAGAGTGAGCATAACCTGAGGCAATCTGCAGAGTGAGGACAAACAAACTTTAGATGTTAACCAATTATTTTATAATCAAAACAAGTAAGGACACAACTGGTCATTGAATGTTTATACTCTAAATAAAGGGTTTATCTGTTTACAGACAGAAGATAAATGACAGTGTTATTGATATGGATGGTAAATAAAATGGGGCCCAGAACTGATCCTTGTGGAGCACCTGAAATTTAGGGCTGGGCGATAAAACGATAATGATATATAACGAAAATTAATTTCCCTCAATATCAATATAAAACATGGTCAATATGCTTTTCGATAGTCGGCATTCGGCCATGTTTAGGTAGACCATAGGAATAGCCAATGAAAAGGGGAGTTGCTCCGGGTTCGCTTCGCACTGAACCAATCATGTGCTGAATTAGAACCAAGTAGCAAACAACTGCGTACTAGCAGGCTGCATCTACACACAACCATAGCACTTTAACATGTGAAGCTGACGGCACTGTTGGTGAGAAAAAAAGAAAATGAGTGTTACCCCCGGCAGAAATGTAGATGAAGGCTCAACAGATGATGACATCATTGACAACACTGGCACGACGACGACGGTGGTGTGGAGGTGTTTTGGTTTTTGGAGGTCGGACATGAGGGAGAAATGTGCATATCGATATATATATCGATATCGACTGATATGAAAAAATATATCATGATAAATTTTTACCCATATCGCCCAGCGCTACTGAAATTACAGAATTGTCCCAGTTCAACTTCTTTTTAACGAGCCGTCTGATAAAGTGGAGGGGAAGTGGGGTATAGACTGAACCTGAAAAAGGGTCTGAACATGCATCTTGGGGAACAAACCCTTCTTCAGCTTAAAGAAAATGTAAACACTGTAAATTCTGCTGTAGTCCTTTAATCCTGTCCGTATTGATTGTTTCAGAGTAAAGCTCAGGCTAAAAGCTAAAAATATATAAAACATATGCATGATTTGCTCCAATCAGGCCTTAAACAGTTGATCTGATTTGTCCTCCATGGCTTTTTTTCAATCATGTTGTTGAGTCACTCTCAGTAAAATCTAGTCAGACCACAAATGACTCAGTTTAGATATATCTTTAACTAATATACTAGTAATATACCAACAGACAACTAAAGACAGTTTAAGTAACAGAGTAAATCTCAAACCTGTTGCACACATAAACCCTGCAGACCTGCGAGGCGACAAGGAGTGAGCTGGTTTCCATTATTGCCAAGTCCAAGCTGTCCGTTCCCGTTGTATCCCCAACCGTACACCTGCAGAGACATGAAGACAACCTGAGTCCTGAAGAGACCACATATGGATCAAAGGTGCATCATAAGCCAAACAACAGTCACCTCTCCGTTGTCCACCACCGCCACAGACGAGGTCTGACCACAGACGATGCTGATCACCACTTTGTTCTGCAGGCAGCTGGAGACTCTGCGGGGAGTGGGCTGGTTTGCTGTGGAGCCTGAACCTACTTGACCACAGTTGTTGTAGCCCCACGCATACACCTGGTTAAAACAAGAGAAAGGTCTGTATCTGGATGTGTCTGTATGCTAGTCCAAAAACTTGTAATAATTCATTTCCAGCATCAATGGTTTTACTAATTTTTTCCACATATAATCTCTCCTTTGTAATTTAAAATAAATCTTGATTTTGTGTCTAAAATTCCTTTTTAATTTCTTCAAACTTTACACTGTTTTCCTCTTAATTTTCAAGGGAGACCTCAAAAAATTTAAATGACAGAGAGAGAGAATATTTTAAGATTTAAACAACTAAAGACCTTTTAGTATTTTAAGCTTCTGTCTTTGTGGCGCAACAAAGCATAAATTATAAATCCACAAGTACTCAGAGCTCCAAATTCCAGTTTTAAATCTCCTTATAGGAAGCTAAACATTCCTTCAGCTCTCATGCTAATGCGAGTGAAGCAGGTTTGGACCATATACTCTTTGTTGTAGTATTCACAGCGACCGAGCATTAGTCTTTTTGTGAGTAATGTGAGACAACGTCACCTTTTGTATGCTAAGAAGGAAACTAACTTGGCTTATCATAACATCTTAAAACATGGGGGACAGCTAACCTGGCTCAGTCTACAGGTAACATAATGATGTTTATACAGACAGAAAGAGAATCAACTGTACACCCATTTTCAAGTTCTGTATTGGCCTTCAGTATCTCAGGTTTTGGTTTACTTTTAATGGATGAGTCTGTGAGATTCCCTGGGTCTTCAGGTAGAGATTTTTAATGGTGCCTAAAATACAAACCAAAACTCACAGCAAGACAGATTTTAATCAGAATCATGTCTGAGGAACAGCCGATCTGAAGAGCTGAGGGCGGCACAGAGTCTCCACTTTTAGAACAAACTCAAGACCCACCTTTTAAGTCTGGCATTTACCTGAGTTTTACTATTGATTCATTTATTTCAGTTTTAGTCTGTTGCACTGATTTATGTGAAGTTGTCTGTCTGACTTCTTAATGTCTTTTAGTGTTTTATTATCATGTATGGTATGGTTTATTATCTATTTATATAGATCTTACTGTTTTATTGTTTTATTCTTGATGCTCCTTTATTTATTCAAAATTTATTTGAGTCTGAACATTTTCATCTAACCTCTGGTGTTTCCTCATTAAGATCTCATGATTGAGTTTCTTTAGTTCCTTTTATTTAAAATCATTTTTCTATTTTTTATAGATTTTTCTTACCTGTTTGTTTTGTTTGCTCACCGTACATCCTGCACATGCAACAGAGTTTTGACTGATTTTAGTGACTTTCTGTTTATGTAAAGCACTTTGTGCTGCATTTCCTTGTATTTAAAGTGCTACACAAAGAAAGTCTGACTGATTCTTTTATCGATTGACATAAAAACAACAAGGATGTAGTTTCACGTGGGTTCATGAAACACAACTTCTCGGCTAGCACCACTTTTCAGACATTCAGCAGAGACTTAAAGGTCCCTATTTGTGACAAAGTCTGGTTAGCAAAGTTAACCCGCCTTTATTTCATGTTTTATGGCTACTGTATAGAGTACAGCTCATCTAATGCCAGCTAAGAAGTAAAGAAGGTGTGTCTGCCCAAGTGTTGAGCTGCTGCTTTTCTCTCTCAAGTCCAAAGCTTCATTTTCCAGCTTTTAACAGCAGAAGATCTACTACAGCTGTGATTGCTGTGAGGGCCCTCAGGGGTTTTGTGCGACTGAGCACTGCGTTTGACCAAAGCTGTATCACTTGTGTTATTTGAAATTAAAAAAAGGAAAACTTTGTAAAGGAGCATAATGTCATAACTGACCTGTATTTAACAGATAAGCCTACTTACTTCTCCTGAGTCAGTCAGAGCCATTGAGTGATGTGAGCCACATGCCACCTCTGTGATCTTCTTATTGAGCAGGTTGGCCGACACGAGCACTGGAGAGACTCCTTGGTTGGTTGTCCCATTTCCTAGTTGGCTGTAACCATTATGACCCCAGGCAAATAGCTCCCCGTCTGAAACACAGAAAGATTAGTCCTTCTGCAGCGCTTTCTAATCTCTCTGTGAAATGCAGGATTAAAGGTTTCTGTGCAGATACCCTCTGTGGCCAGCAGAATGTGGGGGCCGCTGCCGTAGCTCAGGCTGACCACTTTCCTCCCGCTCAGGAAGTCCAGCTTCTTGGGTACGATGGTGCTCAGACTGTCCCCCGTCCCCAGGCAGTTACTGCAGTTCAAACCGAACACGTAGACCTGAGCGTGGAGAGAGGGAGGACATGGAGCGGTGGGTAAAAGGTCACATTTCCGACACGAAAACATCAACAATGAACAGCACTGATAAGACCTCAGGTGCCACCAACAGTTCCTCTCTTTACACAAAACAATGCAGCACTGATACAAAGACTGAGCTCTAATGTTAGCTTCTATAAAAGCAACTCTAAAACTTTACAAGTTAAATGTGCAAAAACTAAAAATTACCGCTCACTACTAACAAAGAATCAACAAACTCGAGCCCCGTGGAAAACAAAAGCTCTGAATTATAATCCAGATTTTTTAACTGTGCAGCAGCTATTCAACAGAAATGTCTTGCATGTTTATATTAAAGCACTGCTGTTTGATTTTTATGCCACTTTGGGGCAGCAGAGCAGGCTGTAAACATAACACTGACATATTTTTGCCTTACTGAGTTGTCATTGTAGCATGCAGCTAGAACAGAGAAACATGAATACATATTTGCACTCATCTTTCTGGCTTTCTAATAAATACAAAGATATTTTTATTTTAGCTAAATTATCTTCACTGAGAAAATCACCCTGCTTTTGGGGTCAATGCTTCAGTGTGTTCACTGGTTAGCTGCTAGCATTGTCGGACTATTGTTTGCCTTTGGGCTCGTACTGTTCAGTCCAATTTTCAAAATAAAATCTACTTTTACTTGCCAAATGTATGCACAGATACGACAAATCTGACTAAGTTTGTGTATGTCTTGAAATGTACATGCACAGAAAGTGACCTACGAGGATTATAGGAGCTTATTTTGCTGAAATCAGCTGCTGGCCATAATTAAAACTATGTAGCTGTAGGCAGCTGAGTAGTTAGGTGATAGATGTTAGGAGTCTTCTCTCTCTTTCTCTTCAAAAAACCTGCAGAGTAAATGCTTTTTGCAACACATGAGAAAGTAAATATGTTGGTGGCTGTGCTTGAGCGGCCTTCCTAGTTATGATCTGCCTGTGAGAACCACTGTGCCATTGCAGCAGCAGCATGTCACCAATGCACCAGAAGCAGAAGATTAGGCAGGATAAGAGGGAACCATACTGAGCTTGTTATGTTATTGAAACAAAAATACAAAATAAAAAAGACTATTCCAAAGCTTCAGTCTCAAGTCTCTGAAGGTCAAATCCATGTTAAGTCTGGGGTCATGTTAGTGTGCAGCATAAGTGCAACTTGAGGCCAAGTCCCCATCTCTGACACGTAGTCATTTGATGCATTTAGAATATGAAAATACTGATTAGTGCTTTCACTAATCCATAAATCACTGAATCTCTTGAATAAAATATTGTCACTCTAAAGACATAAAATGAGGACGTGTACGAGCCTCAGTGTTTTAGGAAAATAAAAGCTGCTTTTAAGTGACAAAACAAACTAAAACTGAAAAACAAGCCGAGGAGAAGGACACTCTGGTTAAGTAAACATGACTTGTTGTTCACAAACATGGCAGCACTCTTAGCTGGGCGGAATATCACTTCTCAAAGCAACCTTCGAGGTGTCGCACCTGCGTGATAAACCTCACCTCATCATCATTTGTGATGTAGATGGCCTCATTAGCAGACGATCCAAAAACACATGCTTTGCGTATACTGGAGAGCTCCTGGGGGCTCATTAGGCTGAAAATAGGCCATTTGGTTACATCCACCATGATGAGCTCCACTCGCTCTGAGTGTGTGACGAAGGTGGCCAGGTGTACGGATGACCCTCAGTCCACAGGCAGGGCAGGGGACAGGGGCAGGGGGAGGGTGTGGGTCAGCAAACTTGCCAGGGCTGCTGTTACTAGAATGTGAAAAAGCAAAACAAAACAAAAAAAACACTTATTTTAATCATGAAATTTTTAAATACTGATATTAACACAAAGCTGGAAAAAAACTGAATGAAAACACTTTGATATCACACACTGTCAACTTGTATACTTAGTGTGTCTCTCTAAAAAAACAAATCTCTCAGTGTTTATGTACTCATACAGGACCAAACCGGCTTTGAACAAATAAAGTAATGTGCTGCTCTGCAAGAAATCATGTCAAGCCTGAGCATGACTTCTCTAAGAAGATTACAGAAATGTTGGGTAATATGGAATAAAATTAGCTCAAACAGATCCGAGCCGGTATGTGGAAAGCTCCTCAGAGTAAAACTTGAGTTATACAGTAAGTGTGTCAAAACTATCAGAGTGAAGCATTTATAACAATATGCTTCATTCATGAACATATGTGATCTCTAACAGCTTTAGCAGTAGGATAGTGGACACACATGCAGAGGTGATGACCAAAGATTCAACAATACCAAGAGATAAAAAACAAAATAAGTGAACTGAGGTGAACAGTTGATCACAATATATGTTGATGAATAATATTTGGCTTGGTAAAATACTGTCACACGTGACTTATGGATTTATACCAGCAACCTGAAATTGTTAAGAAAGGTAAAATATCTAAAGGTAAATATTGAAGTTATCCTTTAAACAAGTCATGCACAGATTCTGTGGGATGAAATACTCTGTCATAGATAAAGGGTACATGAATTAACTGAGAGAAAACTATAATAATGTTACTAACGCACAAATTTGGGCAGCACAGGTAATCCAATTTTGATCATGATTGCAGGATTGTCCTTTAAAGAAATGTGACAAAAACATCTGCAGCAAGCTTACAAAGCAGGAGGATCAGGTGTGTGTTAGTGAAGCAGAGGGACAGAGTGAGCACAGCTGCATTAGCAAGAATTAATGAGCTAAAGTCCATATTATTTTGAAATAAACAGGAAAAACAAAGTTTTAAAGATGACGGCCACAGACAGGATTATAGGTTACATCTGTAATTTAACTGCTTTATACAATATGCTATATAAAATCCACACTGTGACACCACTGGTGCAGCACATCTAGCTTTGATGATGTTGTTTGGTGCTAAATTAAACCAACTGATTGCATAAACCAAAAATGCCAGGGCAAGTTTTTTTTTGTCACGGACCAGCCAAGTAAATAAAAAAAAGGGGGCTGCTGGATATGCATGGTCTCAAAACAAACAAAATACAGGGAAAAAGTCGACTCTTTAATTAATAATCATGTTTGTATATTGATCAACATAACTGTGGCCATGATCATGACTATTCAAAACAACTAACAGCTAACTGACAATGCCCACATAGATAATGCAATGCAACTGTTATTAACAGTTATAACACATTATAATACCTGACCTTGTAAGTCAGGATAAAATGCTTTATAATGTGTTATGATTATTGCTATTAAGCATTATGATCATTTATGAGTGTTTATAACTAAAGTCATACAGTGCTATAACGTGATTATAACACATTATACATATATTTATAATGAGTTATAGAGATAGGCGTCAACTAAAGTGTCGCCTAACAATGAAATGCATGCCCAAGCTTTTAAATTAATTTTATCTCTTGAACATTTTTTTGGGAGTTTTATGCAAATTGAGGTGGACAGTGGTGTTTACCTCCTCTGTCCAGGTTTGTTTTGATGCTCTGATTAGAATCTGAAGGTGACATTTATAATCTCTGCAGACAGACCATGTTGTTTTGACTGTCTCATTCAAGTGTTTTTGGTAAGAACAATTTATGATCCTGAGACTTTCTTGGAAAAGAGACCTCCTGTGTTGAAAATCTAGGTCACAGAGGCTTTAAGTGTTACTAAACTCCTGTCACCTCCTCCTCCTCCTGTACCTGTGTTATCTCAGCAAACACTGACCACAAGACTGTTCAATGTCAGACAGGCTGCCTACTGTTGATGCCTTTGTTACAAACGCATTATTCAGCAAACTGTCCAGCTGACACAACACGGCTGCAGCTGCTAGACTAATCTGAGCGGACTTGTTTTTCAGCTGCCTACCTTGTAGTTAGCGGAGCAGCCCGGAAGGAAACAACTTTGAACAAAAAAGTCCGGAGCTGCAGGAGAAAGCAGGAACATTCGCCGTAAACTCACGTGTTGGAAACGTCTGCGTCCGGTGTCGTTCACGGTTCTGGTGGACGGTTCGACCATGACACACGAGTCCGGTGGCACGACGACTGACTGTGTTTTCACTTTCCGCTTAAGCTATGATCACAACACTGGCGCTTTATTTGCGGAAGTGAGGAGGGGGAAATGAAATCACGTGATTTTATAGACCAGATTCATCGATAGCAGGAGATTGAAACCAGTGGATCAGACAGTTTTGACGATCCCTCATTTAAGAAAAGCGAAGTGAAAAGATACTTGCAGCAGAACATGTAAACATAAGATCTCTTCAGGAGCAGTTTTTCACTTTTGAGGTCCTTTTTGGGGGACAAAACAAAGACGTCATGTTGTGTTTTGCGATTACTTGTTCTTTTCTCATTTGCTGTTGTGTTTTAAGTTTTTATTATTTTTAAAAATCCCTTCATGTGTTTTGTACGGTGGCTAAGAACCGCCACTGCAAAAAAAAAAAAAAAAAAAAAAAATAGCCAAAAGAAAAGGAGAAGTCACAACAGAAGTTACTAATGCAAAAAAAAAAAAGAAAAAAAAGAAATGAAGCCTGCTGCATATAAAAAAAGAAACGGTGCAGATAAAAAAGCCACAACGGAAGTTAATGACACTAATTTTTTTTTTAAGTTAGAAACTGTGAATATAAAAGGATGCAAATAAAAAAAGCCACAACGGAATTGAGCTGCCGGGGATCAATAATGGTGATGCACCGGTGTTTTACGATCTAGGCATAGAAGACGATGGCGAGAAGACGAGCAAAGAAGTTAGCGGAAAGGTTCTTGTTTAAATTTGCTTTGTGTGCTTTTCAATGTGTCATTTGTTTAGGCCATGTAGCGCCTGAGTCAATACGAAGTTGAACTGAAGCTAACACTACAGTAGCATCCTCCAGATCAACTTCGTATCGACTCAGGTGCAACATGGCCTGACCGAATGACACATTGAAAGTACCAAAGCGATCTTTAAACTAATGTGTAACAAAATAACTGCAACTTTGGCTGTCTGTGGGCTCCTTACCTCAGGTATACTGCATATAGCTGACTATAAGTTGAGTTGTTAAATTTGCTCCAGAAACCACAGAGCAAACTCAGATATCAAGACACGAAATATGAGGTCGGATCCTTGGCTTCATATGATAAATACTCCTTGAGCAGCAGAAAATTGTCCTGTTTTCACACAATTGTGCAAAAAAATAAATAAATTCAACAATTAGATAACCGAATTCATAGACAAAGACGCACTCTGTAGAGGAAAGTAAGCATGGTGCTATGATCATTTTGTCAATTGCTTTCTATTTTTCAAAATTTAAAAAAGTTTTCATGAATGGTTGGAGAATTACTTAAATTACAGAGAACAATCTGTATCTGTAAATGGACAAAACTCAATTAAAGCCAAGCTAATGCATGGAGTACCCCAGGGATCAATACTTGGACCTCTTTTCAAAAATATTCATAGATAATATAGAAGTACGCTCAAGTGTCAAAGTCTAAGGAGTTTTAGCGGATGAAAAATTGACACGAAAGAATCAAATTAAAAAAGGACACAAGTCAAAAGGTATTTTGAGTTAATTTTGCTCTCTGATAGACCATTCTTGCATTAACATTTTATTACAGTTTAATTTATCCTTAAATCCTATACTGTTATACTATGCAGGAAATAACGGAGTGTAGCAATAAAATAAAATCAACATTGATTACCAGAGTTTAACAGTTCAACAAAATAAAGGATGTACAGATTTTATCATGTGAAAATACTTAAGTCTAATTGCTACAAGAGAACCTAAACCACGGGGAGTCTAATCAGGTTCAGGTTGGGTCAGATGTTCCACTCAAAAGGACAGTTATCTTTATTTGCATGTTTTTGTCGTAGATACACATTCAGTTTCTGAAGGCTGAGTTAATCATTGACCTCTAGGAAGCTGTGTTTACCAGCATACATATTTAGGACCAGCAAATGAAGAACTGAGTCACTCCAAAACAAATATTTTCATTACATAATCACTCAGTTTTAGTGTACTCTGTAACCTATTTTTTTCCTTCACTGAGCTGCTAATGTGTCCTGGCTTGTGAAGAGATTGTTCTGTGTTTTATGTTTAAGGTTACACACACCACCATCAGCTGAAGACCTGAAAACAACAATGGTGAGATCCATGAGCAGCAAAGGATGTTAAGAAAACTTATTTGCTGCAGACAGATCTAACACAATGAAAAGAACTGCATTTAAGTGTCTTTGTACAACATTGTAGGGACACATTTCTCATTTCCATGTAGGAGGTGATGCAGGTCTTTTCATTGTGTAGTACTCTGATTAACCTCTGTTATAAGCTAATTTTCAAACAACTTAAGTTCGACTACCAGCGACTGTATGTGTGAATCACAACACTTGCAAGCACGGAGGATCCAACGGCTAAACAGCAAGTTTATTTTGGTTAGGATCAGAAACACAGATCATGTCCTGAGGGTGAGATGAGGGGAGATGATATCAAAAATCCCCTGACTGAAATATGGCAATGATGGTTGGTGGTGTTGCGAGGGAGGGGAGGGAGTAATGAGCGGGAGAGAAATGGTGTTACAATGTTCAGTGAATAAGATCGAAGGGGAGCAGTTACTCTCAACAGCAGAGAGCAGCATTGACCATTCCCATGGCAAACCCCAACAACAGGGAGAGCACATTTAATCCTGCAGCCACATCTCCTGTTCCTAAATTCTCCAGTTGCTCAAAGAATCTTTTTTTTCTCTTCAATAAAACGTAGTTTTAGTTGAAATGAAAAACAAAAGGCACAATGATTTTCAACTCATTCTTGTCTTTAATATGCACAAGAGTTGAAAGCATCAATGAGCCACCTTAAAGAGAGGAATTCAATCTAAAATTTATAAAAAGATATAAACAATCAGAGGCCAAAACGCTGTCTGTTGCTTTTCTCCTATTATTTTTATTTAAAACAACTTTTCATTAGCAAGTAAAAATCTTGCAACAAACATAAGCTTGTATCCAATGCGGATACAAGGCAACGAAATTGTAAATCTTTAAAGTGGCTCGGTCTAGTCTGCTAGTTCATGACTGTACACCCTCTCTATAGTTTTGTTCAGTAATAAACAGCTAGTCCCAAAAACAAGCCTGGGCTGCACATAACAACCCCACCCAATATTTAAAACCCCAAGTGTGACCCCCCCCCATTCCCCACCCCACACCCACCCTTTGCTCTGACCCCCTCTCAGTAGTTAGCAGCCAACCAGAGGATCATAAAGTCTTCGAGACCGGGGCTGGGGTCAGGTTCAGAGTTTTTTTCTGACACCCTGAACCAGCACCCGCACGCCGACTGGGACATGGGACGGCACATTTTTAAACAGCCCGTCACCACTACGAATAGAGAGAGAGAGAGAGAGAGAGAGAGAGAGTTAGAGAGAGAGAGAGAGAGAGAGAGAGAGAGAGAGAGAGAGAGAGAGAGAGAGAGAGAGAGAGAGAGAGAGAGAGAGAGAGAGAGAGAGAGAGAGAGAGAGAGAAAACAGCCTGTTCCAATTCATCAGCATGTCATCACAATACATATGCAAGTCAAAATAAAAACAATGAAACAAAGGAATATTGCTTCATAAAGAAAAAAAAAACACCCTCCCCAGCCATCTTTGACAGTAAGGTTAATCGTCCATCCAATGACTGTCAGCTGCAGCAGCTTTGTACAGGCTTTATGTAAATATATTCATATATTCATTAGACGGCAAAGGAGAGATACACATCACATTTTTTGTACAGTTATTCAAATCGAGTGATGACATGTGACCTCTTCATCAAAAGTAGTTAAGTACTATAAAGGTCAGGACCTGTACTCATTATATAAGTCTAATCTTCGAGGAGTATAGGTCCCTTTCTGCAGGCAGACATCGATATGCCTCTCAGACGTGTGCATAAGACTGAAGAAAAAAAAGAAAAAAAGTAAAACAGACAAATGGAAGCTCCACAGACTCAACCAGGAGAAGCTGAAACATGAACCTAAAATCATTTGTTTGAAGAGAGAATTTAAAATAATTCAAACAAGGTCTGATAAACGTTTCAGGTCGAATTTAGCTCGACTCGTTTCTCTTTTTTTTTCGTTTCTTTTTTTTTTTTTAATCTAAGTTAAACCCCCCCTCTTCCAAGTTTCACATTACAGGGGAGTCCAGAGCAGACAGGTCACTGGATCACATGACGTGACCCGAGTTCATCATGCTGCAAAAATGGATGTCCTGCTGGGGGGACTTAACGCTACAGCTGACATGTTCCTCTTCTAGTAAGTCTCTGTGCATTCACCTAAAGGTGCTCCCTCCCGTCACAGGTAATCACATCCATGAAAAAAAGTCACTGCTGAATCTGAAGCAGGCCAGTAAGCAGGTCTTAACAGTTGCATGAATTGAAAAGAAAAAAAAAAAAGGATTATGGCATTTTCTTCACATTTGATGATTTTTTTTTTTCTTTTAAACAAGTTTGATAATTCAACAGAGGTCACGTTGAAAAAAGTGACGTCATCGAGTCAGAAGTCCCGTCAGTCAGTTCGCCACGGAGTCCTCTTTTTGCCTTAAAGCCCTTTCGCCCCTCCACCTGCCCCAGGATGCTCCTAGGGGGGGCAGCGGGGGTCCGTGGTTAATCATGGCTTAGCTCTGGGATTAACTCTTTAAACTGGGTGGGAGAGGGTTATTGGGAGGGGGGGGGGGGGGTGCCCGACCATCGGGAAATCTGTGTGACTTAAGTGTCATTGTGTGTACTCGTATGTCAGTGTGCGTGCGCGTGGGTGAAGTTTACACCAGAAGACGATCCAGGGGAGGGAAAGCACAAAAATAAACCACAAACGAACAGCAGTATTTCTTCCCCATAAGTGATATGATAACTTCTAACAGAAGTATGCACACTAATCCTAAGTGTCAAAACGTGTGTACATGTGTGTGAGTGTGCGTGTGTGTCTGAAAATGTGCTTGTGTTTTTTGTCTCTATGAAGATTTGACATTTGGCAATAACATCTTGCCATGAAGGCTTCTTCTTCCTTCTGGTTTTTATTTTTGTGTGATACTTCGAAGCACTGGCAGAGAATGCTGACAACCCTCTGGATGCGGGTTGCCAGATGGTGACGGGGCCTGTTGGATGCCCAGGACTCCTGTGTAGGTTTTTGCCGTTGTTCAGTGAAGGATGGAGGAAAATAAAACGAACAAAAAAAAATACACCCCGCAGTGCAGAGGTGGGGGCGGGTAAATCCTTCAGTGGTGAGTTTCTTTGTTGAAGTGATGCTTTGTAAATCCTTCTGTACCAGGTTGCCAGGTTGGAGGAGAGATGGATGAATGTCTGGGGTGTTTACAGAGTACCCGTGCAGCTGGTTGAAGCAAACATCCTGGCTTTTTAGAAATTAAACTCCTTTGTTTGCATGTTGGAAGCTGGGTCAAAGTTGAATGTCCCTCCTTGAGTGGTGTCCGGGATCAAGCTGGGATCTTCATCAATCTGAAAGAGACAGGCGTTTATGTCATCACATCAGGGTGGGACTTTGAATGACATGAAGTTTAGAGACGTATATCACCGGTGAGAAACTTACATCATCTCCTGAAAAGTACTGATCGATAATCTCAAAGGCTAGTTTGTAAATATCCTCATTCTCGTGCTGCTGTAGGTTTTCTATCTTCTCCAAACCTGAAAAACAAAAACCAGGACACCATCAGATCTGAGGAGGTTTCAACACTGACACTGGCTCTTGCGTGCAGATTTTACTGAAAATTAGTGCGGTAAGGTAGTCAAAGCGTGCACTTGTTCAAACATAAACCAAATAACCTCAATAAAGAAATGGGAAAAAAAAAAAATCGAATATCAAATACAGACGCACAGACATGAGGAAATCAGGCTGAGTCATAACACAAGCAAACAATCAGCCATAGTCGGCGGGGTACACACCTCCACACTCCTCTATGATCTCAGCGATTGTGCTGGCCTCCTCTCCCGCCATGATGAGGATGTTCTTCAGGCCGTCCAGCACGACCTGAACCACCTGCGAGTCCTTCACTGACAGCAGGTTACAGAACGGAGGGATGACATTCTGCTCAACCAGGAACTCCACCTACACAAACCCACACATACACACCACATCCATACTTGATTACAACATAAGTGGACGGTTACAAGTGCGGAACGAATCCTTCATCAGTTTTACAGTCAACAGTTTGACATTGTATGATTTCATCCCTTAATAATGGAGACATTTTTGCTTCTTAAAAAGATGCGAGACTGAGAGGAATAAAAATCACTACTACAATTTTGCAACATTACATGACTAACTCACATTATACAGGGCTACTACAGCTATATATAAACACAAACATAATACACCAAACACAACAGTCAATGAAGGCTCCAGATTTCTCCATCTCTGGCCCCAAAGCCGAGCTCACCTGATCTTTCCTCCCGCTGATGGTGAGGTTGCTGATGGCCCACGCTGCCTCCTTCTGAGTGCCAAAGTCGCCCTGCAGAGAGACAGGCTGTCACTAACATGTGGACGTGGCAGGGTTTTTTTTTTGCACCACAGCATATTGCCAAGACTCGCAGACATCTAGGCTATGTTTGCATTACTGCTCGATTCATGTATCAAGAGCTTCTCCGGCAACGAGACGCAGAATGTGTCAATACATCATTATACGTTTAATTCATGCCGACAGTTACGCTTTTAGAAATTCAAGGAGGAAAAATCAACATAAAGAACGGAGTATATAAAGAATTCCTCCGTGCACAAACCTTAGCCAGTTGGTGAATAATCATAGGAATGAGGCCAGCGTCAATCACAGCTTGGACCTGCTGCTGGTTCCCAGCTGTAATGTTGGACAGGAACCAGACTGCTTCCTGGAAAGAGACCAATCACAAATGGTCAAATCTGGCACTTAATCTTCCTCACATACATGATTATCCTCCCAAACCCTCATGCACTCATCGTCCACTGCATTGTCTGACTCTTAATTTTGATTCACAAGCTTTAGATGTAATTCTCAGACAAGTTTACAACAAAGCTGATGAAAAGGAGGTCGATGTGAGATACCCTGAATTTCAGTCTTTGATTTGAAAAGAACTGATGAAGACGTGGACGCCTCTCAGGCTGTTTTGATTTTACCCATTAAGATAAAATGATGAAGACTAAAAATTTAACTGTACTGCCAGCAAATGTTGTTTAGTGAGAGCATATTTGGGATAACAAGCCTGCTACTGAGGAATTATGCTTCCTGGCAGTGAGTCAGTTAGCTCTCATAAATGTTATAAACCGGCAGCATGACGGGCGCAGACACCCTGCTCCCGTTTCATCCCAAGCAATAAGAAACCCAGACATACGAAAACAATAACATGAAGGAAAACGCGGTGATACCTTGTTGATCTTTTCTTTAGGGTGTGTTAGCAGGTTGGGGAAGTGTGAGAGGACGTCACAGTTGAGCACGACCTGTGTCTGTTCGTCTGTCCCTGTGACGATGTTACCCACTGCCCTCAGAGCTGCCGTCTGCATTTACAAGACAAAAGAAGAAGCATAAAATAAACACTTTGAGTGTTAATAAACCGTGAAACACACTTACTGAGGGCAAAATTGAAAAGCAGACGTGTTGGACGAAGAAACAAAAAGCTTCACCTGAACTTTGACCTCCTGATGGCTGAGGAGAGGCACAAGAAATGGAACGACTCCAGAATCAATGACCATTTGGATCTGCTCATTGCCGCCGTCTGTCAGATAGGACAGAGCCCACACTGTGTCTACTAGGATCTAAACGCACAGAAACAAGGGACCGGTGAGACTGTGAGGAGGAAAAGTGCTTCCAACATTTAGGAAAACGCCTGTCAGCAGATCTAATCACAGGACTTTTCTTGAAATTTCTGCTCAAAGCTCTGATACTCACATTTATATCGGTGTGATATATTAGCACACAGAGGGCTGGCAATATCTGTGGGGGAAAGAAAAGTGGGTTGTGAGTGGGTTGGATGTTGGCAGAGGAACAGTGGATCAGATGAAGGCAGAAATGGGGCAGAGTGAAGAGACAAAAAAAAATTCACAAAGAGGAATAGCTGTCAAGCCTCGACTTCAAATGTCACCAAAAACTGCTTTGTAGTTTGTAATTCCTCAGGGTGACACGGCTGATTCGGCTACTGAAAAAATGCTTTGCAAAAACTCTGTGTGACTCAGCCTGCAGTGACACAGCCGACTGCAGAGCAACACATCCATCTGTCTGCCACATCAAAGCGTCAGCGAACAGGCGCAAACACCCACCTCTTGCACAGTCTCCATAGGCGGCGGAGGATCCTTGTTGCGGCAGAGGTTAACGATGACCCAGGTGACGTTACGGAGGAAGGTGATGGGGATCGATGGGTTTATGAAAGACAGCAGAGGCTTGACCACGCCCAGGGAGATGACATAGTCCCTGCACTGAGGACCATCACCTGGGCAGGTAAGAGGGCAGAGGTCAACACAAGCTCTACAGCTGCTTCAAAGAAATCTATTCCCTCTTCACCGCACCACCAGCAAAACACCACTTACCTATAATGTTTCCCAGAGCCCATACAGCCTGTTCACAGACGTTCTGATGGGGTGAGTGCAGCAGTCGCAGGAACAGGGGCACTGCATCTAAACACGCAAACAATACGGCAAAAATTTACCCTCATGGTCAGACTGTGTGACTCCAAATATGACATAACAGGGGTCGAGTAAATGTGGGGAATAGGGACTGACCGATTTAGCGGCGAGCAGATTAAATCGGCCAATTTTAGCCCGTTTAAGACTAGTCGGTCATCGGCCAAAACTCGCCAAATGTCGCTGATACTTTCAGAAATAAAATGCGGAGAATAAAATTCGGTTAAAGTTAGAGTTAGCCACCTGCTATTAGCCTTGCTACACTGTTAGCTGTGCCAGTAACGGTAGAATAAACAACAGTACACATTACGTGACTGAGCTACTTCTCTTACTGAGGCAGCTGCATGTCTCCTGATGAGACCGAACCGGAAATGTGTAACGTGAGTTAAGACGTGGAGGCTCCGATCGGAGGGGGGTTTGGGGGTTAAAAACGCTTTCCTGATGCGAATTTGATTCGTGGTAAACACGTGGAATATTAGTTAGGTTAATGTTATTGAGAAGTGTTTGAAAGGCTCAAAAGCAGACATTTGTTAAAAAAATTAGTAAATATGTATTACTTAAATTAACAAAATTTTAAAACTTCATAAAAAATTTTAAAAATCAGCTGATTAATCTGTGATCGTATTTTTTTCCCCCCTAATAATCTGTATTGGCCACAAAAAATCCATATCAGTCGGGCCCTAGTGGGGAATAAACATTTACATTGATGCTGACACTGAATCTCCACCTCCAACCACGACCTAACCTGAGATCTGCTCAGGCTGAAAAACTGTAAACAGCTGTGTGGGCGTTCAGAATAAACACTCTCATATATGGACAGGATGTGACTTGTCGCCTGAGCAAAGTCGTCTTCATCATATCGAAACCTTTCGATTAAGTTAACCTCGTTATAAACCTGATCATAGATCTGGATGTGGAGGGGAGCGCCTCAGATACATCTAATGAGAAATGTTACACATATCATGTTGAACAAATCTGGTTTAAGAGACACAACTTTTTTCAAAGGTTTAAACAGTTATTAGCCAATAAAAAACCACAGCCTGAATCCATGTTTAGCTTGAACTGGACAAGTTTATCTTGAGATTTGAAGTTAGAGCAAAAGAGTTTGATTTCATGAAAAGAGTCTAAAGGTGATTTAAACATGAAATTAAAGAAATGTTTCATGTATGTAGAAGAATTCATTACAAATACTTAGATTTGGGAAGTCTCTTTAAGCATACATTGATATAACAGTGTGTTAATTCAAGATGTTTGTTTCTCTTTTTCGATCTCAAATACGCCAAATTTTTTAGATCTGCTCTTTGTTTGTGTTGCTTTGTAACGGCCAGCAAATCACACTGATGATGTTTTAAGTTTTCAGACAGTTACGGCTTCTTTTCCAAGACTCCGCTGTTATCTAATAAAAACATAATCCAAGGAGTAAGTGACTGCTTGGTTGAAAAAGGAAAACAAATAAATATGCTATCTCTGCAGATCGCAGACAGTGTACAAACACAGACTGCAGGGGTAGGACTGACTCGCGGGGTCAACTTACTGGATTTAACCACAGCCTGAGTCTGTGCTGACGTCCCAGAGGCGATGTTGGTCAGAGCCCAAGCTGCCTCAAACTGAAGAGAGGGGCTGGAGGGCAAAGAAAACAGAACCAGTTAAAAAAAAAAAAAAAGAGCTCATTTACTTCTGGTCGATTGAGCATGTTGAATTGGCGATGAAGCCCTTAGGTGGGAGAGATCTCTCAGCATTAAGCTTATCAGTGCAATAAAAACACAGTGAGGAAACAACCCGTGTTTTCCTATTGCCTTCTGCACCCTTACATCAGACATAAACCCTCTGAGCCTTTAATGAGCGGTGTGAAGGTGATTTGTACATCTACAGTCCTTGGTCCAACAGTTTCACATTTCCTGCTGGGTTTAAGATTTTTTCCTCTTTAACATGCACTGATTTTACACTTTTTTTACATCGGCTTTTGTTGCAATTAGCTCTTAGGTATTAGATGGTAAATATTAGAGATGCACCGATCCATTTTTTTCAGATCCAATCAGATACCAATACCTGGGCTGAGCGTATCGGCTGATATCCAATACCAATCCAATATTACTGTTGAATGAATGAACTGTATACCTTTCCCTGTGAGTGAAGGCATCAGGCTTGACATTAGCCTTGTTAAAAAAATTGTAACTAATTAACACAGATATAAATTTACCTAATATTATTTATTAACATATAACAAATTGCACAGACTTCCATGTAAAGATTTAGTGCAAAAGAACAGACAGACATAGAATATAGAGCGAAAAGAAAAAAAAACACTGGATCGGAACACTGGATCAGCGTCATTCATCAGATATCCAATCCAGATAATTTATCAATATCGGAGCTGATATCCGATCCAAATATTGGATCGATGCATCCCTAGTAAGCATGAAGTGCCTGTTCGCGTTTCTATCTCTCTGCATTACCAGTCTTTTATAGAACAATGTGGCTTTTGTCATTTTAATCAAAAGCATGTTTCTCATTAAGCTCAGAGTTTTTCCCCCTTTAACTGGATTCGTAAAAAGAGGTTAATTAACAGTTTCTCCACCATCCTGAAACCCTGGTGAGAATAGAGAGTGATTAGCAAATAATACATCTGGCACCAGATCAGTAGTCTTGGTATCATGCTGTCGGGTGAATTGAAGCCGTGCCCACAAAAGGAAGAATATGAAAGTGATGCAACACAAAATAATAGAAATCACACGATTTCAAGTGATCCTCACACCACCCACCAGCCAAATGCTTGTATATCATGCCGATGTGTGGAGAGTCTGTCTACCCTGCTAAATATTTCATCAGGCAACCAACCATGATCCACAGCCCTACTGGTTTTCTTAAGGTTTATCTAGGATTTCGAAACAGGAATCAGGGTGTGGTGCTCTCTGTGATATAATCAGCCCTTCTGTGGATGCAATAGTTGAATTTACTGTTAGCTCATGCTCTCATTGATTTCATTCAAAGTCCTCAGAACAGACCTTTAGTCCATTCTTGTTCATGTATGATGGTCATTTTCATGCTGTACATTGCATGGTGCGTCTGTGGCTCATTATGTTATCAGGCTGAGCTGATTTGGCCGTCTGCCATGATGCTATGGCAACATACCGGAGTGGACAATTACTCTCTCCTGATGGATGCACATGGCTGGTTTGAAATGTCTTGTTGAATTCTTCATGAAAAAAAAAAAAAAATGTCCGGCATAAACTTGTGTCACATACTTGCATGATGCTATCTGTTAATGGTTGCCATGGCGAAGTTGCTACAACCTCTTCCTTACGAGTTCCTCCACCCACACCATTCACCCTCCCCCCCTTCGGTGAACACAAGGTCCTGGGAATTCGGGAACTCCGAGAGGCAGGAATGCTGTTATATTTGGCTTGGCCTGGACTAAGAAGACCAGCCAAGTGCTCTGCCTGCCTCCACACACTCTCACGTGTGGACACAGTGGGATACACACACACACACTCTTGCACACAAAGCCCCCGTTGCGGCTGAGACTTCATGTAACAGCTCTGGTAATCCATCACAGCAGTCTGCAGTCTTAACAAACCGGAACACTCGGCTCATCGCGTCACCGAAAAACAACACTGAAGGCAAACACAAACTGTCGTGGAGGCAGACTTACTTGTCGTCCCTTTCCAGGCATTTGACTAAAATAGGCAAGATGCCAGACTTTATCAAGTCGTCAATCGGAGGGTTTCTGTCACTGGAAAGCAGTTTTCTGTCAGGAGAGAAAAACACTCCTTGAGTTATTCGAGTTGAAGAAGTGTTGTTGTCTGCAGGTGTGTGTTCTGTCAGTCACTCACCTGGCTGCCTGTACAGCACTGAGCTGGATTACAGCATTATCACTGGTAGCGTTCTGTCGAGTAAAGAAGTATCACACATAAGCACAGGATAATAAGGAAACAATAGGAGAGCTTTTGGTTGTGTTTTAGGGATGGGGAGGTGAACTCTTACCTGTAGGATGGCCTCAAGCGTAACATTTTGCTGCAGGAGAAGAAATGTCGAAGAGTTAGCTCAGCAAACTTCTGTATCAGGAAGGAACAATCAAACATCCAACTCGGCAAAACATCCTTCTCTATTGTGTTATGAGGGTGCAGCAAAACCAGAAGTTAACTTTTAGTGTCTGCTGGAATTGATAAGATGTGAATAGATCGAAATGATAAAAATACCAAGAGTTGGGAGTGACGTGTGTATTTTTCTGTGTTTTAATAACTGTGTCGCATCAATCGGCTTAACTGACTCTAGATCAACAACACTTAATATGCTGCTACTTCTCAATCCCCATGTGCTGAACTTGTTTGCAGATCTTAGTTGAGACTTTTCAAACAACACGTTTTGGTGTCTGACAGGAAATTAGTCATCAGGAGCGGCTGCTGAGAGAAACTACAGCTACCAGTTTTTTCTCTCTGTGCTGATCACGAGGCCGTCTTGTTTTACTATCAAGTTACTACATATCTGTGTTTCTTAAAACTCAATCTTTTCACCACCGCTCTGCCTCTAAAAAGTGAAAACTTGACATTTTAATGTACTTGCTTATGAGGTGGAGGTAACAGAGTAATGAATTGGCTTGATCAATAATACTCTTTACAGCCCTTCTCACTAATGCTGCTGTGGGCCACACTTGGTGGCTGGTTTACTCTGTAGGCCATCATTCATCCATTCATCTACTCACAGAATTACATCAGACGTCAGCGGCTTTTCAGTCAACTACACCCTTCATTGTACATTGCAACACTCTGCCCACATAAAGCAAATTACATTATGTGGAAAACCAGAGGACAAACTATAGAGAACTCCCTGATGAGAAAGTCTGGAGATGTCGACTTCCTCTGTGTTGGTTTATGTGTAAACCAGTAGAACCCACCAACTCACAACAAATACAGATAATAATTAGACATATATAGTACTTTAACTTTTCCGAAATGAAATCATCTCCTTCAGTTTTAGTATATTTTTGTGACAATCCAAGTGGCGCCTCCGTTCAATGGCTTTTAAACGTATTTAATCTGGACAATTCAATTCAGAATAACCTGACAGCAAATCTTTTTTTTTTTACATTGTCCTTTTTTCTCAGGGTGATCCATAACATGAGGCATGCAATCACTATTTTTTCAACAAAAGGCCGAGCCGGGCCTTAACTACGCCGATCATGTCTCTTATGTATGACTTAGCTACCATTGTCAGCATAGCTGCACCTGCTCCCATCATGCATGTCTATGTTATCATTCAATTAGCCGTGGGCTTGTAATAGACTTCTGTTACTCTGCTCTCCAATCAAGATGTCTGCAGAAAGTATAAAAATCCCCTTCCTGTGATACTTAATTATCCCAAAACAAACAAAAAAATAAAGGTTAAATAAATAAAACTGTTCTTAAAAAAAACCAAAAAAAAATATCCCAACATATACGAACAGAAGCTTTTGACAATTTGGAGAACTGTTTGAAACTGTCTTTATAAAGCATCAGGATCAGTGGCATATTTGAAGAAAGTTCAGAGGTGACACATAAAGTCTGAGAGTGACCAGCAGCTGCAGAGTAAGGACAGTACATTATCGTTCTTATCAGACATATGCTTTAGTTCAGAGGAGAGCTCTGTACTCGACAAAATAAAACCTTAAAATCAGCCCGTTGTCTGGATAGTGTCTGATCACTGACCATGTATGCCCTGACATAGGGCTGGGCGATATGGCCTCAAATCAATATCACGATACATTGAGCAGTTTGCCTTGATAATGATAAACAGACGATAGCTACTCCACAAGCTGCTCACTCCCTACCACATTAACCTTGTCTACTTCAGCCGCCACTCCAGCCGCTACAACTTTTGAACCGTCCTCCATCTCCTCACCTGTCTTTCCCTCTTTGTTACGGACTGGATGGGGTGGAGTCATGTCACCGACGTTGGACAGCGTCTTAAAGGGACATGAGACTATAGCCTACCTACACACATCCAAAACCAACTTTGATTTATTTATTTTGACACCAAATATACCGATATGGGCAAAATGATGTTGGTTATTGTCGTAAATTTCGGTATCAGTACACTTTCTGTTTATTGCCTACCCTGACATCCCTTTTTATACATTTCTGCAACAGTCGCTTTTTCGCTTGACATCAAATGTGTCGACAGAGAGCAAACAACCAGTCAATTCCTCTAAATATTGTCAGAAGTTCAAGCCCTTTTTTCTTGTTGTGAGGGACATTAACAAGAGTCCGTTCATCCTAATCATGTCAGGTTTGTTGATGCGGTTGAGCAAGCCAATTTCTGCTTTTACAGCTATAACCCGTTTTTTGTATTCCCTAACTACCCCAAACACCTAATGAAGTTCACCCAGTTTAATTTTGGAGCTTGAAACTGTTGGGAATTTAAACAGCGACAGCCCCATGACGACTGGGAAAGAGACATCTGCTGAGGGAGAAAGTGTGACATGAGTGACAGATACAGAGCAGACACTGGATCAACTCTGTGCCAAGATTTTTTGTGGTTAGATTAACTTTGAATCCTAATGAAGAAGAACAGGAGTTTCTGAGGTTTGGGTATACCAATTTTCTTTTGCTCCTTCACTTGTGCTTCTCCACAGTTTAGAGTTATTTTGGATCATGTTTAATACACTGCTCACTTGACTTGAACCCCTCTGACCTATCATCCAGACGGTCCAGTCTCACTTTATCACTCCCGCACTCTCGCGCACACCCACACTTACTCCTTTGAAGTCTGAGTCGACATCAGAGTCCTCCAGACTCTCCTCCTGCGGGACATTTCTCTTCTTCAGTAGATGTTCGTCTCGTTTGTTCTGACAAGACAAGGAAAAAAAAAAAAGACAGAAAAGACATGAGGGGAGGAGATGAAAGTCTTTGTTAATGCATTCACAAATCTTTAAAAGTAACAGTGAATCTAGGCCTCTCTTATAAACAATTTCTCTTTCACTAAACTTTCACTTCTGGAGTACAGCCTACACGGGAGAAAATCCCGTCCTGAGAGGGAAAGTCAGAAACACTTAAGAAGGTTTTTGGGAAGCTAACAACACACAATCAGTTCTAAATGACACTGAACTTTTACCCTCGACATATTCTTAAGCCCTACCAGCAGACTAATGCATTAATATAACGTGGCAAAATACAGAGGAGCTCATGTACACATAGACATTAAGAGAGACCCACACATCCCATCCATTGACAGGCCCTGTGAGTCAGTGGTAGGAGGAGATTCCCTTGCCCTACATTCTTGTGCGTCGTGTGCTGATGTGCGTCACTGATGACTAATCAGCCGGTGCAGCGCTTCTTGCTGCTCTGGTCCTGCTAAATGGAATGTGCTAGACTTGGGGGACACCTCAGGACGACACAGCAGTGACGTTTTTTTTGTTTTTATCACCCCTGGCTGTTCCACTGATGCTCTTAATGCATGCTTCCCAGCACTCTCAGGCTTTTCTCTGGAAACACGCAGCCAAAGTGTTCAGACAGCTCTGTGTTTTATCGTGCCTGTGGATGTCAATCTGCTCGCCATCCAGTTATAAATCTTTAAATATGACTCTGACCGGCTGTGTGACAGTGCTAATTCTGCGCTAGGCCTCACTTCTTGGGGGGGAAAAAGACGCAGCAAAGGTTCATTTTAGTCCAGCTAAAGCCAGAGTGCATCCACTCGTCCTCTATCTACACATGCCTTTCTTATCCCAAGAGGGGAGTGACTGTGCTGTACAGGAAGCCTAAATCCATGGGAAGATGCTTTTGGTGGACAGTTATGTAAAATCAGATTCTTTCAAAAGTGAAACAAGTGGGTGAATCTGTGCATATTATCAGGATGGCTGGACTCTGAGGTCAGAATATATGGTATATCAGCAAACACTGAATTTTAGGAAAATCATGTCTTATTTTGGCCTCATGGGTCTTCCTTTCTGGTGTTTTTGAGCTTTTTTTATATTTCAATGCTTATTAGGGGTGGGAAAAAAATTGATACAGCATAGTATCATGTAGGGCTAGGCGATATGGGAAAAAGTTTTTATCACAATATATTTTTTCATGTGAGTCAGTATTGATATATGTCATGATATAAAAAATTTAATTTAACAGTGCTTATTGGTAGCATGTCATTTGCCATACAATAAGCTACTGCATTTGTGAGGTCTTTGTGTCGTAAGGCGTTGCGCTGTTAAAGTACTTGGGTTGTGCGTAGCTGCAGCCCGCTTCTACGCAGTTGTTTGCTACTTGGTTCTAATTCGGCACATAATTGGTTCAGTGCGAAGTGGACCCAGAGAAACTCTTATTTTCATTGGCTATTCGTATTGTGTACCAAAACATGGCAGAATGCTGACTACTGAAAAGCATATTGACCATGTTCTATATTGATATTGAGGGAAATTAATTTTGGATATAAATCGTTATCGTTTTATCGCCCAGCCCTTGAATCACGATATTTTACCTGTTGATATATCGTATTGTTTCATTTACAGAGTATCGATTTTTTCAAATGAAATGCTAATATGAAGTCAAATCTACAATAATGAAAAATAAAATCAACTGTTTGTCCAGTGAGGTTGGCAGAAGTGACATCATAGAGCAGAAGAAAGTTAGTACAACAAATATATAAAAGGTTTCCAAGATGTGCTACATGAAAAGAAAACACTGTTCTAATAAGGCATTCATAAAGGGAAGCCAAATGCTAAATTAGCTAAATAGTAGAAAAAAATGCATAAATCGCAATATATTGCATCGCAATACTCACTGTTTTGCAAAATGTTACAAATTGCAATATTGTATCGTGGCCCAAGTATCATGATAATATCATGGCGCGAATATTGTGACAATATCATATCGTGGCCCAAGTATCATGACAATATCGTATCGTGGCCCAAGTATCGTGATAATATCGTATCGTGATAATATCTGATCGTGGGGCCACTGGTGATTTCCATCCCTAATGCTCATGTCATTATAACACTGTTAATGTTACCGTCTATTCTTGACCCAGTAAAGCTCTTTGACTTGCTCTATATATGAATGCTACTCTCATACCTTTCCTACACCTCCATTTACTGCCCATCCTCATGAATGTGCCCACAGACGCAGCAGGAGTGAGATCGAGTTACAGCTGTGATGGATTTTTCTCTGTCGTCAGATCTCAAAATCGAAACAGATTAAAGAGCTCTTAATTCAACTGAAATGTGACTGACTGATCGATTCAAGAGATAAAAACCCAAAACCGGCTTCTCTATGCGAAAACAAAAGCAGCCTCAGCAAGATCAAAATGTGGGAGACAGAGCTGAAATACGCAGAACAAAAATAGCACACAAAGGGACTGCAATACTTAAAGGCTTTTGACTTTGTTTCACAGTATTTACATCTAAGTACCAAATAAATTTAGCCACAAACTTTAAATCTGAGCTCATTATCACAAGCACATACAGCTCTAAAACCCTGATCAACCAAGATGGATCTTTTTAACCAGCATCTACTGACAGTCTTTGCAAGTACAACCTCGAAATATCCTCAAGTTTCGAACTCAAAGTGAGCTTTTGTTCAGAAAATCTGTTTGCATCAACACTTGTTATTCACTCAGCTCCGAGTGTCCAGAAAAGCTGTCTCCGACTGAGAGATAGTAGATCAGCTCTGATGAATCAAAACTGTGCTGAATTCCTCCTGAAGAAATCACAGTCATACTTAGCACTACACAATTCATCACAATCCAGATGTGAGCATGTGCGATCAAATAACCACGCAAAAGGCAGCGACCTGCGATTTCAAAATGTGTGTGTGCGTGCGAGTCTCTCAGTGTGATGGCCTCTTCTCCGACTACCTGGTGTCTGATCAGTCCTGCCCATCGGCTGATATGACAGTATGTGTGTGTGTGTGTGTGCACGTGAGTCTGTCATGACAAGCAAGATAATGCTAGACTGGTGGCAAAAAAAATGACGCGATGTTTGAGAATATTGTGAATTCAGGAATGGCGAAGCATTTACCGCCTGCTCCAAAAAAAAGGTTTACGGTCTGAACAACTCATGTTTCCCACAGCACCCACAGTTCATGAAGTTGAATGAAGTTTTGTGTGACGTGTTTGTCTCGATGTTATTAAGATTACAAGAGCAAAAAATCAGAAGCACAGCTGACTTGGCCGATAGGTGGGCACACAGTAGCTATTTGCAAGGAAACTTAAAGCTCACAATCACAAATGTGTCAACTCAATATTTGTATGTTTTAAATTCAGAAATATTCTATTGCTGTTGAATGAATTAATAATTGAATGGATGAATATTTTTTTATTTTTGTGTCATGCCACCACTGTGACCCATCCCATATGGAACTACGAGGCACATTTATTATAAACAAAAAAATAAAAAAAAGATACTATATTGTCTCGGGGTGCATCACTGTACAGGGTTCCTACGTACGTATTGAAATAAATTTGATCAATTTCCAGGTCTTAAAAAGTATGTAAAATGAAAAATAAAGTACGGAAAAATATTTATGTTTCCAGACTATTACCATAGTTCTTTTCTAAAACAGAAAAGTAGGTATTTCCAAAAATAATTTTAAAAATTTGGGAATGGAAAAGTATGGAAATTCCAACTGTGTAGGAACCCTGACTGTAGGATAAGAGATTAAAGGAGATTTAATTGTGGTGGATCAAAATGCATCCATGGTTGTAATATTTTTGCCCCTGTTACATGATTTGTGGTTGTGGAACGAGCTCCTGAATCCCAGCTTTGGTAATGAAATGAAACCAAACAGATGCAATGGTTATTTTTGAACATTTTATCACTGAGAAATTGCAAATGACCTGATGGAGGCAAATGAAGTAAGGTAAAAAAACCCAACAACAACAACAACAACAACAACAATGGACTGATTGAATGCCCTGTGTGAAATGTAGGAATGTTTTATCAGAAACCAAAAGAGAAAACAACAAAAACGTTACCTCAGAGGGTTCATCACTAAATCTTTAAAGCCTCAAATTTAGAAAAAATAACTCAAAGTCGTTGGGATCCAAGTATTGTTTAAGGATGAAATCCACCACACCAGAGGGATTACGTGTGGGCTTAATTGTGATTGTGCGTCTTCTGTGAAACAGGGTGACAGTGTTTATGCATGGGTATTTATGTCTGACAGTAAAACCAGCTCACTAGTGTTCATCAGTGAGGTCACTGCTGACGGCAGCAGCAGCAGCAGGATAAAATTAAGGCATACATCACGTTCTGTTCAGATCAAATTGAATTCAGCTGATCTTTTTAGCAAAGGGTGTCACAATGAAGCAACAACACAACAAGCCGAAGCGTACACCAACTGCACCTGCTTGTACGAAACATATTTCACGTAAATGCTCCAGTGAGCACGTTTTCAACAACAACAACCTCAACTGAATGTAGGAACACTTCAAATGAACGGCAGCTCTTCTTCCTGTCTTTTCCATCATGTCATGAAAAAGTTTCAACTCACACAATAAACAAATTAAACCAACAGCAGTGACAGAGACTAATCCCATTCAAACTTTAGCTGATGTACAACAACACTTAACAGCAGGCTGTGTTTGCCAAATTGAGTCATGTCGAGAGTTAAGTACCTTGTGTGGAGTAATTTTGTTTTGCTTTTTATTCGTAATCTAAAAAGCCGCACCCAATTTAAAAACACACTCCATCCATTCACAGAAACGATGGCATGAATAAAACCAACAGCTGCAGCTAATTCTGACATTTTCTGGTCTGCAACAGACCAACACAGGACAGATGACAGGAAGTATAGTGGTTACCAATACTTGTGAATTGGACATCAAAATAGGGTTTTTTTTCTGCCCAATACGACCCCTCAGAGTCTGTTGGTGAAGTTTGACCCAGCTAGTTTTATAGACAGGAACTTAGATGGCTGATAAACACAACACACAAACCCTTCAACTTGGAGTAAGAGGTGCATTTCATTTCTATGATTAAATTTAAGTTTGATTGGAAAAAAGACAACAGAAATCAATCAACACCCAGTAAATACACATCCCTTTTAAAAATGTCTTGAAAAAGGAAACTTGTTTATGAATGATCCTGACCTGAATAGGAAAAATAATAACCAAACACGGCTTGCAACAGCCCTTAGTCGATTGCAGGGGAAGTGTGACAGCAGGTGGCAATTTGTTAAAATTTGGGGGAGTAGAAAAAAAAAGTGTAATATTAGGGGCTAATTTTAATGGTGTTAAAGGAGTAATAAAACTTGCTGAATCCAAATATTCTTTTTTGTACTTTGATAAGAATCACCAGGAAGCATCCTCACAAACATCCATCACAATTTTATCCCTCTAGTGCTAATTGCAAATCTGAGATGTATGATACTTTGTCTGGAGCCTGGTGTGTAGGCAGATGGTGCATCTTTCCTCACCTTTCTCAACTCGACTGTCACCTCATTTCGATGTCTCCTCATAGTCTGTAAGAAAGAAAGAAACAAATACGACAGTTAATGAAAAGATATTTGTTATGGATGTTATTGTGAGATTCACCTATTAACTGCTTTATCAAAAAAAAAAACACACTGTGGCCCTCGATCATGGATATCAAAACAACCTAATTTATCAAAAACACCATTAGCCAAAGACATGAAATTGTGCGATTTCTGTTAGACTTCACGCCTCATCACTAAAGAATCCCATTTCAGGATCTCATTACCATTAAAAATGAAAATCTATAACATCATGTGGCTAACAGACAACTTTCTTTCAAGTCCACATTAATGATTAAAAATGAAAAACACTTGCAACAAACTTTGAAGGCAGGAATGAAAAATTAAAAGACAGAACAGAACGTACAAGGACGAACACTGGGACTTAGGGCTGTGTTTGTGTGTCCAGTTGGGTTTTCAGTTCATCCTGAACAGTTTGAGATGGTCCAACATCTTGTGACTGTTTGAAGAGGTTCATGTTGCCTTCCTAAATAGCCCCTTACGTAATCTGGGACAGTCATAACTCAGGAGGCTGCAGAGCATAGAGGTATCTCCCAACTACTGCTAAACAACAATATGGCTCTACATTCAGTGCGGTAAAATGTGTCTCCAAAGAAAATGATTAATTAAGAATATGTGTCAAAAGAAATGATACTGGTATTAGTTTAATTTTCTTTATTTCACTTACTGTGCTGCCCTAAATACAAACTCATCCTAAACCAAAACATGTGACCATGAAAACTAAACTGATGAAGGCTTCACTGCTATCAGAGTTGATCATTCAAAAATAAAAGATGTATGATATTCTGCAGAGCAATAATGATATGAAAAAAATAAACTTGGATAAATATCAGTAAAGTTTCTTTATCTACATGGAATCAAGGAAAACAAAGAGGAACTTTTGACATGCTGCATGCAAGACTTAACGGCTTGGCCATACAAATCTGTTCCTAATGATGTCAGACATGAAGAGCAATCTGTTAGGCCTGACCTACATTAATAAAAACCAAACTGGCATTTTTTCCCCCGGCTTGTGGTCTGAGTCATCCATTTCGAAAAACTCAAATTCATACTGAGGCCTTAAAGAGGACCTAGGCCAGACATACAAGATGCTTGAAATAGCATCAGGAATGCACTTGGCAGAGTCTGTCTGTCAGAGTAGCCATGTGCTTGTCACTGTGACTCTTAGATTCAAAACAACAACCTATGGGGGTCTCGGTGTCCTCTTTTATGGTAAAACATGACGACCCATTTTCAACGACTTGTTCATACTTAGCTGGTTTGCTAAAATAGTTGCACTTTGAGAAATTACTCATTTATGGTATCACCAGACGAAGTACACCAAATTTGGGGAGAATTTTCATGTTGGTTTTTTTGCTGGGGGTGGCTGTAGCTCAGTACAAGGAGAGTTGGCTGAGGAACAAGAATTGCTGTTTCTGGAAATTAGTGGTTGAATTGGTGCCAGTTGACTTTCTGGGCACTTCCCTTGAGCAAGGCACCAATATGGGTCTCCAACATCTCCCAACTTAAGTATGTTCATGTGCATATTCAGACCTGTGTGTAGCATGTGTAACAACAGATTGAAAACACTTCAATCCCCCCTTAGGATGAATAAATGCCCATCTCCCCCTTCTTCTGTAGTCATACTCTGTTAGATTTCCTTAACTGGGCCAGTCTTGACAGACTCTACCAAATGGTTTTGCTATCATGTCAATGAGCATCACAGACTAATGCTGTCGCAGAGATTTATTATTAGACTTGTTAGTTGAATGATGCTGCAATACTAACCCCGCGTTTTACACGGTCTATTTGCCACTTGGACAGAGTACCGGTGGTGTTTTCTAGAATAGGAGACTTTGCCATTTAGCCAACCATAATCAGCCTTCATATTGTCGTATTATGGAAAGACCACAACAGATCAAAGCAACATTAATACCTTGAAATTGAATAATGATACTACAGTAATGTTTTGCATGATTCATGTCATGTATATCTAACATGCCTCAGGACAGGCAGTGTCAAATGCTCATAACACAGCAGTTTATTCTGGAAACCTCTCAGTTATCTTTCAGTAAACCGTAAAACAGCGTTACTGAAATCCTAACCTTTGAGTTAAGAGTTTAAAAGCTTAGCTAACAGCTCAGTTAGGTGGCTCACCTGGCTTTACATGCTAACTCTTTCGCTGACAGCGTTAGCATGCTAACAAGGAGGGGCAATGTTTGGTTAGGGTGGATGTCGACCAACCCAATAGTTCGACTTAAACTGATGTCTTTGTCAAAATGAGACATTTCTATGACGTCTCCGTGTTAGCGCTGGAGTTAGTTGAGGCCAGCTGCCTCTAGAGTTGAGTAAATGTCAAAATGAAGGTGCCGGGCAGGGCCCAGCCTCGCTTGCGACCGGTATCCATCCAACTAGCTCGTTAGCCGGCAGTGACAGCTACAATCGCCGGTACTTTATCACCCAATTCAGACGATTCCAAAAACAATGCTGCTTACTTGACAAACATTAACGAATAAATATAAGAATCAGCTGCCTGTGAGTTGAAGGATATTATCATTATCGCTTAAGAAAAGGCAGGATTCGTCGTTATCTAGGTAGGCCAATAAGCACTTTGATGGCGAACTCTTCTCGTTAGCTCGCATCCGCTAGCTAGCTCACTGGCAGTTGCAACCGGGGCCAGGCTCCCCAACGAGGCCCAAACACTGTGGATTTTACGTAAAACTATTCCGATTCATGTTGTATATGATCACATTTATATGCCGGCTCACCTCGACATCGCGTCCCTTATTTTTAAAGCTCTTGATGCGGTGGTTTTCCAAGCCGGCGTTTTCGGCCATGGCTGTGTGGGGTTTAGCTATTACTCCGGCTTTCGGGATCTCCTCCGTGAAAGACGAGGTACGGCAGCTCCTGTGCTGCTGCTGGCTCCGGAGAGGGGGAGGAGGTGGACGTAACAGATCGCAGAGTGAGGGGAGGAGTTAATGCATGCCTCCTGCATGGGCTGTCCTGGTTTCCCCGGCTTCCTCGACGCAGTGAAAATAACTCACCTCCGTCATATCGGCCGAAGCTGACATCCCTGATGGAGTCAACCCGGGCAGCCATTTCTGCAGAGGTCACATATGTTTCAAAACATGACACGACTCAGAAGAAAAGTTTGCTTTCAGCCACAAAAGTTTAATGAATCAACAATATTTGGATTTGCTTGTACATTTTTTTATAATTAGTGCAAAACAAAGACAAGCTTTTGAAATATAGAACTGTCACACTTTAGCAGCAGTAATGCAATGCCAATACAACACAACAGATCGACATTTTAACAATCTCTAATCAGAGACAACCAGCGGCAGCTGTGATGATAATCCGATATTTAGAATAAATACACAAAACACGATTTAAAGGGATATTCCGGCGTAAAATTAATTTAAGGTCAAACACCCAGTTAGACACCCCCTAGAGAGATAAGTGTTGCTGACCTCTTGCTTCTCTAGTTATACCAACTTTGGTAACAACCACATGATAGCAATACACAGCGGTCTGAGGAGCCATAAACAAACCTCAACCAAAACCCCACTCTATAGCCACAAATAATACTCGGAACAGCACCTAACTTCATCGACAGTACACATAGGGTCCCAGCCATAGTACTAGCCACCTCTATTTAACTTTGCCTAATTTCTTCAGCAGAGACTAAACACAACTTGCCTACTCTCTTCCAGCAGACACTTGTTTGTAGCAAGACCTCAGGCAGGTCCATCGACTGCAGCGGGGTGACGCAGCTCAAGGAAGAAGATTTATGATCATTTCTTCATGGAAATGCAATCAGACTGAGACGCTAAGGCAGAAGAACTACCACGTCTGCAGTGCGAAATGATTAAAAAGGTGATTATTACTACAAGAAAATGATAAAGAAATTATTATAAATGTTTTTCCTTGAGCTGCATCCCCCCGCTGTAGTCCGTAATGGACTGGCCTGAGGTCTCTCTTCAAACAAGCGGTGGCTGGAAGAGAGTGGGTGAGTTGTGTTTAGTCTCTTTGCTAAAGAAATAAGGCAAAGATAAACAGATGTTTGGTGGCTAGGACCCTATATGTACTGTTGATGAAGTTAGCTGCTGTTCTGAGCATTATTTGTGGCTATAGAGTGGTGTTTTGGTTGAGGTTTGTGTGAGGGGCCATAGACCACTGTGTAATGCTATCATGCGGTCGTTACTAAAGTTGGTATAACTAGAGAAGCAAGCGGTTGGCAACATTCATTTCTCAACGCGGTGTCTAACTCAGTGTTATGGTGTGTTTGACCCTAAATTAATTTTACGCCGGAATATCCCTTAAAGGAAGAGGAGAGAATGAAAAAAATCAAACGGGGAAACCAATCATTGTACATATTCTCTTGGTAAAACATTTACCAGCACAGCAGCACCTCCACATCCCTCTGTACACAAACACTAACCTCAAACACCTGCTGTCCTCTGGAATCTGCACTGCATTACTGGAGTTGATATCTTTACTCAAATATGTGTCAGTTCATATCTAAAATTGTTGCAACTTTTGCTTCTGTTGCACTTTTTAACAAAGGCAGCATAAAATAGTTTGGATACCGTCGTCAGATCAGTATCGACAGTTGTTCGTTTGTTACTTCACAAACTCTAGCTGGCCCCCCAAAAACGACTTGTTGCACTGAATAAACACTACTTGATTTTGTGACTGAAATAAATACAGTAAAATATAAAGGTGGATGCTACAATGTCAGTAAATAGCAAAGAAGAAACAGAAGACCAAAGTAATGTCAACCACGACTTCTGGCCTTGTAAAATGGAAAGATCTTACAAGCACATCTGCTGTCTGACATCTACACAGATAAAGAAAAGGAAGCAGCGGTCGAAAGTGTTTGGTTAATATACGCTGATTACTGCTGACATACCATAACAATTCAACGGTTTTCCATCAGCACAGACTGAACAGCCCATCTAAGACGACCAATGATTAGAAAGACCTACTCCATCAAGGCCACTTAAACATCAGTCCCCAGCAGCAGTACAGACAGAGTAATCAGGGGAAAACAAAACAAGAGGCATTCAAGTCACACGTAATGATATTATCCAATCAGGGTCAAACTGTAGTGTCACAGAGGTGGCTAGTAGATACAGAGGAGGACGACAGCGTAAAGAGGGCTGAGGCTGGAGTGCTCCTTTAGAAGATTTGTTGTTCAAAGAGGATCTTCTCAAATCCTTGTGGAGCTGTGTGATAGAAGTCACTAAACTGGCAGTCTAAGATGGCACTGTCATCCACTAAAACAGAAAAACAGAGACATACAGTGTGTTAACTTCTATATCAGGGTAATATAGACGATAAGAAAGACATAACAAAGACAGGAAAAAACAGCCTGAAAGGTGTGAAGGTGAAAACAAAACATTTTTGGGGGGATTTACAAGTGTTGCGATTATTCTTCAAAGTCACACTCGTGTCTAACTCGAGAGTATTAATACGATAAATAATAAATGTTCCAACCTTTTTCTTGTTTATCCTGCCAAGATATTTTCTCCACAGAAATGAGGTCAAATGGCTTGTAACAGCAACTGTTTGAACATAATCTCCGAGTACACAGTGCAACATTTTGTATGAGCTTGTTAATACGCAAATCTTTCAGTGCCGGAATGTCATTGTTATATACAGTAAGCATGGTGATTGACTAAACTTACAAACTGGTTTCCAGCTGCAGAAGTAACATAAACTCCAGTTCAAACAATATCAAAAGTAGAGCTGCAACAAGTAACCTGCTGAGTGATTTGACTTCCAGGATCCACTTCATGACCAACTATCCGTTAACTGATTTATCATTTTGAATCATCTTGAAAAAAGGTTTTAATAATCTGTTTTCAATAAGTTTCTGTTTTCTTCTCTTCACTTCTCAGGATTGATCTTAACTTTTCCTGTTCCATCAGTGTCATCATTTTCATCTCAGATTTAAGTAATGTAATGACTTATTAACATGGAGTGTATATTCCACAGGTCTTCAGAGTGTTCAGAGTTATTTAGCTGTTTAAATCCCAAACATGATTAACACCTGTACGCTTAGAGGTATCTGGAAACATGAGGTTCGTATTAGACAGAATATTTCTGTAGGTTATAATGTCAGAAATTCGTGACTGGTTTGAAAAAAGGAATAAGTGACTCACCACAGCCCTCAAATCACATATGACAACATTTGGGGAGATTATAATTGAGTAGTTTCCTTTAACTAGCTTTAAACTAAATTTTACTTTTGTACTATTATGCATACAATAAAATCATGAACTAAAGCAAAGTATGACAATACATACAACGTAAATATTGTGTTGTCATTTGAATTATGGCATCATTAGTAAAAAGACAAAGTATGAAGCTCTATTACAGTATATATAACAAGCGCGAATATAAAGTGATTGCACAATACAGAATTATAATAAAACTGAAAAATATTCAGAGTCAAGAGCAAGCTTTGATTAGAAGTGTTAAATCCATCAGTAGTCATGAGTGCATATAAAAACCCATCAAGCTCAGAGATCAGAGCAGTATTTGGTAAAAATGTATAAATGCAGCCCTCTGGTGGTACAAAATTGCGACTGCAAGATGTACGCTGTTATCAAGCATGCTATGTTGCCATAAATTCAAATAAAAAAACAATATTCTTGGACAACAATTTTGAGATAAACCATAGTAAAGTGGAAAGCATTAAAGAAACTCACCATAAACAACAGGGTAAACAGTGCCTCGGATCCCTGAAGCAGGACAATGCATATTCTTTCCATTCAGGTACAAATTCAACTCGACGTGGTCATATGTGATGCCCTAAGAGATGCAAACAGAGAAGTAATCAGCCTTTCTTTAAAAAACTTATGATCATGATCAATGTCTGCTAATTTAAGATTTGCAATTATAACATCTCAAAGGGATTCAGACTTTCTCCTTTCTACACTGAGCAGGACGAGCCGACACAAAACGAGTCAAATGTGACGAACACTTCTATCTTGCACTGATATTTGCTTTCCCCTTGCTCCTTGTGTTTCTCTTTTGTCAACTGGACTGTGGTAGCTAAGCTTTGATAATCACTTTAGTATTAAGAATCAATGACTGTGCTGTACAAGCAGAAAAGGAGTCCGGCAACTTGAGACAAAAGAACGTGACTTTCTTGATTTTCTTGTTCACTCAAACATGTTGCTCCATTTCTTTCATTTCACATTAAGGACTTTGGTCATTTATTTTGTCCCTCATCTGCACTTGACTTTTCTGTTGATAAAAAATAAAGTTAAATTGATTAAAAAAAAAAAAAAAAAAAAAAAACATTAATCAGTGTTGGCCTTCACAGTAATCTTTTTATATAAGACTTAAAATGGCACTTCAGTGTTTCAGAGCTGGAAATATTACAAATTTTAAAAATTGGTAAGAGTGTCAAGAGTAAATTTGCAAGTGGTTATCAAAGTCAGGGAATATATTTGCACTATTTGTGTCAATACCTTCAAGTAACTCAAACTGAATATCATGAGATATAACCTGTACATGTACACACACAAATCCCTCCTTAACGGCGCCATCTTCAGAACGTTTCTGATTTCATACCAGTGAGCCTGAGCAGAGCCTTTATTTTAACAGTGGAGGTGTTAATGCTGTATATTGTTAATAACTGTTCCCAACAAAAAGCAAAGCTACAACTGCACTTATTGAGGGCTTAATGAGGGCTTTAATATCAGACCCAGACTGACCTGAATTATGTTTCTGGTGAAGAAAATTATTATTCTTTTAACACCGGTTTATTACATACTTAAGATTAGGAGAAGTTTTATGGCACACTTCCACTAAGAAGCTTAGGCGGTCACCAGAATCACACAGACTCTCCAGTTGTTGTTAAAGTAATATTTTTAATTAAATACCCCAGAGAAATAAAATAAGCTTTCACAAATATTTGTTACCAAATCATTTTCATTTTTCCTGTGTTTATATTTAACAGTATAAAAAGTGTTTTGTACAGATAACTACAGACTTTCTGACAGTGACAGGGACAAGTCTGCATGGGTTGTGAAACAGCAACCACCAGTGCTGCTAGGTTTTAAGAAGTGGTTGCCTGCAGGACAATCTGATAGACCAGTCCAGTTCTACAATCTGTTGTTCAGCCCCTTACTCATAAAAATCATACAAATACAAAATACTTCAATGAAAAAAGTCACAAATGCTTCCCTCAGCCTGAATGGTCAGAAAACTGTGAGAAATTTAAACAAATCTTCTCTCAAAAACTTTAATTTGTTAAGGTTTTGGTTATCCACGTGGTGCTCATCTGCACAGACTTATGACTAACAGACCTGTATTACCGGCCATTACCAACTGTTGAAATGTGACTGTTGATGCCAGCTGCCATGGAAAAAAACAAATCTACTGGGGGTCTCCTGGGAAATGCAGGCCAGCCTGCTCCATCAGGCCTCTAATAGATGATTTAATCACATTTCTGAATTCACACAGTGTGTCTAAATTTAGGCTTGGTTACACTAAGGTGCTTATTGGAAGACTAGGAGATAATTAAATATTCTTACGAGCAGTACAAATTTGAACAAATGATTCATGTGGATATAATTTTAGCATCTCTGTTAAATGACATTTCTCGCGCAGCCATGTCAAGCAAGACAATCTTTAATGTTGAAAAACAAACTCACCAGCTTGCCAAAGAGGGGCTGCTTACCCAAAATTTGAGTCTAACATTGAACTGTTTTGTATATTTTAAAAAGGCAAACATAAAGAGAAGAAAGTTCTTCATTTGTGGCTTTGGAGTCCACTAAAAACTCAGGTCATTCTATGTTTCTGTCAACCATCTTGATCTCAGATCCCCTAAATAAATGCACTTACCACAATATCACCCTCCTGAGGAAGGCTGTTTGCAGGGAGGCGGTTCTTTTCTTCATTATTGTGGTACACAGACCCATCATGCCTCAAGACAAGACTGTTTATGTCCCTGCCCAAAGGCACTTGATTAAGATTCACTTTCTGTGTGGCCACACCGATTCCCCAAACACCTACACACAAGGACAACACATGATAAAACACTCCTGACCTGACAGACGATGATTTTTTTTACTGTTGACCACCAAAAAATTGAAAGGAGAAAACTAGTGAAATAATCTGTTGAAGAAGGGGCTGCTTGAGGTTAGCTTCGCTTCTGGGTAAATTTTCTAGGAAAGCAGATTCTGTGCACTTTCCAATACTGTCTTTGTTAGAGAGGAAATTCTTTTAGTGAGCATGCAGTCACAAGATGTTGTAGCTGCAACAGACCTCAGCTGTTGGAAATTGACCTGAAACTTCCAATCCGTAAAGAAAACAAAACAGGAGACGAGATAAGTAGAAGCCAGTTGCGAAAGGCTTACCAGTAGATTGGATCTTAAATTCAAAATAACTTTTGTTCTGGTGAAGAGGTGCATTGGCCAGACAGCCTCCGGTGCCACATATCCTCCTGCCGCTTTTCACAATGACAACATCTGTGCCTGCAAAAAAAGGGGCAAGAATACCATGGAAGAAAATTATTAGAATTATAATTATAACACATTTTTAAGCATTTGTGTCAAAGCACCAGATCCTCAAAGCAGGAGGCTATAAATAAACTAACATAAGATATTTGCTCGTTACATTTTCGAGAGATTGCATTTAAATTTTTCTGTCAATCATACTGAGACAAGTCTTTCATTGTTTATCTCTATCAAGCTGGACTCAGTAGAGGATGTGGTTGAGAGATCTATACTGAGGGAGGTGGAGACTATTCTAAAGAACATGGATCACCCACTTCACAACACCCTAATGGACCAATGGGCCAATGGTGGTGGACAGCTCGTCTCTCTTCGCTGCAGGACAGGAAGATTCAGAAGATCTTTTGTACCAACAGCCATCAGGCTTTATAACTGTTATGTAAATAGTAGATTACTTTTTTGGAGACATATTATGTGAGACAGCAGACAATTGAATTTCCCTTCGGGGATTAATAAAGTTCCTCTTATCTTTTATCTGTCATCTCTTATCTCTTTCACCTCTATCTTATTTTGGCTTTACTGTCCTTTTAGCTTTTGTTTTACTTGTACTCTTTTCTTAATCAACCTTTTAGACTTTTATTGTTTTATCTCTTGCCCATTTCTGTTGCTCTATTTTATCATTGCTTTTATTATCAGTATTACCTGTTATTATTTTATTATCATTGTTGATATTGCCTCTTATATTTACTATCCTGTTTCCGCTTTCATTCCCCCTTTTAATTGCATTTTCCTTTTTTCTTAACTATTTATGTTTTTATTTTGGTCCTCATGGTCTCATTTTATGTTGCATGGTTCTTGTATTGTCTGGATGCCTTATGCCATGAAAATGGCCTTCAATTCTGTTTTAACTGAGCTTTTTGTTTTCATCTGTCTTTTTCCATGACTACATGTCAAAGCACTTTGTAAACTTCTGTTTTTTTAAAAGTGCTATACAAATACAGTTATTATTGTTATTTAGTTAAATCATGAGCTTTCTTTGGGATGGTAAGCTGGATGCTGGACCCCTGCAGTGCACCTTGTGTCTAGGTTTAGAAAGTGTGATAGATTTATCAATCAGTCTTTATTTATATAGCACTTTTCCTACACAACCATGTAGCACAAAGAAAAAAAAAAAGGAACAAAGAACACCCAAATCCACCCCAGCCCAACCCCTCATCCCCACCCTACGATCTAAATACAACAGAAACAGTATTAAAATGCATAAACTTAAAAATGACTTGATTTTGTGGAAATAGGAAACATCATTTTAAAACTCAAGATAAGAAACACTGGTGGTTTAGGTTAAAATAAAAAAACACAGTAACACAGAATGAAATTTAAGAAATAATAAATAAGGTAAAAGATACTAAAATTAGAACTCTCCTCTTCCAGTTGTTTTCTTTTAAAAATACATTTCTGTGATATTTTACAATCATACAATTCAAATTCTTATCTCTTTTATGGACTTTTTCCGATTTCATTCATTTCTCAACATCTTATGTATTTCAAGATCTACAAAACCCAAATTCCAGCACTTACTTGTATTTTTTTTTAATTCATGTACTTATTTATTTTTTGTTATAGCTCCAGAATTTGTTATTTAAACACAGTAATAGGAATATCCAGCTGTAGACGGGAATTTGAGGGAAAGGGGGTGTTTGTAATGTGTTTCCTGTGTATATCTGTATAAACTAATAAAAATATTGTTGAATAAAAAAAAAAAACTAAAATAAGAGCACCAAAATAGCTCAATAAAAGACATCCTGTCATTAAAACCAGAAAGAGATAAATGCTAAAACACTTAAACAAAGTTTATGATATAAATGTAGTTAAAAGCAAGACTAATAAAAAGGTATGTTTTCAGTTTGTTGTTAAAATCATTGAGATTAGGTGCAGATGCATAATAATCCTAATTTCCAAACAGCTTCTTTTAAGGCCAGAGGATCCTGTGTGTACTCTTTGAAGAAGTAGATATTTGCATACAAATAACCCTGTAGACTTTGGAAAGGTAGAAGTAGGTTTGCTTTAAGGCTTTAAGATGAACATGAACTTTGGGAGGGGAGGAGGAGGGATTTTAAAAATGAGTTGAAATGACTTGAATTGTTAATCCTATGTGCAATCTACCGTGTATTAGGTGAAATCCTGCATGTACGTGTCCAGTTGTCTAATATGTGAACAAATAGTAGCCTTTTGATCAGATTATCAGAAAATACACATGTCTAAACAGTCCATAATGTCTGGATGACACTTTATTTTACAGGAGAAAACTACCAGCAGCTATCAGCTAGCTTATGCTAACAGTAGGAGGAAGGGATTCATCATTTAAAACATAAAAACAGTCAGCTATATTTAGAGTTCAATTTACGTACCCATGTGGTGAGTGTCTAACTGAACCGTGGGCATTTCTTTGAGGGGAATATGTCCCGATCCTCCATCTCCACAGCATCCTAAACAACACGTAAACATCGCAGCCATTCTCGTCCCGATCGCTAGCTTCACATCCGGAAACAAACTCCCATGAAAACCAAAGAAGAGTGCCCAGCGTTCAGACGTCAGGACCCGCTGACACAACAGCGACACCCCGAGGCCGAGGTCGGTACCAAATAAGCCCCTGGTACCCGACTGTATCCAATCACAGCGGCTAAGATAGGCAGTTGCTCCTGATGGCATGGAAACAAGGGAAGAAAATCAAGGTCAAAATTTCTACACGTGACTTAGTAACTATTGGGTATCGATGTTACATAACCACAAGTGAAGAGAAAGTTACTTTTGGATGTTTCATGTTCAATCGTTTTCGAGAGAGTTGCCTACTTGTTCAGATCCAGGCATGAGTGAGGACGGAGCATCCTCGGCACTTTAAAGCCGTCATACATGCATACATTTCTGCGTTAGAGTTGTTTTTCTCAAGCTCTGCTCGCTCAGATCGCTAAAATAACATGCCTTTAATCCTTAAAGTGAGGTTTAATATAGAGTTTGACTCTTTTACATGAGATTATGAATCTGTGCGCCATCGTTTTCGCATTAACCATTTACAGATGTTGACAAGTAACCACACGAGCGAGCCGACTGAAGTGGGGCAGTAGAAAAACCTGCGATGCCAAGCTGGGACTAAAACCTAGTTGACAGTTTTTCACGCTGTAATGTTTTGCATAGCAACAGCCCCTCCCCCATCGGACAGATAGGGATCCTCTGCAAATAACCCAACAGGGACAAAAACGAAAAACACCCCAGCGATCAAAACTGGCTCATGTAAACAACCAAATAGAAGCAGCGTTCTCTCTAACGTCGATTTGTCACAAAAGCCGGATTTTCCCGTGCGTAAATCCCTGCGAATTAATGCGTGTTATTCTCCCGCGCGCAGCTGAAACGGTTAACTCTGTACCCGGAAAAGGGCGAAGTCTGCACAGCAACAAGCGCCATGATTGCGTTGCACTGTGCGTCTCAGCAGCTGGTGAGTGATTCTTTTGGTCCAGTAGTTGCATGTTACTATGCGCTTGCAAAATCTGTCACAGCTCTACTTCAGTACCTTGCCAACAGGAGCAACGTTAACGCGCGTCCTGTTTGTCGATAATTTGTCGCATTGGATTGGTTTAGACGACAGGGATTTAGGGCTTCAGACAGCTAACCTACCGTCCTGCTTTTATGTAATACAAACAGCTAAGAGACATTTGTTCACTTCTTTAAGTCTGCGTTTGTAAACTTCTCTCCTCTGACTTGAACCCACTGTGGTTTTTGCAACGCGGTTTGAAGTCTCAGTCAACGCCAGCTGCTTTCAGAAAGACATCAAAAGGCAGCAGGATGATACTTTACGTTACACGGGCAAGTGGAGCCTTTGACAGAGCTGGTGCCAACCTCCTTTTACGCGGGCACAGCCATGAGAATCAGTTTCACTTTCAGGATGATGGGAATGCTTCAGAAACAGTTGGGACATGACTTCAAAGACTGTATCCTTTGCGATGCTACATTACTGTCATGTGTAATTTATTGCCTTATGGGTCAGCATCCCCCCCTGAGTGTGGGTGCGTATTATGTAACCTATTCTGAATTGTGCTGATTTATTGAGTCCTTTGCTTAAATTACGCATCGATTTGACGCCCCGGATGATGTGTTTTCAGGGTACCATGGAGCAGCTTGAGGAGGAACTTACGTGCCCAATCTGCTGCAGTCTCTTCGAGGACCCAAGGGTGCTGCTGTGTTCACACAGCTTCTGCAAAAAATGCTTGGAGGGACTTCTGGAGGGAAACCGAGGTTCAGTTTACCGAGCACCTTTCAAATGTCCAACATGCCGCAAAGAGAGCCCTCACAACGGCGCAAACAGCCTGCAGATCAACTATTCTCTGCGCGGAATAGTGGAGAAGTACAGCAAAATAAGGTTCACGCCGAAGATGTCTGTTTGTAAACAACACTGCGGCCAGCCTTTAAACATATTTTGCGCCACGGACCTAAAACTCATTTGTGGGTTTTGCGCCACGACAGATGACCACAGGGGGCATAAATTCTCTTCCTTGGAGGAGGCATATGAGCGGGAGAAAGAGGCATTTGAAGAGCTGCTTCACGGGGTGGAGAGCTGGCAGAGCGCAGACATCCTGTCCTGCCTGGAGACACTACAAGCCAGTAAGAAAAAAGCGCTCCAGTCGGTCACTAAGGACGCAGAGAAGGTAACAGACTACTTCGACAAACTCACCAGCGCCCTCGAATGCAAAAAGAACGAGATCCTCTCCGATTTTGAAACACTAAAGCTGGTTGTGCTGCAAGCGTACGACCCGGAGATCACCAAGCTGAGCGCAGCGATAGAGGAGCACAGGCGAGCGCTCAGCATCGCACAGTCTTTCAGGAGCGTCACCGACCCCCTGTGCTTTCTGCAGCAGATGCAAGATTTTCGGGAGAAGTTGGGGATCATTAAGGAGACCCCTCTGCCCTCGCGGAAAGACACGGACGTCGGTCCACTCGTGCGTAATTTCGATGTGAAAAAGTGGGACTCCCTGAGGCTCAGAGAAGTGGACAAGATTTCAGTCCCCCATGAGAGTGGCTCCTACCGAGTGGGGGGCTCACGGATGACATCGGCCAGATGGATCATCTTGTTTCTGAGTGTGTTAATTCCAACAATCCTGCTGCTGCTGCTGCTGCAGCCGCACATCCTCGCATCCTCAGTGTCTGTGCAGATCGGGCCGGTTCTCACTGCAGCCTCCTCGCACATTGCCCACACCGGTGTGTACCTGCAGCAAATGACTGACATGTACGCACGTTTAATGGGTGCAGGTCAGCAATGTATTGTGAACTTTATCGACTACACTGTCAATTTTATTGGCAGCTGTAAGTTGTATTAATTACAAGCCTGTGGCATCTCTGCCAGCACTCACAGCGACAGATTGTTACATAAGAAATGATCCGTGCGGTGCAATTCACACTAAGATCCAAATTATGATGCTGATTTTTTTTTCAACCTAATATTTAAATTTGTCTCTTTTTTCATCTAAGGTAAATTTGTCATTCAGCCATACAAACTCTAAGTTCCCCCACTAAGGTTTTACCTATTTTCCAATCAGAGAAACACACTACATTTTCCTCCTACTAATGTAATCTCTTTTTCTCAAAATCACGATGACAGTTTTATACTTGTCCACATTTTATTGGTAAATAAAACGGAAAATCAAGTCACTGCCATGTTTGTATTTTATTTAGTAGCACAGGCCATGTCATCGGTGTATTCAGGTCGACAAACGAGCCTATGAACTGAGCAAGTGAGTCAGAAAAGAGAGAGTGTAATCCCAGGCCTCTTTCCGAGCAGAGCGCATCCGTGAGCACCTCAGTGATGCTGCAACCTCTTCAAGGTTACACACGTTGCATAACAGGGCCCGTGTGAAATATTCACCAGGCTGCAGACACGCTGCAAGAAAAAAAACAAGAGCATCACTGTTTGTGTTTTTTTTTTCTGTTTTCACACGATGACCTCCCCTTGGTCTATCATCGATAAAGTCAGGACACTTGCTCGTCACGCGTGGTGGGTACCCACTTTATTTTTACGCGAGATTTATTTGTGGCTGTGACTCACTCGTTCGGTCTATAAAGTCAAACATCTGCAGGCTGTTAGGTTTTAAAGTACAGTGTGGGGCCTATTTTTCTGATGTGAATCTGGATTTATACAGTGTCGACTTGTAAGCTCTGAATTGGAAGTTATTAAAATTCTTGAACTCAGTGTGGACATAAAAAGGTCTTTGGCTGCTCGCCAGCACTCCTCTTTATTTAGATGGGTCAAAGCAGGACAGCATGATCTGCTCTTTTATCATTGGCTCTCCTGAATAGAAATGAATTTTTTTTTTTTTTAAATTGAAAATAATATTTTTAAAATCCAAAGATCAGACCACAAAGTGAATCCGTGATGTCAGCACTGACCATATTTCAGGATGTGCGTCATGGCACGCACGGTCATATATATAGACCCTCTGTTGCCAGGCAAATATAGGATGAAAATAAATATAGCACTCTACATTAATATTTTAATTGTTACGGCACGCAAATTTAAATATAGCATTATAATAGTCAACTCATTTCAAATTAAGACAAACTGGTGTGAAAGAGCGTAAAACAGGAATGTACTGACACATTTTCATGAGGCTATTCCGCATGCTCCGTCACTTTGGAGTAGCAGTGGGCCTAAGTAAGGTAAAATTAAAATTAAGCATAAAACAGTCTCTCTGACACCTTTCAAGAAGACTGTATGAGCAGATAATACATGAAAAGGTTATTGAGTGTGTATAGAGTGTCATCACAGGAGCAGAGAAGGTCCCGCACCCTTACACAGCTTCACACACTTCAAATCAAAGTGATGTGATTCAAGGGAAAAACTCTGAAATTATTTCTCTTCTTAAAGTATTTTTCACCAGATTACCTCCTATAGTGTTAAAAAAATACATGTTTTTACACAGAGATGTCTTTCTAAGTTTCCAAATAAGAGTTATAAATGAAGTAAAAACGGGCGTGCTGATAGATACAAGAGTTTTTAAAAAAGCATGGCAATATTAAAAATAAAGTGTAAAAAAAACCCCAAAAAGGTCAGTGCGTGAAAAAAAAAATCTAAACCATGAAATGAGAGGCAGCTGTAGGGAAAAAGGTGCAATTTTACACTCGACACAGACGCTACAACTTACAGATATTTTTACATAAGAAAATCAGTCTGAATTAATATGTCATTTTTTTGGCTGTAATGGATAAAATTTGCAAAAATGTTTAAACTGCAAATAAAACCTTAAAAGAAGTGGTTTAAATTAACACACACACACACACACTCCATCACACACACACACACTGACCATCAGTCTTGCAACCACGACTATTAAAAAATATATATATCACCCTATTATAACACACCTTTTTTACCGTTTAAAAATAGCAAGACAAAATTGAAAATATTTATTTCAGATATCATTTGGAGAAAAAAGTGATGCGCAGGAAAAAAGGTGATCCTGAAACGCACCCAAATGTTCAAGCCCCTCCCTCAATATCGTTTTGCGCAAGTCCCACCTTTGTCAAATACCTAAATTTGAGCTTATTTGTAAATATAGTGGAGTTAATAATGTAAGAGTTCATAATTATCGATAAAAAAGGCCCTTAAGGCCAAGTGGAAACAGATAGATGCGGTATTCATCCGTTCATGGCGAGCTAAACTCTACCTTGGGCCTTGGCTTGTCATCAGAAAAAAATCATGCAGACATGAAAAATGTTGGCGACATTTTAGGGTGTATCCAAAATTTTTAAATATATATATAATTTTTTTTAGGGTTTCAAACAAAACAAGAGCGAATCTGCATGACTTTGACATCACTTTTTTTTCTTTGTAATCTCTTATTTTGTCTTCATTTACTCAATGAATTTAGTGTGTAATTTTATCAAAAGTACTTATATAAAAAATGCCACATCATCCCGAGGGCCGGTGAGAAAGCCTACACGCATGCAGACGTGTTTTTTTGTTTGGAGGGTTGATTTGGGATTATCGTCGTCGCACGTCCCCTAACCACGCGAATGCATGCAGCTGGTTCACACGCGACACGGTCTGATATTGAGGTTTTTATCCATTCAGCAGAAATATTTTATTTCCTAATAGCACGCGAGGTCATGAAAGTGAAATCTAATAATCATAGGTATGTGTGTGAGACAATCACAATGCAACCAGTGGAAGGAGAGTATTCAGTAACGGGCCAAAATGTAAAATAAAGGGGCTTTTAGAACTAAGAAAAAGTATTTAGTAATAAAAAAAAAATCTGGCTAAGAAAACGTTTTTATTTCAAAATAAATGTGTAGGATCTTGAATATGCTGAGTGCTGGAATTTTAATCCACCGAAAATCTGTGTGCGCATCCCGGCTCATGGTGAGCAGGCAGGCAGCAGCAGCAGCAGCAGCAGCAGTAAGGCCACGCAGGCCGTCGTGTGCGTGACTCCTTATAGCGGGCGACGGTACTATTTTAACCGTGCACGCAATTCTCAGCATCAGCGAAAGTTGCACTTCGGTTTTAAGTAAAAGAAATGACACGGGCAGCGTTTTTCTGAACAGCGATTATCGGCAGTGATATTCAAAAGACATGAACAAAATCAGTTTCATCTTTTATTTGCAGTGTGCAGAGAGACAGTGACAGAAACAGACTGTGTGAGTGGAAAACGTTCATTTTTGGGGAAAGTGTTGATGGATATTTGAGTCCGTGTAAGCATCCCTGAATTTCACCCTGATGGAGTGTGAGCGGTCAGCTTTGCTTCAGCAGCACGATCAATACTGGAGGCTTCAGCAAGAGTCTTAACTCCAATATTTACGTGCTGCTACAGTAAGGCGACCAGCAAATGAGGAAGAAGATCAAACAAACTTTTTTTATTATCAGAAAAAAACAACAATCCAGGTGACAGGAGTTCATACAAGAAATGATAGAAGCAAAAGCAATGTGATAACTTCAAATAAATGCAACAGGTTGAGGCAGCAGTGGTTGGCAGGCAGGTTGTATATTCAGGCTTCACTGCGGCAGCACAGTATGGCCTGCATCTCAGTGTAACCCACAAACCATTCCGTGCTGCTACAGCATCACCAGAACTGCAGTCATGCTCCCTCTGAAGGCATCTTTTCTCATCCTCCGGTTTTTTTAACTGCGCTCAATTCATCCCACAGACTTCTGCTCTACCCACATATGCACAGATGGGCAAAGACTTTGCACCTCACATTTATCTACCTAAGACGTTCAGATGGTCGGCATCTCTTGCAGACTTGGAGTTTTTGCACCGACTGCAGGCGAGGCCGCTCTCCACCTGAAACAAAGAAAAAGCACAATACAACTTAATGTCAGTGAGGTCAGGTGAAAAAAACAGGGAACTGTGTGGCCAAAAGTATGTGGACACAAGACCAAAAAAAAAGGTTGCTGAACATCTCAGTACATTTATGCTGACTTAACAGATGCCCGGAGAGGAAAACCTTAGCTATAGAGAACTAAAACGTACAGCATCCATGTCTGCAGGCTGGTGAAGTTTTTATTCGTAATTCATGTCGTCCTGAGGTCTCGGGATCACAATTGGTAGTTTTCTAATCTGCTGCAATGACACTTACAAACTTGATCCCTGAATCTGGGTCCCTGAACTGAAGTGTTTTCAACATTCACACTCCCAGGACCTGCATGGACTGCTTCCTCTGATCGGAGCCAAATGTAACAAACAATTACAATTTTGTAGAAATCTCACAACCGCTTCGCTCAATTTAACCCCCTCTGTTTTTGCTAGAAACAAATGAACTAAATGGGTTTGCAGCGTAGATTGTGTGACAGAAACTTACATACGAATGTAAATGCTATGAGAAAGGTTTCACCTGGCAGGGGGAGGATTAGTATATAGCAAATCTTTTTAAGTCCCTGTACCATTCATTTTTAAGCCCGGCGCCACACGCAGTGCTATTGTCAAGTGATCCATAGACACGTGTGAAGTGAGCATTTTGTCAGGGCTGCAGAGATGGTGTTATATCAGAGAGAGCGCTCAGTGTCTCCTTCAGTGGTTCTTAGGTTACAAAGACAATTACTGCTCCATTGTGCTCAGTTAAGTGTCACAAACAGAAGCCACTGTACGGAGCCTGGGTGGAAAAAAAAAAAAGTGGTATAATCCAAAATGGTAAGGAGCTGACTCCCCTGTCGAGGTCTAGTTTTGTAGACACTTTTTTTCTCAGATGCAGTTTAGACCCTTTGAAATGATGCGATCTGGAGATTCCTGAAATGACTACAAAATCCAGTATTGTGACGAGGGAAAAGTGAGAGAAGTGTTTACGAGTAAATGATCCAAACTCTACCAGGATGAGATCTGTTTGGAAACTGGCCTCGTGTTTGCAGGAGAACAATTTGAAGGCAGAATTAATACACTAGTGGAATCAAAGTATCTGTTCAAAGTTAGCATGCGTTAATCTTTATGAGCGATATGTAAGAGAAAATCCTGGTTTACAGGGAAAACATAGACAATCCTGAAGACAAACAGCAAAAGCCATGTCTGCTGGCAGAGGTGTTAAAATCAAGTTTGTTCGGATAATAATCTTTGAGGAGATCAGGACCAATGAATGTGTTACCACTAGAGGTCTCAATGGACCTGTAATTATGACCCTGGTCTGAAATGGACCTGATAGTCTGACCCTGATTGTGCTTCAAACAGACTTCCTCTTTATGAGAATACTCCTATACACACACACACACACACACACACACACACACACACACACACACACACACACACACACACACACAAACTGTAAGTCCTTTGCACTCAGTAACTCCCTTGCAGCCCAGAGCTAGTGTCTGTGAGGAGCAGCAGTGAGAATTAAAATATTGTTAGTCTACTTCCTTCAACACCTTCACTTGTGGCTTTTACCCTGTGTGTCAAATCTTCACCAGGGCTTAAATATGAATTATAATCTAAACAAATTACTAGATCTGCGCACAATTTGAGGGTCAACAGCACTTAAATACTATTTTTACTACTTCAACTGTTAGAAACTTTATCCCAGAGGAAAAACACCGGATGTGTGAATTTGAGTGAGTCTTGCATTCAGTTTTAATTTTTTAAACCAGCTTAAAATTTCAGTCGTTCTCCTACAAACATTAAATAGTCTCAAACTGCTCCCTGGTGTTACAGGAATTACCATGCAACATTAACACAACTGATCCTCCTTTTGAAAAATAAATAAATAAAAGAAAGAAGAAGAAGAAAAAAAATTCACTGATAAACTGCACCTCTCAGGCACCAGCTGACTCTCGGTCACAAGTCAATCTTAAACCACGGTCAGCTTAAGCTAAATGGTAAACAGTTACATAAACGGTGCGAGCGCTAGAAATGAAATCTGATCAGGCTGTTCTTATGTTGTCTTTAACTTGACTTCCAGTCGTGCTTTTGTTACCCACGTTATGCACAAAGGCTTCATCTCAAAAGTTTCTGTAGTACCTTTTTTAGTGTCAGGTAAGAGCCTCATCATTCAGAGGAATCACCTTTTTTTATTTTAAGCCAAACAATAAATGCAAGAGGTGATAAATAGAAAAAAAGACCTGACACAGAAATTCTCTGACGCCCAGTGCATATCACACTTGTGACACAGGATCTGACTCATCTGTCACTCAAGGCAGATAACTGATGGACATTTAAGGCTACAAAATAAATATATGAGGAAATACAGATGGGATGCTGATGGGAAACACGGATGTAGAGAGGCTGTCCAAATAGTGCCATATTTGATAGGGTGGAAACAAATGTACGTGGGCACTCAGTACATGGGCTATTTTTTTTTTGTATCATGACGTTTACACACAAACACGCTACACCTTCACACAAAAACATCAGCTTCATCAGTCAGTTTGACAACTCAACTTAGTAAAAAAAATAATAATAAAAAATTGCTCATGTTTTCAGCATCTAACACAGACGTTTGATACCAGACACAAGTTATAGTGAGGTTAATCGTTTGGAGTGTATAATTATCACATCTGTGGGGCGTGACAAGTCTTCCTGCATCAGCCCAAGGCTAATAGGTTCCACATTCTCACCAGAGAGCAACATCTCCATCCAACCACCTCTCAATAAGCCATGAAAACTATTAGCTAAAAGTGTGAGCAACACACACACACACACACACACACACACACACACACACACACACACACACACACACACACACACACACACACACACACACACACACACACACACACACAAAAGTCAGTTAACAGTTGTTGCATGCAAAGGTCACATGTTTGCTGTTGTCTTATTCAACATGAGGATTTGGAGTTTTTTCCAAGTCTAATATTTATGAAAAGCGAGTTAACTATTTGAGCTTTTGAAACAGAATAAGAAATCTGGAGGGGGGGGGGTGGGCTCTGAGGGAGCAGGTGGACAGATGTGTTTTCTGTAGATTACACTTGAATTTATCTTGTAAATTTTAAAATTTAGGAAAGGATTGATTCAGCAAGAAATTTGATAGCTTCTCTGATCTCTGCAAGGATTTTCAGACAGACTACTGCTAGGACAGTCAGTGGATTTCCCTGTTAAAAAAAAAAATTAAAACCCCTTCCCTTTTATTGTTTTACATCATGGCATGCTGTGTATCTACATGACGCAAGTGGGAAAACATAGTAAACATCTCACAAACACACTAACTTCAATCGAGATACAGAATTTTAGCTGAATCATTTCCTCACCCTCTGCCAAGTGTACAAGCTCATCTGTGCAAAAGCAGACACACATTGTGTGAATTAGACTGATGCAGCGACAAAAAAAAACCAAACAATATTTTTACCTATTTCTAATTACTTCACAAACAGACCGAACTCTGGTAAGCTGTGTACTTTTCCTTTTAAGCTGATAATTTCTTTAAAAATCCAAACCATATTGTTTACAATGAATCTAACCTCTCCCTATTTTTCTCCCTCTTTTTTAAGGAAGCATGCCCAGACATGTCACCTTCACTGCTCAGCCTTTTTAACCCGTCCCTGCAACATTTGCTCTGCATACAATGGCCTCAAACAGTCACCTGACCCTGAGGTTGAAGGTCAAGTAACCTCCTTAACCCCATCGGGTACAGAGATGTGGACATGACAACTCATCACCTCCCCAGAAGTGGTGTGGGCTGGCCTCTCTTGTGTAAGAATGTCTTCTGCCGGTGGAAGCACAAACTATCAGCTGTGGGGAAAAAACTCTGACTGGCAATCACATTCATCCAAATGAAAAGGCCTATGCAAATTTTCCTATTGTGTTAATAGAGCTCTCTATCTGCAGCCATCAAGATATGGAAAAAAGATTCCTACTACTAGTCTTAGAGTGAAAAAAGTTCATGATAAATCCCGACTATTGTCAGTTTATTTTATTCAAGTGAAGGCAAGAAGGCTCTTTTTTTCACTTGGGTATCAAAAACCATAAACCTCACACAACAACAAATCCACCACTTGAAAAAATTAGGCTGAATAAACACCAGGTAATAGGCAAGGCCAATCATTGTTGTCTTCTGTTGGGCAAAATAACACATGCAGTACAAATAAACCATGTTTACTGTGGCACTACTTTATAAGGTGTGATAAAATGTTTCATCAGCTACCGGGGCAGTGTGTACACAGCATGGGATCTCGACAGTAGTAAAAGCAAATATAAAAGCAATTCGACCATAATTACAAAGCAACCATTTGCAATAACATATCAATATCAAAGTAAAAGTGCTCCACCAAAACTATTATGAGTGTGAGTCAAAATCCTACCCAGGAGGAGGTGAATAGTTTAACTGTTCTTTGTAGAGCAGAGAAGATACCTTTAAAGACCTGCTCTGCTACCACTAATGTGATGTGTTATTTCTAAACATTACTGCACACACACACTCCCCACCCCCCCAAAAAACATTTCCAGCATGGTGCTGTCAGGCCACAGCCTGGGCTATTCATGTCAAACTAAGTTCAGGGAGACTGGGAACATGTGAAAACATCCCAGGGATCAACAAAAGAATAAATGTATTTACAGGACAACACTCGCAGTGACCTCTGACTCACTCTCCACAGGTAAACACCACCCCCTCTCTTAACTGTCAGGGGTGAGTGTAACAGACTGACACTTCACACTTCAGCTACACAACACAAAAGATTTATGAATTACACTTATTTGAATCACAGGACAGATATTTTTGCTCAATAATTACAGAATAAAAAATACACTATGACCACCACCTGAAACTAGTTTGGGGGAAGCACTCCAACCATCTGACATGAAAAGTAAGTTTATTATGATTCATTGTTGCTGTTTCTTATTAGTAAGGACAATTCTCACAACAGGATAGCGCATGTCTGCTCAGTTTAAAAATAGAGTAAAACATTTTAACTACTTTCAGAGTAAGTGTGAACCAAATTATAATTTCCCCCACGACAGTGTGTCATTTTAACACACGAGGATATCCACAAAGTGTCTGGTGAAATATTAAATCTGAACACAACTGCTGAAGCTAGCTCTACAGAACAGCTCATAAATTTCAATTTAGTGTTACACATCTCGAAATAAAGTTATTTCTGATCTCTACAGCTACTTCTTTTGAACAAACCAAAGCCCACACAAAAGACAGACAAGCAATAAACAGGATGCAGACAAAGCAGTACACTGTGATGCAATTCAAAACTACGGCTTGAGAACACTTGACCAAAAGCATGAAACAATATCTTTGAGAGCCCCCAGGCTACAACCAACTACAAAGAATGTCACAATCTGACAGCACCACAGTCTTTCACATGGCTAAAAAACTTCTGTTAATTGCAGTGAATACTTACAAAGCCAGTTGGAAGGCTGAAATTAGGATCCTATTTTGCACGTAGATTGTAGTATGTACATGCACATGTAAGCAAAAGGGGAGAAAGAGGAAGCAAAGATAAAGAGTCTGAGTTGAATGACACGCCCATACACTCGTGCACCAATTACTCAGGCACACACAGGACTTTTTTTCTCATATAGTCCAACTGAAACGTCTAGGTCAAACACAGATCCTCATATTACTCTAATTCTGATTTAAAAAAATACAAATTAATTTTTACAACAAATCTTTTAGCGCTCTATGGAATATTATGTTTGTTCCCACTCTACTGACAGATTTGACCTGTTGACATAAAATTAAAAATTGGGAAAAATATTTAAAATAACAGGGTGCAAATGCTCGAGACAGCATCAACTACTGGTGCCGGTAAATACAGGCATTATTGATCTCTGATGACTTTGACACATTTTTTCTTTGACTGGACCCACTTCCTTACAACTTTACAGGCACACAAAAAATACACACCAGCAGATCAATGTGAGCAACAACAGAAAATCCACGACTCTACCAAAAATATAACTCTTAAAAATACAAGCAATTAGTCATTACAGGAAAATTTTTTAACTGTCCAAAATTTTTAACTGTTTTTTTAAAGACAGAAAATATCTGGTCTCTGCAACAAGCATTCAGCCTGACAAGCTGTAGCCAAGGTGTTGTCAGCTCATCCAGTCATAGCTGATCACATTAAAAAACAACAACAACATAAACTATGAGTCACTAATATTCAAGGTTTATTCCTAATATTTCTGATTTAACTGCTTACATGTTTATACTGCATGCTCATCTAGCACCTTCAGGTGAAAAAAGGCTGGTGCAGCAGAAATGAAAACACCATGTGTGTGTAGTCAGAGGAGGAACACTCCTGCTATGTCAGATCTTACTGCCAGTGCTGTTGCAGGTTATCATATTACTACCTGAAATCTAATTATCAGGCAGAGAATCCACCAGCACTTTAACAGCTGACGTATTCTTTCTGAACATGCTCTCTTAAGTCCATCCTGTCTTAAACAAAACAACAACAACAATGAAGGTGAGTTGAAGTTTTTTTAGTGCAAAAGATCTGTTTGGAAATTTTGCTAAAATTATAAAAACTTTTTTTGACTTCCTTACTCCCTCACAATTCACAACTAAGGATCTTACTCTAGTATGGTACCACATTAAACCCACTTTTTCACTTTTCTTGACACAACTTGATACCAAGTATGTAAAGAGCACAATTGCAACCAAGCACACAACTGACATTATGAAAGAAATTAAAGCTGAAGTTAAAATGTACTAGACAAACAGGTGTAAACCCAGTGAACCACAGTGATGCTGTGTCCCCTGCTTGAAAAATTCAATGTAAATCATATGCATGCAAGAGCCTTCAAGGACCTGACATCCTTATATTCAGCTGCCCTGCAACCAGTGTTATGAATTAGAATTTTACGGACAAGTACATCATCGTGAAAATACACACATGCTTATTGTCACATCTAAACTTTCATTATATTTTCTATCCATTATTTAACTACACCAAAACCTTAAGTCCATCTTCTAAAGAACTGACTTTTGCACATAAAACAACCTGGACAGCCTCGACTTAATGCTGTTATGGAAAAGAAGTAAAACCAACACCAGCATCTGGAAACAAACCAACTAGACTCTCGAAAACCTGTCCCCATCACTGCAAATTTGAATACTATAAAGTTTGTGCTGAGTGGTGCAGAAAGAAGGAAGAGAAGGGTGGGGGGTTCTCTGCAGCCTGGCTACAACACATGTGAGCAAGTACAAGAAGAGAGGCACAGTTACACCAGGAAATGGGGGTGGGAGCCCATTTTGCCGGAGGGGTCTGAGAAGACAGAATGATGAGTCACACAATGTCATGCTAACAGTCTGAAACAGCACAACGGTGCTCTGCAAAGAGAGTGAAAAGGCAAATACCAGAGAACGGAGGGGGGGCATTAACCTGTAGCACTGAGAGGACATCAGGAGTAGATACTACTCAGATAAAAACTGCAAAATCACATCAACACTGTCTTGCCAACTACACAGTGACTGAAATCAGTAACAACATGAAGAAAATTATAACTCTCACTTGACCTGATCTCGCCAGAGACATGTTCCAAAACAAGGCGATCAATCAGTGTGCTGAAGTTTATGAATTACTAAGATCCCTGATTATAAAATCTCTCTTTGACAAAGTGATACCCTCTGACATGTAGAGATGAGGTGTAACTCAGTCAAAATTGGAGTTACATTTTTTTAAGAATCAAGAGGTACAGCCAGATGAATACACTTTAAGCAGTATTATAAAAATGATTTCAAAATGTCCAGTTTCAGAAACATCACATCAAATTGTATATTCATGTCACTGATGCTGTGAAATATTAAGGATCACCCTACACATGTGTACTTAAGCATTATCCCCTATGAACTCACAAACAATACCACTCCTATCAAGTGTTTTTTAAATCTACACCTTCACAGCCGAGGGCTCAGGAATATCTATACATTTTATTTATCATTTCTAACATTTGCTGGTATATCTTCAAAGCTGTAATCAGATGAATGACTATTTTCACAAACAGAGCTGTAGATGGCTGGTTTCACCTAGAGTGTGTACTTTCGAGCATACATTGAAGTCAAAATGTGCAGTTATATAAAATATCAATAGATAGCAATACACCATTCTAAAAATTTATTTTTGCTCTTTTTTTTTTTTTTTTTTAAATATTAGCTCCATGTTTTAATTTAAAAATTATTACAACTCGGGTGTAAAAATCGGAGCCTCCACACATGTATACACTTTACACACAGATGATAAATTCACTGAGAAGCAGCTGTTTAAACAAATCATCGATTTAAAATGTGCTGATTTTTTTTTGTTTTCATTTATTTATGTTTGTCATGTTAGGACAGCACAGTTAATACACCCTTCAGTTACAGCACATCATACACTCGATTTACTATGCATTTCTTATCCGTTTTGAAAACGCTGTTTTCATCAGACAAATATTTACTGGTTCAAGTATTTTAAAAGCTGATAACTTCATAGCTGTCATGTTTAGAGGTTGTCTTACCATTCATTGTGTTTCTGAAACAATGGAGGTAAAGTTTGCATGTTGCATGGGTGTATCTACTGTCACAGAACAGTACATTTCAGGTCTACACCTTTCACTATTTTTATGTCCATGGTAGGGGTTTCCCTTCTATTGTATAAGCTAATTTTTCCATCAACTAAATGCCCTCTGAGAGAAATAGACATCATCTTAATGTATGGGTTGAGCAGTTCCACTAAGAGGACTGAGTCCCACATACAAAGGGTTCAATCTGCATTTGCAGTGAATAAAGGTCTGCCTTCTAATACGGTATGTGGTCACATTTTCACTTGTGATATGCAATTTAATTAAAGTGGAGCACCAGTATTAACCTTACTGGTGCAGAAAATGTATGGCAAAATAAAATTACTGGAAAAATGCTTTTACTAAGCACACTGTCATTTGTGACGGGCCAAGAGGGAGGAGGGGGAAGGGGGTGCAAGGGAAAATTAGATGCATACAGTCTGCCTCACTCTTCCACAACGCAGTTCATTTCAATCAGAATTATTTTCTCTATATCTTAACCCTCATACTAGGCACTTATTTGTTAAAATGAATGCAGCACCGCAAAAGATAGGAAGGCCTCGCATTATGTAACACATTAAACCGATCTCTACTTAGAAGGAAGTAAAAGGGGCGGGTTCAGGCGCACAATTATATGGAGCCTCTCTTTTCCTCTTCTCTGCTTTATTAGTCATTATGAGAAGCAAAAGGCGAGATAAAACACCACACAAACAACCTCTTCAGTAAATAATGACTTGGACCGTTTTGTCACTCTTTACTAAACCGATTAGACCACGCAGAGGGTTTTTTTTTCTCCCCTTCAATGTACTTGAATTTAATCAGGGTGCATGGCAGACAGAAAGTGGAGCGAGGTTAGTGAAGGCAAAAAAAAGAGGCAAAGGGAGACAGAAAGCAGTGAGTGAAAATCCTTCCTCTAAATACACCGAACCCCCAGACCCCAAAACACCAGCATCAAACATTTCTAACGACAACACTTCTCATATTTTAAGTTTAACTTCACTGCTCTGTTAGTTCCTTTGACAGTCGTCCATCTAATGTTTTAAGTAAATCGTCAAAAGTTGATTGTTGTCACTCGGTCGACGCACAAGTCTCATTTGAGATACAGAAAAATATCAAAATCTATCAAAAAAGGAGAATGATCTCCGCGAATCTATTAAATTGTCTCTAAGAAGTGGATCTATGTGAATAAAAAAGCTGACCTGTTTGAACTGCAGGCACTCGATAACAACCACCTCATCTCACATGCAGAAAAAAATAGAGAAAAAAAACTCCGTCACTACTATTAAGGACATCACTTACTGTAAGGTCAAACGGCATATGACAAACTTACCGGCTATTTTGTGTCTATCAAACACGCTCCTAATAAGTGAAAAAGTCTGCCATTTCTCCAAGCTTTGGTGAAATTAAGTTACCACAAAAAGCACCGTGTCTGCCACGGTCTCCCGTATTGATTTTTTCCCTCCTAAGCCAGCATAGGTGCCGTGTGCATTTGTTGACACTGCCGACTGAGCTTCTCCTCTGCTCCAGCCTGGCTGCTCCTGCACCTCCCGCTCAAAACCGGGCGAAAAAATACACTCCAATATTGTCTAACTTTGATTTACAGACCCTCAGTAAAGTGTCTCCTCCATGCTGAATAATTTTCCATCGAGTCTTCTCTTTGAAAATATTTCCCTTTCACCTCATGCATAAAACACAAGACTGTACGGGCGCATTTCTTTTACCGTTACAGCGCAGCAAAGTCAGAAATCCCTCTATACGTGTTAGCAGGCTAAGCTAGCAGGCTAGCTGCTAGGAGAAGTAGAAGCTGGCAAAGCTGGCCAAATGGCTAACGTCTCCCCGCCACGGTCGGTCTCTCCTCCTTTCCGCGTATTCCTCTCCTCAGGTCCGTTTAAACAGTCCGGTAAAATGGAATTAAAATAGTTTGCGGCGTAAATTACCTGTGTTCCCACTGAAAGTACGCGAGTCCTCTTTCTTAAAAGCGCAGTTTAATTTTGAGCGCTCGGTTTCTCCTCCGTCTCAGCGACAGCTTTCCATATTCGCAGCATCCTCTCTCCGCAGCTGCTGAGGCAATCGCTGCTCACTCGAAAATGGCGCCGAAAGATACACTCCTCATTCAAATTCGATAGAGCCTCCCATTCTCCTTATTGGCTGGATGCGGAGTGGACTCCGCGCAGCTGATTGGACGCTGAAAATGCACTCTCGAATGATCGCGCAGCCCACGCAGCGTTGAACAGAGAGAGACAAATTAACCCTTTAGGTCCCTCAGCAACTTTTAACAACCACCGCTGTTAAATCCTTTACGTACCAACTTGTTCAAACCAGTTTTTTAAAATGAAACCAATGCCCCGATTCTAAGCAAACCCCTAACAACCATTGCACCGGGCAGCCTTCTACAGCCACAACATGTATCTCCAACACAGGAAAGACCACAAGAAAAAAAAAAGTAGAAGCTTGAAAGTAGTCAGAAGTGCACTGAGGGCAAGAGCAGAGACATTACCAGACATATTAGTCACACTGCATTCATAAGCAGAACTAATACTTAATATTATAGTAAAAATATCCTTGCACGTGATTCCTTGGCCTTATGTTATAACTGGCACAGGGTATTGTAAGCTTCTCCATCAGGTCTCACAACTTGTTTCTGAAATGTTTACAGACAGCTACGAAGCCTGTACAGCCAATGGTTCTGACTGAGTTAAGGAAATGACAGAGATGCAACTGGCCTTCTGATTGCAATACACTGTTCTTTACTTATATGCTCAGGATTAAGTCCGCTGTTGCACTTTAATCCACTGATCATTCCTCCAAACACCCTGTAAGTGGTGGCCTGCAAACAAGGACATTCAGTTTGGCACGTAGAGTATTAAGTACTTTTAGTTTAACTTTTTCCTTTTCTCTTGAATTACAGGGGTATAATTACTGATTATCAGATTATGTGTCCTTGTGTAAAAAAAATGGATAAATAAATAAGTGACTCATTAAATCCAATGACTGAAAGAGTAAACAAGTGACCATTTGGGCCTGGTGTCCCTTGCCATTTGAGATCCTTATGATTCATTTAAAATCCAACAAGACATTTCCCTACAAAACATTCCTGTGGGTTTCATTTGTAATGAAGTCAGAGGCTAAAGAGGTCAAAAACATCAGGCAACCACTCAGATCTATCCTGTGTATACCACACAAAATCTATACGTTGAAAATATAACAGTATGAGATGACGCACAAAAACTGTGAGGTACGGTTCATTTAGAATATTTTTGATGCTTTGGGTAAGTCACTGATCAAATTATGTTCTCTTTGAATGTCAGACTTTTACTTTTAATTGAATATTTTCACATTAATCTTCTCTCAAGTAGCGAAGTTTTGATCTCCCTCCACGTCTGTGTCCTTTAACAATATAACTCAGGATGTTTTCCACCCTTTACATCAGGGCACACATACATCTTTTTAAATGTTGACACATAAACACACTTTACATTTTACAGGAAGCCTGCTGGCATTTATAAGTCTATATCACACAGCACACCATATACATGAGGACAGTGTAAGGCACACACTCTGTCTTACTGGCATGAAAAATGCTGAATACAATACAATACTTTCGCAACACTCTTCCTATGAGAGCAATGAATGTCTATTCATAGTGTGTTCCTTATTTACAGAATATATCTGCAGTTAGCACAATAGCTCTTGTCTTTGAGTGACAGGCCCATCAAAAACAAAAGCCAAATAAAACACATTTTCAGCCAACATTGACAGGAGTTAGCAGCTTGTATATGTGTATTATTAGGTTGCAAAAAAAGGAATCAGTGCAATCACACCTAAGGCTGAAGTGACGCAAACCAAACCATGAAAGATGTCAAGGAACCGAGAGCAATAAGAGCCTTAACTTTGAGGTAAAAAAGCTGTGGCTCACTCAGCAGTTCTCCTTCCACTCTGTCTTAGTTTATTTTCTACAGTTTGAATGAGGACATTGCTTCCTTATCTGAAATTGCTGTGACATCACATTGCCCTCTCTAATTTTAATGAAGTTTCTTTTTCAGTTGCGCCATTTCTTCAACTTTTGACTGATTCCTTGTCAACACCTTTCAAATATACTTCCATATCGAGCTAAATGAAACAAATTCCATAAGTAAAGTACATGGCATAACCACTTTTTGTCAATTTGAGATAAGCTTGGTGACACCACACAGGCGCACACACACACACACACACACACACATACACACACACACACACACAAACACACACTCTCTCTCGCTCTCTCTCCCTCACACACACACACAGAGCAGTGGTATACATGCAACGGCCAAAGCAGGGCCGGGCTGGGCTCTGCCACAATAACCCTGCTGTTATCATATCTGCTGTAGCATAGTGTACCTCGGGCAAGATAAACAGAGACAGCCATTTCATCCCAATGCACACATAATAACAATACATAACATTCACCTGCTCTGTCAGTAGTAGGCTGCTTTGGAAAAAGCTGCAACCTGCCTTTAGATTTAGGGTGTGTCAAAGTGAAAAATAAACTAATCTTGTGGATGCAATTATTTTAAAATAAAACAGCTGAAGATGTCATCGACTTTTTTCGGTGGTAAAGGCGGTTTAAAAACTTGACAATTCTGTAAAGCATTGCATTACGTGAAAGTACATAAGGGTTTTTACTTTGGAGTACAAGAGCAGCCCGGGAGAGAGAGGGCGCCCATTGTGTGTGCATTCTGGTGTAGTGTGGACAATGGGGCGGAGAGGAAAAAAACACACTTGTTTACAGATAAACTGGTTTGGACAGGAAGCCAGTAAGGAGGAGCTCTGTGTTGTTAAACAGGCATGTGGAGAGGCAGGGATGAGCCAGCAAAAACACTACCGTGACCATAGGGAAGATCATGATGCGTTGCTCAAAGACATCTTGCACATACACACTCTCATGCATGTATTTGAATCTAGTACAAATGCAGACTTTGCAGAAATGAGAGTTTCACAAAGATTACTCAGAAGGCCAAACTGTAGAGCAAGTACAGCAGAAGCTGTGGTTTGGTTGGTTTCACTATGACAAAAATTAACAAGATAAAAAGACGCCCATGGGCCCCTATTAGTGGTGCCAAACAGTAGCCAAGCTGAGCTCTGGTGAATACTATACAGTTCATCCTGCATTGTGTCACCGTCACATGAGCACACACTGCCTTCCATTAGGGCAGGAGATCCTTATGACTCACGAAAACACAAGTCACATGTCACTACACAAATGAACCATGCTACTCTGGCTGCTCTGTTATCCACGGCAGCTTTTCAGCGCGCCCAAATGAAATCACATCATAATGCATCTCTTCATTAGGAGGGTCGAGACCGAGTGGAGCTCTCCCTTGTCTTCTACTAGATGAGCTGAACAAGAGCCGCAGTGTCATGTGTCTTGGTGTTTGGACACAGCGGGTAACGAAACCTCGGCTGCAAAAGTTGCCACGCTGGGGCAGTTTTAGTTCAATGTAATTTGATTTCATGTTAGATGACTTGCGTGCATGCTTGGCTGTTACACTCAGCTGCTTCTCATTCAATGAGGAGTTTTACGGCTTTTTTTCCCTCCCTCACTCTTCCTCTCTCTCTCTCTCCCTCTCTCTCTCTTTCTCTCTTTCTCTCATGTGATGGCCTTTCACACCACCACCAGACATGGCTGCATCACATCAAACAGACAGGAGCACAAGCAGCGGCTCACAACACACTGCAAGGGGTTAAAAGCGTGAATTTAGGGCAAATCCTTCTATTTATGAGGAGAAAATATGGATAAAAGAATGAATGGCATCTCTGAACACACTGCGGAAAAGGTTGATCGAGGTCAAAGGTCAAATAAAACCAAATATAAGTGCATCAGCTAAAAATTTAGTGCTTTAATGTCAACTTAAGACACCAGCGGGTAATGTCACGTCACTTTTGCAAAACATGCTCTAGACAGTGACGTCGACCTTTGTAAAAGAAGCATCATGCTAAATTGAAATCATCAGGTTTAGAATCTGGCTCACAGCAGGGCATCTTTACACATACAACAACGTTTTTGTGTTTGGGTACAATTAAAGTGAAAAAAAGTATGAGAAAATAAAGCAAGTTTAGTTTACCACTCCTTTACAAAGCAGTAAAAGGAAAATCAAACTATACTATGAAAAAACCTGCAATACGTGACTTAAAACAGCTGCACAGTTCGTGCAGGATTGAGCATGCAGATATCCTCGTCTCACCTTGTTACTTTGCCGCCGATCCATAAATTAATTTATGCGCCGAAAACACTTAAAGTGTGAAAATAAATGACCACTGAGCTAAATTTTAAGCAATCATCCACAGAAAAATATTTTTACTGGCTGCTTGAATTTTACAAAAAGCATGAAAGGAAAAACCAAAACTGAGTTTTTTCCTTTTATATACAACCCAAAAAAGAAGGCAAAAGTTAGAAAACATCCTAACTCTTCAACTTGTCATAAACTTTTGTAAATAAGGCAAATATTGAAGGATATTTGGCTGTATTTCCAAAAAGACAATTCCCTCTGAAAGTACTGCAGGCATAAAACAGCCCAGCAGCCGAAGTGAGCAACACTTTCACACACAGTACAAGAGACTATAAGCTTACTATATTAATGTGGCCTATTCCCTCGTCTTGGTCTTTAGAGAACACAATGAGCCCCACTGAGAACTCCAGACTAGAGAGAGACTCTCCATTGATGTCTCCTCGGCTCCCCTCCCCCTCTCTCTATGAGACATCTGTAGCAGCTGCCCCCTTGTGCTCCTGTCAGCAGGGCACAGTGTGTGTGTTTGCGTGTGTGTCGAGGTGGGGTTAGCAGGGAGGTTAGTGCGGGGCGTGTTGTGACACCTCCCCCTTTGGAGGGGTCCGGCCCGCACACTTGTGGGACATCACATTTATCAATGGCTAATAGTCACTAGCAGGTCACCCTGAAAACACAACAGCGACCTCTAACCTCTTTTTAGCACAAAGGCTGAGAGGTGATCACACCAGCCCTGAGGCACTTTAAAAAAGTGCAAATACACACACTCTCTCTCTCTCTCTCACACACACACACCTTATTCACACGGGAATCAGAAATAATTATAAAATATTGTTTCTTGTTGTGCTTTTTAACAAACTTTGCTTTAACTTAATCCCATGACAAATAAAGTGTTCAGCCAAATAAAAGTGTAAAAAAGAGCCTTATGTGAGGGTCCTGCTAAACATTGTCACATGCTTGGCCAGCGAGATATCACAGCACAAGAAGCCCTTTTTATTTAGTCTCTGTATAATCTTACAGACATTCTCACACATAGCAATCAAATTAAGAGAGTATAATTCATCGAGCAGTCTGAAATTCAATTACAAACAGGGACAAATTAAGGGGGAAAACTCAGCTGAGCCGCATGGTTAAAAGAAAAGAGAACGGATAGAAGCGCTTGGACTAGAGGAGAGAAATGATGTTTAAGTTGAAGACGCTTGGTTTTAGACTCCGCATGAATATTGTCTGTCGAAAATGTTTATTTGAGGTGGTCAAAACTGCCAAAACGTGACTTTTCACTGATGACATTGCCAAGAGCGACTTGATTTTTCTCAAACTTGTGATTTCTAACTTTTTCCTATCAAGCTAAGAGACCCCACTCTTTTAGTCTGAGGTCTATGAGGATCAAATGAGATAACCAGTAACCTCACAGATTTGCATTATTGCACCTGGCGCCCTGATCTGATGTTTTCACCTGAGAAAAACTGTTTACCACTCATTTGGAAATAAAATGTTGTCTCATTCTTTGTAAAGGTTTGAATTGCAGACACAATATTTATCTTGTTGTTTCCTGTTGTAGTTTTATTTCATCTTGATGCTTGCTCACACTCATCACTGTACATGGTTTTGTCTTTACTGAGGCAGACTACTGCGAGGGATTAAAGAGAAGGCTAAACATAAGCAAGATCTAATCCTGAGCATTCAGGGGTACAGAGAGGCCTTGAAGAATAAGTTTTGGATGGCTGATGCTCAGAGACTGTTGGTTTATGCTACTTTCTGCCTTTTTTTACTTTATCACTAGATTTGATGACAGTCAAGCTGAAAAATGAAGCCAAGCGTCTTCACCACAGGATTAATATCCTCCAGTGATGGAAATGACATAAAAAACACAAACAGAGAAAAACCTACAAGTGTGCAGGTCACGCTGACAGACAAGTGTATCCCCAATCAACAAAAAATATACCATAAATTTTCTAAAGACATGAGCTCCAATAGACTATATGTGTCAGGATAGGCTTTTTGATTTTTTTTAGTATCAAACTAGACTATTCCAAAAGACACTTCAAGTCTATCCACTGAATTTCACACAATAAAGATCTAGCCTGGGTTTAGTTTATAGCATGCAGTATAATTTTCTACTCCAGTATGCATTTAAAAATCTTTGCAGGTTTCCTTAATTGCAGGAGTATTGTTCCAACATGCTCATGCAGTGTAAATATCGGCATCAAAATAACTTTAAGAATGAGTGTGTGTTCTTAAATTAACCTGAAATTTGTGTCCAGAGACATTTGCAAAACAAATACAACACACCACTCTTAACTAAGAGTAACTCATGTCCCTCTCATAGGTTTAAATATCTAAATTGTTCTTTGTTTCACATTTCAATGGGTGAACCTAACAAATGCATGCGGTACACAGCCTCTCATTTTCCCCCACGTTCATAAGATCAGAGCTCATGAAGCGCTATCTCATCAGTAGCCGATCAGAGACGCTATTTTCAGTGGTGTTACTGTGAGAAAGCTGTATCGTAATCTATGTGTAGGATTTCTATTAGTCATCTCACACATTCAGTCATTACAAAGCTGACTTTTAGGTGATGCTATAAGCTGCTAAGCTTCTTCACACTGCGCTCTACAGCAAACATAACTGTGTCGTCGAGTAACATTCACTCGGTATAACAATATATTCTTATTCTTCAGTAAACAGTCTATTAAACATGAACACCTACAGACTTACATCAAGGAAAAAGTCCACACAGCTTGTCTGAACTCTGGTATACCTCTCTTGTCCGATGATTTTTAGCTCTCAAGTAAAAGAGAAGCATCCAAAATAAAGGGTCTGTTGTTATTATTATACATTTAAGGTATAATTTGCTTAATTAGAACTGGAGCAGGTATCCTTGATCTTTAAACTGACATAGTTAAGAATATTTTAGAATAAGAGCATAATTTCCAGATAAAGTCAGGAGATTTTTTTTTCTTTTTTTGGTTACATGAAGATGGATAAACTTAAATGCTCCCACATATTCTAGGTCCTATTGTGGGAACTTACAGGATCTGGTATAAAGTGTTAAAATATGCAATGTTACATCGATACAACAAAGATTATTTTTTCAGCATCATGTTTTCATGAGATAATGGATCACTACTTCTCCCGCTACTTTAAGCAGTAATGCAGCTCAGCATAAGGCATCTAGCATTTCTTTATTAATGTGACCAAAACTGGTTCTGTTAGCAGCCCGTCTCAATCCTTTGACAAAAAGCTACTGTCTGTCAATTGAATTTTCTATTGTTTTTATTCTGTGGCATTTTTACAGGTTTACTCTTGAGACGGACTCGGGTGTGTTTTGAGCACAATGGCAAAGCTGAGACACAGCACCTAACTGCCTTTTCAAAGTAAAAATAATGTTAATAATCGATAATTTGGAAAGGGGGAAGTGGTGATTTTTATCTTCTTTCAACATTTGATGCTGGTGTATGGTTGTAGTTCAGCAGAAGGCCTAAACTGGAGAAATGTGAAGGCCTATTTTTTCAAAACTTGAGCAATCTGAATAAAATGTTAAAATCAATAAAAAAAGCAAAACTTTTTGCCAAGGAGTGCTCAACAGAAGTTTCTCTGAGTCTTTGCAGAGCTGTAAACAACAGCAAAGTCAGCTAATGATGAGAAATTTCACGTTGTCTTGTTAACTCAAAAGAAGTGTTTTACAGCAAAGACTAATAATCAGTTAAAAAAGAAAGCATAATTTGACAGACAATATCATTTTACATCGATAATCTGTCAGTATATCAGATAAAAGGATGCATGACCCTGTCTGTACAAACACTACAGTAAAGACAGTCATATTTAGTGCGAATCCAAAGCAGACAGCATCTATGTCAAAGAGGAAAGTGGTTAGAAACCAGTTATATGCTCTAAAATCCAGACTGGAAGCTCCAAAAACAAAACTAATGTATTCATTGTCCTGCTTCTGGACTACAAATTGAAAATCCCAGCGGAAGTCCCGCCCCCTACAGTCCTCTGTTGCACCTCGATGATGTAACCACTTTCCAAATATAGCGTGTTGCTGATGGCTACGCGGCGTCCCGATTGGCCGAGCTCCCTGTCAGTCACGTGACGTCACCGCGGTCGTGTTATTATTGTAAACAGCCCGCCTGCTCTCCACCGACGCTCTGTGCCGACTACTCCATCCAGTCCTTTGTTCATGCAGCGAAAACACCGACGCGACAAAGCGCCGAGCTCGTCCGCCCCAAACTGCGGAGCGAAAAACCTCAAAGTAAAGTTACACACAGCGGCTAAAACCATGACAACATGTCGCTTTCATACATTTGTTCGCTGCTATGTTGAGGTAGTCGGTCAGGATGTTCAGGCAACCGGCGACTGCTCAATGCTGCTGTATGAATAACAATAATAAACTGGTACCCTGTCAGTGCAAACGATACTACAGCATGTTTACACAGTCAACTTACAGAAACTTCCTCAAAAGATATGAAATAAAACCCAACTGCTGCTTTTATAGAGGAGCAGCTGTGATAATAAAGCCTCGTTACCAATGGCACCCAAATGTCACATTGTTTGTGAAGAGTACTGTCATTTTTGAAAACACCATGCACATCACCCCCCTACAAAACAATCAATAGAAAGGCCTGTAACTTATTTCCTACCTTCTCAGTTCGACAGAGCTGCATTCAGGGGACTTTACTTTGTGCCTTTGTATCGCAACATACCGCCAAAAACGACTTTCTTTTGGGGAGCCTGTCACTAGACTCCAACAAACTGAACTAGTCGCGAGGTCACACAGTAAAAGTTGAAATGACTCCACTGAATGTTTAATGGCACTTACTCGGTCGCCTGGGTGCGTTCCGGAGTGCTCGACTGCATCTCTCTCTCCCTCTCTCTCGCTCTCTCTCTCGCTCCCTCTCTCTCTCTCGCTGCTCAGCCGGCCACCGGTGACACCCTCACCTCGACGTTTCTCTCCCCCAGCCAAGTTAACAACGAGATCCCATTCTCCAACCAAGTGCAGTTTCAGCAAAGCTTCAAGGAAGTTGTTTCTTTTGTTCCAGTATTTTTCGGTTGCGTCAATGTTGCGAAAAGGGGGGGAGGAGGCGGAGCGGTGGATACGAGGCTACAGAGAGCGACCGAGAGAGAGAAAGAAGAAAAAAACACACACACATACACACATCAGAGCGCACTATAGCCTAGTTCGTACGCCTGGCCACCGACGCATAGAAACCCCCTCATCCAAATCCGTGTTAAACTCGTGTAGCACGCTCGGCTCACGTGTCTGGGACGAGCAGCATCCCTTCAAAGTGAAGCAGACGAGCGAGACAGCGCGGGTGCCTATCGCCGGGTGCGATAGGCTATCCAGGATCAGGCTACTACAGGTCTGTGCGCCCCGTGCGCGCGGAGAGGAGCGGGTGCATTGGCAGAGCCCGTCTCCGTAACTTGGATTTCCTTCCAACTCTGCACCCAAAACGCAAAACAGGCGATTTCTTCTTTGCGCTTTACGGCACAAAGACGCTCTCCTTCTGTTATTCCATCGCGAGCGCATGCAGCCTTCACGCCTTTCGATTCAAACTCTACCAGTTCCCGGACAGTGCAGGGCGGTAACGAGACCCCTTAGTAACGCGTTACCACGTTTAAGGAGTAGCAGTGCAACTTGATTTTCCCTTTACGCACAAATAATTCGCTATCTCCCGTCTTGGAGTTGAGTTATTATCTAATCGATCAACCCGCTGCTCTTTGTCATAAATTCCAGGTAGCAAAAAGTTCACTCTCACTAAAGGGAAGCGTGTCTTATCAGCCGAAAAAAAGATGCAAAACATTTTGGAGAGCACCGGCAGACGGGGTTATTAGTTTTCCTGCTTCCTGGTGCAAAACCCAGGACGCCAGTGCAATGCAACAAGTACAGAAGCAACTGAAGCATTTGTAAGTCTGTTGCAGAAAATACAAGTCCAACAAAAACCCTGAAAATACTCTTTGATGTAACGCCTGGGTTCTTGAGACCGAGCGAGGGGAGAGCTGAGACGGCTTACTATGCAGAAATAGGATCACGTTGGTGGTTCATCGGATAAAAAGGTGAGCTCCCTGTTTTCCCGCCGCTCTTACAGTAGCGTTGCGTCAGGAAGTTGCTGGTGTCAGTGAAGTCACCATCAAGACGCCCTGCTCTCCATCCAACCCCGCCGACTGGCAGCATGCGCTAAAGGAAGAGCGCTTAGATCATTTTCTATATCAAATGGAAATGCCTTCAGCTCCCTTAAACGACCTTGAAAGTGTTGACCCCACTGCACCAGAGCCTGATACAAAGCGTGGGGTTAGATTAAATAAAAAAAAGAGACAGGTTTAAGGTTAGAGAGGGCGAAATGTGCAGGTTGCATGTGGTCAAAAAAAGATTACAGTGGGGGAGGAGAAGCACGTCTGAAGAGTGTCACATTATCATGAGGAGATATGACACAAACGTGGACATACAAAGGGCTCATTAGAGAAATTCCACATGCAAATAGGCCTGCAGCTTCAGGCCTCCTGCTGTAGTTCTACTGGCGTTGTGCTTGGTGAAATGTAATGGTTCACAGTGAAATTATGATTAAGATTTGCAGTGGGAAGTTTGGAAGATTCTGTAAAAGCATCTCCACATTATAAACACAAACTGAAAGCTGAGGGGAGAGTGACTCTGCAACACTTTGGACAACTACCTGCCCGCGTAAAGGCGCAGGAAGAGAGGTCCTTTTGAGTGACATTTCGCAGACTTTTCTTTGTGATGCCTGCGAAAGATACCCATTGGTGGCATATGTTGAAACTTTGGAAGGTTTTAACAATTAAAAAAACTTTTTCTCAAAGTGGACAGATTGAAGCAGCAACCCGAGTAACGTGGAGAGAAAGAAAAGGAAAGGCGTTGTTTGGTATGAGGTACTTAAAATCCAAATGTTGGTCTTAAATCTCTGGACAATTCAGGGTGTCGTATCATCATTGACAGGGTGAGGGATATTTTAAATCCTATAAAGCCCACCTCACGTGCAGGGGAGGATTTTACTCACTCTTGTTTCACATTTTATTCTAACAGCATGTCAAAGCGAGCCTTTTCCACGCCACAGGTCATTTGTGGGAGACGACAAAACATTACGAGGGACAAGAGAAAAAGTTTGAAACATTATCATAGATATGTCTAAAGCTCCTGGAAATTTCATGAAATATAAATTCACATTTCACCAGCACCAAATACGGAGTCATTTTAAAGATTTCACGAGCATTATAGAGTCTGGTTTTAGTCATATTTGAGGGACTGATTTGGACATTGCTTTGAAATATCAGTAATCTGTAATATGCACGTAGTCGTTTAATTTTTGAGGTGAAGCTTTAGATAAAATCACAATTTTCTACCCGTTTTTTGGATACACATACGCGCATGAATTGAAAAGGAAAATTTGACCGAAGAGTGGGCTTAATGATCCAAGAAGATGGTCACCGTCCAGTTTTGAGAAGTGAAAGTAAAATCTTTGTTTGAGATGGTAAGAATTTGCGCACGAAATCAACTAAAACTGACCTGAGAGGGCTGAAAAACCGGAGTGACAGGTCCTAATTCATACATAATAAAATTTTCTGCCTATTTGTTGTCCATTAATCACCCATACAGACTGTGTGTAAGTGAACCTCGCTTTAGGTTCCACGCGCTCTGTGCGTAAATACATCTCACATAGGTGCAGAAAAGTAAACAAAATTGTTGAAGTGCTCGCTCTCACTCTCTATCTGAGCGCGCGTGTGTTTTGGGGAGTGTCACGCTCACAGCTCTACAGCAGGCTTTGAATATCTGCCCGATGTGTGGGCTGATGCACAGTCAGAATGCAAAGAAGAAACAGTAAACAGGCACAATAATCTGATGGGCTGCGGTTCTCCCTTAAAGGTCATCGATGAAGAACAAAACTGCAATGAGTGCGCCGAAATAGATGTGGAGATATTGTTTTTTTTTATTTCTACTTTCAGATCTGTCCACCAATCTGGTCCAAACAAACACACACAGGCATGCTTAGAAGAAAAAAGTTTTTTTTTCCTCTGGGGTTCATTCGTTGATCGCTTTGCACCAGACATATTTTGGACCAACTAGTTGCACAGAAAACCTGTCGTCTTTTAAAAAGTTAAGAAAGACGTGTCCCACTCTCAGGTTTGCAACCAGCAAATAATACCCTTCACTGCAAATTAAGTTTCAGAGAAATATACGTGTCTGATTTGTGGAGGAGCAAAAATTTAGGCGCACAGCCCTGCAACCAATCACAGAAAAAAACGCATATACATGTAACTTCACATTATCAGACTCTGTTCAAGATTTCACTCAGTTATTTAAAATCTATTCAAGGCATACACAGTGCAAATGCAAGTAAAAAAAGCACAGAAGGAGTGTGTTCAATTATGCAAGAGCAGGGCAGTTAAAAAAACATCACACCTTTTGTTTTACTTGGCTCAGATATTTAGAATATGAGCAGCAACTGAAAGGTCATATCACGTGGGAGGAATCTATATGACTCAAAGTGAAAAATTCAGCAGCCTGTGTGTGTTTGTGTGTGTGTGTCTGAGTGCGTGAGTGTCTAATTGTGCACATGACAGACTGATGCAATTCATTAGCAGCTGTGAAGAAGTATAAAGGTTGTAGGGTTTGCAGAGAGTTGACAAAATATGTGTCTTTTTCTTGAAAAATGTGGTTTGATTTCCAGAGAAAGCCAACCAAAACTTATATGCATCTCAACATTAACTGTAGCTTAAATCTAGGAGTATGTTCTGCCAATTACCTGCATCTATTGGCAAGACAGGGACTGTAATTTCCTATAAAGTTAATTGCAACTTCAAAAATTGAAAGAGTAGGACAACTTGACTTGTTTTCATTCATGTTATAGACTGAACGTGCTCTCCAGCTGGCAAACATACTCACTGTCTCTCTGTCATTGATATCCTGGTTAGCTGCGGTGTATCCTAGATCAATGATCTTCACTCAATTAACCTGATGGATAAAATGTCACAGAGGTTACATGGGGTTGAGTGCATGAACCTATTGTCTGAGTGAATAAGTTTACACCCAAGGCTGTGTGTTTCTGTCTGTCTGTCTGTCTGTCTAAGGGCCCCTGCAGAGGAGACAGTGGGTGAGGCCTATGTCCCTGTGTCCAGAGCAGAACTAGGTCAACAGAGACCGCTGCATGGTTGGTGAGTTGGAACGATGCAGCTCTCTCACACACACAGAAAAGAAAAGGAGAAAAAAAATGCAGGGGAAGAAAATCCTTGCCTTACATTGAGGGATAATTAGAGGCTCTTTGACCTATTTGTCCCCTTAAATAAACTGCTGGTCATTTAGTCGGGAGTGGGCTGAGAGTCGAGCCCTTCACTGAACCCCTCCAATTACGCTTTTTGATCACAAACTGAGTTCAAAAGTTTCCCTATTCTCTTCTGGTCTTTACTGTCACAACAGTCTGACATCTGAGAGAAATGCAAAAGCCGTTTCAGTGTTTACCATAACAAAAAGATATAGGGTGTATTTAGCTGTACAGCTTTGGCAGTTGCAGACGAAGGCTGGCTGAGAGGTGGGGCAAAATACAGCACGAGCGGTATACGGTGTGGCACCAGTGGACAAAATATTTCTAGTGTGTTGGGCAACACTGTATGTGGCACAATAGTTTTTTTCACCAGCCATTCACTCTCGGGGTGGGGGCAAATGATTTGAGTATGACTGGAAGTGCACCTGAAGGCTGTAAATCACATTTTCCTCTCTGGAAAGGGTCCTTTCACATCATCTTCTGCACCTTGTAAAGAACTGTCAGACCTTTTTCTCTTTAGATATCAATTTTGGGGATGCTTTTATGCCTTTATATTGAGAGGATAGGGCAGTAGATAGAGCAGGACACTGGCAGAGTGAGTAGGGGGAGGCCTCTGGGACTTGCTGCAAACTGGAATCAAACCTGGGCCGCCAGCTTGACAACAATTGCCTCTGTACATGGGGTGCCAGCTCAAACCTTTGGCTTTTTTTTCTACAGGAAAGTCATGCAACCAGGGGAGCACTTAATCATGTTTTCTCCTATAGAAATCAGTCCTGTATGGCTTGCGATCATGCTTTCTCCTTGTTACGGGAATTGTAGGTTATGCTTTACTGTATAGATACATTTTCCCATCAAGAAGTCACCCTATGGAATTAATTCTTGAGTTTCTCCTCTTGGAAAGTATCTTGGAGTACTTTTAGCGAAGTTTTCTCCACTACAATTGTACCTCACTGGACACTTTGTGACATTTCCACACTGGACAGAAGAGGGGCAAGTTGTCACATATTCTTTCACCAACAGAGGGTGACTCTAAAGGGCAAATTATGAAAGTTCCTCGCCTGTGAAGACATCCTAGAACAACTCTGAATTTTTTTTCCCACAAATAGTGCTGCTTTTATTTTCTCCATTGCATGGACAATCTGGCAATCTTTTTGACTTTTTCTTCCAAGAGAGGGGCTCATTATTACATTTTTACTACTGGAAGGGCATCCTGGAAGAAGCTATATCATAACATTTTTTCTGAGAAAGTTACATCCAAGAGGACACATCTTGACACTTCCTCAACTTAAAGGAACCATGGGTAGGTAGGTAGTCATCCTATTTTCTCCATTAAAATGGCTTCTCTTCATGATATTTATTCAGAAGGTACCACAGAGGAGACTTTTTGACCTTCTTCATATTGGAGAAGCAGGCCTGGGGGCACCAAGTTGTTTGTTTTTTGGAGTCTGGGAAATCTAAGATACAAATGCATCAAGTTTCTCCTCTGGAAGGCCATCCAGTTGTACCATCATCACATTTTCTCCACTAGATTGGTGCACTTGAGAGCCTTTGGGTGTTTTTTTCAGAGACAATCAATGGGACACTATGGTATAGTATAAAACAATTCAATACAATAGATTTGTCTAAATACAATACAAAGCGGTATGCTACAACACATTTTCTCCACTGAAAGGGCATGTTAACATCTCAAGTCCAGCTGGTTACTAACTCGTGTTTTCTCCATTTTAAAGGCAGCCTTGAGCTTAATTGAATTTTCTCCACTTTATTTCCCTTCAAGAGGAGACTGAATTAGGATATCCTTGTGCACCTGACCACGTTTTCTCCACTAGGAGAAGACCACCTCATTGGTTTCTTCATTTAATTTTCACAGACAGCATGGCTTCCAACACTTCCTCTGTCACCACCTATGTTAACTGCTGTATTAATTTATTGTAGCCTGTCTCTAAAAGTTAGTCACACAAACATCTTGAAACAGTTATTATCCTTTCACTGTCTCTTATTGCCTGGGGGTAATTGTGTCTCAACAGCCATTAGTATGATTTTAATAGCAAAGCTTATATGTAACCTCAGTACAGGAGCCAATAAAACAAGAAGGAAATCTATCCTGAGCAGAGATAAAGTTACTGAGCTTGAGGGGAATGAGTCATTTACTGTTTGAAAGCCTGTCAACATTTTCTTGTTTTCTCCTATTACTTGTAAAGTTATGTAATGTGGATAGTAGAACCTGACACAAGCTGAGAGGGAATCACACACATGAAGACCCTTGATGCAGCACAGCTATATGCACAGTGGGTGTCCCATATTCGCAGAGTGCTTATAGGTTGGTGTCCATAGGGACTGTGAGTGTTCCTGCGATAAGTTCCCTGACCTGCTCTACTCTGTCTGTCAGCACAATGGGGATCAACAAGTTACTAAGCAACCTGAGCCAAACAAATATTCTGCAGAAAACTTTAACACGGTGGCAAATCACGACTGTGCTCTGTTACAGCTGACCTACAAAGGCTTACATATGAAAATCAAACCTACCTGAAGAGCTGGATGACGTGATCAGACCACTGCCTCAAACTTGAATCCTGCTTCCTCTTGTTTCTCATTTGGACATTTGCATGCGCACAGCGAGAGTGTGCGCAGGAGTGATAAAGGCGCAGGGAGAAAACACGTGAAGTGACCAAACTATCTCCTGTTGGAGGGCTTGAGTTGGTGCCTCATGAGTGAGGCCTATGACTAAGATCGGAAGAGAGTAGGAGTACGGCTGTGCCAATGTTGCCATACCAATACTGCAGAGAAAGGAAAGAAGCTGGAGAAGAGTGGACCATTATGGGCAGTGTGTGGAGAGTGGGATCGTAGTAAAGCTCTTCCTTATGTATGTACATAGAATCACCCTGACCCTACTATAACATGATAGTTAAACATGCCATGTGTGAGAGATCCGGGTGTTGTTCATACATTATGTACAGTGTGTGTAAATCCATGTCTGTGGTTGTGAATTATTGACTCATTGTGTTCATTAGATAGTCTATGTGTCATGCATTGTAGTTTTTCAGGCGTGGACTAGCATGCGAGCTTTCAATCCAACAAAAGAAAATGAAGTAAAGGGACTTAAAGGGGAAGTAATCACTAAAATGGTCCGCTTCCTCTTCTGTGTTCTAAGTATAACTTCTTAGTTGTACACAAGTGATTGCGCTTAAGCCAACTTTTAAAGTCAGGAGTCCGTCAAATCTGTGCATGCATGACATTAATGTTGTTTATTAAAACATAGCTGTGAGTAATAACCCTCCCAAGAATAGAGAGAAAGAAAAAAAAGGAATTTCACAGCGTCATCTTCATTGGCTATTTTATTTGATTATGCCTGAGCAAAATTTTCCTCCATTGTGTGGACTCACACCCTCACATCACGACAAGCCCTCCCTCATTCCCTTCCTATCTCTCATCCCTGCTCCTCTCTGTCCCACACTACATGCCTCTCTATTTATACTGTTGAGTCAGTTTGCCACTGACAGCAGTGAGCGATAAGCAAGATTGAATCATCACGTATGAGAAACACAAGCTTCCATCTATCAATACACCTTCTTTAAAGGAAACTTCTGCAAGGTCTTCAAAGTGTTTCAAAGATGTGACAGCTACAAATAGAGTGTGTACAATCATAACCTTGCTCTTCAGTAAATAGAGTAAAGAAAGCTGTATGCCCCCCCTGAGTACGACTACATCACTGTGTGCCAAGCTGAAAGTCCTCAGCATCTCCAGTGGCTCCAGGGAAGCAGAGATGTATCACTCCTGCAGGATACTGGTCCTTAGGTGTCTGGTTTCAGATGGCGGGCATGCTGCGAGCACAGTGTGGAGCACAGCACAGCCAAGTGGACAACAATGGAAACACGCAGAGACACAGGTGTCCCTACTCACAATCCAGTGTGAGTGTGCTCATTTGGGAGCCCGTGTCTGTGTGTGAATATACTGTGATGCATATGTCCACAAACTGCGTGTCTCCCACTGAACTGTGGTGCATGTGTGTAATATCTGCTGGGTATGATGGTTTTAAGTTTGATGGGTGATTATGTGTGTTTGTATTAGCTCAGTATTGATTCCCCAGCACTCTAGCTGCACTCTCGCTGCACTCATGCATACTTCCCTCAGGACGCTAACACCTGCAAATGGAGACGAAGGAAGTATTCCTTAAAGAGAGACGTGTTGCTCTGACGGTTATTGCAAGAGAAGCAAACAATGTGAAGAAAACAAATAATATAAATTCCGATCACAGCCATTGTCCATTCCTCTTTTCCCCTCTCTTTATTTACAAGACTCTCTCTCTTCCTCTCTCCTTCTTGCTCTCTCTCTTTAACTCACTGGAGGATGCTAACCCATCAGGTCCCTTGGCTCCCCTCCATGAGATGATGTCATTTTAGATGACATCACCATGCAGTGTAAGTGTGTGTTTGTGCCCCCCCTCCACTCCTCCTCCTCCTCCTCCTCCTCCTCCTCTTGCAGCCCTCCCCCTGTTTCTTTCCTCAGAGGGAAGGTGCTGTTTGACACATACCCGTTATACCCAAACCATCGGCCAAACTGAGAGACAGACAGAGAGAGAGAGAGAGAGAGAGAGAGAGAGAGAGAGAGAGAGAGAGAGAGAGAGAGAAAGAGAGAGAGAGAGAGAAGGTAAGGAGAGTAGGGGGGGAGACAAACACGGGCTGCCAGGAAGAGAGAAACACTTCCACAATGAAAGAGGCGAGCTGGTCTTTCGCAGGAGTGGTGTGATGTGAGGGCAGAGAAAGAGGAGTGGAGGTGTGGTGAGGACTCAGGCTCAAAGGGGCAACTTTAATTACACAACACTGCAACCACCAGAACACCAAAACATTCAAAGCTTACACTATCATTATGACTGAAAGTAGTATTTGGAGGAGAGCTGCAGAGAGTCGAGATTCTGTTTTTGATCTATTGTTTGTTGTCGGCGCTGAAATTTCACAGTCTGGTGTAAAACCATGTCAAACAAATTAACATAAAGGAGCATTTCTTCATTTTAAGACGTGCTGGACATAGATCCTTGGATGCTAAACATAATGTTTAGACCTACTAGATATGAGATGAACTAATCTACCAAAAAACAGCTTAGCTTAGCCCAGAACAAAGACTGGAAACAGGAGCGAGACGCAGGGAGTCACCAGCCTGGTGTTGTCAGACCCATCAGCCAGCTCAAAATCATTTTCACAGACAGGTGAGTCTCAAACTGCTATAAATCTAAACAACTGTGATCAGTGTCAGGCATACCAGAGCCAATCGCAGTCATTTATTTAGGCTGACAACGTAGAAGCACCGCTTTAGCTTAATCAGAAACAACCAAGATGGCAACTCCGTTTGGTGGTCTGTTGATCTGCTATTTGGACAGATTAAAAGAAAATGGATGATGTCTTTTCATTTAAATGACGTCTTTCCTTCCTCTTTTAACATTTCTGTTGCTTTGTACTGCATCACCTGCTACAGCAATCTGATTGGTTGCAGGTCAGTACAGTCACTTTGTATATGACTGTTGCCAGCACACCTTGTAAAAACACAATGAACTGAACTGTCTCAGACCCTTACATCAAAGTGAATAGCTCCTCAGAAATGTGCCTTTAAAGTAAAGGTCCTTACACACCGGGAACGACACAAATATGTGACGCAAAATTAGAAAATTACAAAAAACACATCAAGCACGATGCGATTTTGCGACTTTACCGGGGGGAAAAAAAGACGCGTCCTGGGATGAAGTGAGAAGACAAAAATATACTTCAACTTAAAAGTGATGGCGAATTGGTACTCCTTTTAAAAATAATAAGAGCTACCATATGCCACAGTTACTAAAAACAGAAACACCAGACTGACAGTTTCTCAGTTCTGATTAGACTCTAGTGTTGAGATGACTGTCTGTCATGATAGCATGTACTGAGTCGGGGTCAGTACCAGATAATCACATTAAACTATAATCCATAAACGTAAGGTAACAACCGAGACCTAATGGTGCTGTGACAGCAACGCTGTGATTGAGTTTGAGACAGTGAAAATACATATGGTATGTTGTATCTGAACAGGTTAGCTTACGAGCTAAAGTTACTTAGCACAGATGAAAGTTAAAACAAAGACGTTTAGCAAACTGTTAAAGCACACAAACCATCTTCATATGAGAAATCCAACACGTAAACAATCAGCCGGTCGGCCATGTTGGATATACCGGTGAATCTGACGTCGCAGCAACACGAAATCTGACTGGTCAGAAGTGGACACACAGTATGCGAAACTTTAGAAAATTCGACCATGAAAAAATAAATGCCGCAATATCGCAGGGCGGGAAAACGTCGCTGATGTTAACGCTCACGATGTTGGATAACAGTACCGAACCTCTGCAAAGATCTATGGATGACAGCATAGTTCACTGGTTCTCTGACGACTTATTCTGAAACAAGGCCGCAACCTCACGTCAGGTTGTCATGAGCACAACGCTAAAGGACTAACCCACCTGGCAGCTCTGTCAAACATGCGCCCACCATGAAAACCTGAAAGTCTTTCACACCACTGACCACAAATTTTGTAAAAAGTAATATCCACAAACTGTGTCTACTGTGTCTTTTGGACAGCAAATCACATAAAACTACTCTATAGGTGTCCCAGACTGACATAATGAAGTGAGTAAAATTGGTCTATTTTAATATTTTCCTCTTCAACGTGAAAGTGGAAAACATCTTTCCTCTCATTTTAGTGGAAAAGCAACATTACATTTGGCCTCACAAGTGCTTTAAATAACACTCTGGTAATCAGAACTGCCACTTCTAAATTTAATCCCATGGTGCACCAGGACTTTCTTCCGCACACCAGGACTTCGTACCAGCTGCCAGTACTCTTTCCTGTCCTCTCCACATTGCAGTTTCTGTTGGCAGTTCATAATGGCACCTAAAATACATTACCCATGGCATACTGCATGACGGAGGGACATGGCACTCACTTGTCTGAAGCCCTTAATACACTGCAGCTCTACCACGGCGCTGAAAGGGAGTCCCACCATCACTATGACTATATACTTACACATTGTAGCTTGAAATGGCATAAATTTGGTGTCCCAGTGTGTGATTACACACCGCTTTACAGCATTGCGTAACACACTGTAGGAGTGCCACACACAGACAGACAGCGCTGTTCTGCCTTGCTGGCTCTGATACTTTACATCATCCTCGTCCTTCCCACTTAACGCCTCCGTGCATTACACATTTACAATTCAGTGTAACATGGACGTTAATGTCCCGCCTTGGATTGGCAGAACGTAAGCACCATATTCTAAATAGTAGTGTCTAATTCACATGACTCTACACTGACATTAGCATCAGTGCCACAAAAAAGCTATTTCTGTTGTATCCTGCAGTTGACAGGCGGGCATAAGATAGCTGTGTCCAAAATCAGAGGTAGGATCTTTCAAAAGGATCGAACCTTTCAAAGATCCAGCCTTCATAGCCTGTGCAGACCATTCACACTTGAATCACATGGCACCACTTCTGTTGCCAAAAAATGGGTTACAAGTAGGCTAAATGCCTAACAAAGCTATGGTCACATAATTTAACCACCAACAATATCATTTTAATGATAATTTAAAGGCGTCTGTCTGTTTAAAGAACCAGTAAGGAACTT